TCAAACACACCACCGACTACGAGCTTAAAGAGGAGGTAATGATATGATTGTTTTTATGTGGCTGCTAGTTTGCCAAACCTATTGCCGAATTTTTGCAGACGGATTACATGATAGTAAGCAATCGGCGCCGCCCATAGACACCCTAGATAAGTTGCAAGTGCGTTGCCGGCTTCTTTGGGATTTAGTAATTAGGTAGGGTCTTTGGAATAGGGGGAGTAACCTCTCTCATATGTAACCACATAACGCTGTGGTCGTTTTACGCCGGTTCTCTATAAGGCTGTAGTACCACTCCGAATCGAAGCGTGTTTCTCTAACACAAGAAAGGAATGCGAAAACTTGTAAGAATATGCGCAAGATAAATAATTTTTTTGCGCAAAAACTACGTACTTTAAATGTAGGAGAAGCGTCCTTCTGCGCGAATGGGTCAGTTCGACCGAAGTGATACCACGACTACACAGAAAACCATTCAAATGATTATAATATATAAAAAGTACCTTTCGTTCGCTCTGCTGAATGCAATAATAAATTATTTATTTTCTTACTTAATCAATTAATGAAGTTCTTGTAATTATTTTCTTCCAGGTTGAGAGGAACTGGCGAGAGATTGTCAGCAGGGAATACATGTTCCACAGGCTGTTTTTGGAGGTAAGGGGTCACTATAGCTATAAGGAAACCTGACACAATGTAATTTATAGAAATTAGTTCAATGATGCGAGTTTGTTATTGCATTAAGAAGTAGGAAAGATGCGCATATCAAAATGGATGCTTCAAGATAGTCCAGAAAATTATATCTTTTAAGCTTTTGTGGATATTGATATTTCGATATTGGATAGAATGATTATTCATTTTACCGGTAATGGCATTTATGTGTTTACACAATTAATAATGTAGTTAAGTAAATATTAGAACCATCTACATAAATAAAACACATCTATATCATCTCTATAACCCTTTAACAAAGCATTTTATAGAGGGTGTCCAAACATACCATGCTAGTAAACTTCAGAAATATATATTATATATGATCTATTTAATACTTGCGGTTTTGTCAGGCTGATGCCATCGAGAAGATCAAGCTAGCAGACATCAAGAGCTGGGTCGACAACCACTTCCCGACAGGCAATAAGTCTAAATTCAGGAAACTATCTGTCCAGGTAAAAACTATAACAAACTTTTTACTTAATATAAATATGAAAAATGACCACTTATATTATAAGTTCCAACATAGACTTGCTTGTATCTCTTAAAATTTAAAAAAAACAACTAAACTTTATCTCTAACTTAACGCCTGTTGCATCACCTTGATATACCTTCCTAATAAACTTGTGTGTCACATATTTCATACGATTTTTTTTATTCTAATTTACCCGGTGTATTGGCTAAGCAGACAGTTTGAAAAGGCTCATACAGTAACACTTTACCCTCAGTTTTCATAGACCTCGAAATTCACACTCCTTTTCAATCTTCTCCAACAGATAATGGGTCATAAATCAAACAAAGATAACGCAACCACGCCAGATTTACACAAGAAACATTACGAGTTGACGTACTTGGACGCAAGCGATCCAATAGGAGACACCATCGAAAACAACGCAGACTTCATCAGAGACATAAACGCTTTCAAAGTGGAGCTGCCCTTCATAAACATACCAAAAATCGAGTTCGGACAATGCTGAGGTACCAAAACCCTTACGAAGGGCCACTATATAGAAAAAAGACATCCTATTAACCTTAATCAAATTTTTGCACTTCGTAGATGGCGCTGGTGATGTTTTAAGTCCTTAGTTTTAATATTAGCTAGACTTTTAAAACCACATCAGCGGTTTCAGAAACTGTTAATAATGATAATATATTCATGCCCAGGCAAAATGAATGTTAATGAAAATGTTATAAGGGTTATTGTGCTTTGAATTATGAACAAGAATTTTGACATGTTTTTTTTTTTAAGTTATATTTCGTATACCGGGTTTTTATTTGATGTTTATATTCCACGTATCACTTAATACGTTGTAAATACCAAAATTGTATGACGAATATATCTGTAACGAACTTAAAATTTATATTAAAAAAGGACGACGTATTTGCTGCCTCTCTTGATTTTAAATTACTGTCACTAGACGTCAATAGATCCCGATACTTTAAGGCATTTTATTGTTTCATTCTTTATATTTGAACAGATACATGTAAATCTCGGTACCCAATTTCGAATAGATTTTCGACCTTACTGTATTGCAATACAGTTGATTTTTATGGGAAAATTTAGACCGTTTTGGACATATATCTTCTTTTATACTTTTGTAAGTTAATTCCGTCCGTCATTCCTTATGTTCTGTCTATCAAGCTCTTTTAAATTTCTTTCTACTATGACTATCATCGATAGAATTTAAAATATTTTTTCTACATCAGCCTGAAATATTTTGTATTTTTTCTTAATTTCTTTTTAAACGGAAGAATACAGGGATATTGGACATGACAATGTACGAATGTATACATTTATTACATGAATTATAAATTAAAAATACAAAAGACCAAGTAAAAATATTTAAGACAGCCTCTTGATCTATTTTGATCACGGTAGAGCGGCCAGTCTGTCTTAAGTCTGTAATAAAAATGCATTTTATATAAACCTCTTTGTCACACGCATTAAAGTCCAAAATTAATAGCGATTCAAGTAAAAACTACGCTTAGAAGTTCGCAAAATAACTTCTCTGTAGACATTTATAAAATGTCTAGAAAACCAGATTATACAAATCCCAAAATATTCGAAAGTTATTCGGCTTATCATCGCCATCAAAGCTTGTACAGTAAATTTAATTATATAGTTATTTAACAATCTTTATATACATAGATCGCTATATATATTTTATTAAAAATAAAAGTTCTAAGGCGTTAGGTACTAACGTACATAGAATTGTATATAAAAATTTAATAGATACGTAATAATAAAATTTATGTAAAAAAGGGAAAATTACATATGTCCTAGGTTTTTTTATTAGTGATCAATTTTAAAATGAGATTGTTTATTAGTGGACCAAAAGGCTAGTATCCAATCTTAGTGTTTTTGGCATTGGTCACATTACAAAAGTCTAGGATCAATGTTGACATTTATTAAACGTAAAATCAAGGGGAAATAAATTTGCACCATTTACTGAATAATTCTGTCCCTTTCGCACAAATGGCTCGTTACATGTATAAGAAAAAGATAGAAATAAAACTATCTATATAACCATATATATCATTGTCTCATTCTAACATAATTATGCATGTTAAGTGCGAAAGAGACAACAATATATGGTGTATTGCACTTTATAAATGTCAGCCCAAATATATTATACTATATTTAAAATAACATTACTCATTTAACTAACGTATTTTACAGTTATTTCAACCGATTTTAACTCTTATAAACTTTGTCATAAGTATTATATTAAAAAATTGAATGTTATATTGATTTTCTGCACAAATTCTATCCCTTATTCTCAAAGCAATAGACACCAAAATCTGTTGAAGTAACTGTATATAACGTTGGTTTTAGTTTAAAGTTATTTAAAATAAATAAATTTGTAAATATTGTACTTAACCATGCCTCTACGTACGGCTATAACTTGGATATTCGTAAAATATTTTATGAAATAAAGAATGACTGTCAAATTTATTATAGTGTTAATAAAATAGTCTCACTAGTACTAGTACTAGTTCTTGTTGTTTTATTATATTTTGAAAATTATCTTAAGTAGCATAGCTTATAAGTGTGGGAGAGTCATGCTTCGACTCGGATTGGCCGGCTCGACCGAAGTGAGACCACGGCCTCACAGGAAACCTACGTGAAACAACTACAGCCTTGTGTTTCACCGTTTAAGTGAGGTTGCTGGAGGCCCAATTCTCCCCTCTCTTATTCCCAATTATATGTGATACTATCACACAGATTACCTGATGGTAAGCAATCGGCGCCTCCCATAGGCCCGCAACAACAAAGGAATGACGAGTACGTTGCCGACCTTTTGAAGATTATGGACTATCTGATTGGAGACTTGCGAGCTTCGCCATAACTGTGATCAGTTCTTCGCTGCCTACACATTTACAGTATTGGTAAGCAGATGTGATGTATTTGTCCAGCTGTGGTGTATGAAACCCGCCTTAGTAAGCGTCACTTTCAGGGTACGTTTTTGTAGAACATTTTTTGGATCATGAACCTTAATTAACTTGCTGAGTGCTAACATGTCCATTCCTCATTACAAATTACAATGCGGTTCAGAATTCCTACATTTGTATGCCTGTTGAGCAGTGCAATGTAATTCTCGACGCGTACTTTCCACTGGCGATCATTGAATCAACTTCTATACCAATTCTAATTTGTCTAGCAAATTGACTATAATGACATTTAGCTTCTAAAGCTGCCTCTTTTTGGGAGACAGTTAAAAGGGTTTTTGAAGTCGGCAGTTAGGTAGTCGGTTGGACGACATTTTTTTTTATATGTGATACATCGGCAAACGGTTGTATGGATTAACTGATGGTATCAATTAGCGCCGCCCATGGATAGGTACTCACAACACCACAGCAATACGGTAGTTTCCAACTAGTCAAATTCAATACTTTTATCCAAACGTCAAAAACGATACTTTTCTATGAAATTTGTATGAAAAACTGAGGTATGACGTCATAACTTTTTTACGTCAAATAGCTTACTTATTTCTTAATAATTAGCTAAAAAAAATCTAATCTAAAATTAGTGTATCGATCGATCGATGAATAAAAGTATAGTTATTCCTCAATATTTTATTATATTGAAACATCGAAATAATTTATTTTTAACCTAGGAAACTACCCAATTATAAATGCGTTGCCGACCTTTTGGAGATTCGAGTTTCGGATATTTAGCGATTGAAGAACCACGGGGAGAGGAGAAATTGGGCCTTTCTCTGGAAAAGTAAGAGTGATAGAATATGTTGCTTCAATGTCGCGAACTAGTAAATAAATAAAAACGTATGTAAATTATTGAATATTTTATTTTATAATAAATGTAAAAAATAATAAGTTAGGTGTAGGTATCACTAATCATCATAGTCAATCTGTATTCTCCCGTCTACGTCCTTGGTAACGACGCCCTGCCGCCTCATGTACCGTTGCAGCATTACATAGTCGATTTCCCAAGTCTGCAGGTTCTTCCTGTTCTCAGATATCATCTGAAAAATAACAAGAAGTGCAAAAATAGTTACTTGACATTCTTTCATTTGAATGAAACACCAAAAATAATGAACTTGTTTGACGTCGTAGGCTGCGCGACGTCGCCGCGTCCGCGCACGCTGCTTATGCGGAAGAAGCCCTCTGTGGTTCGAAACTAGTAGAGCTTTTCTCAATATAGACACGTGAGTAACCCGCGATTTTTTGTTAATTTGTTTGACGTCATTATTTTGGTGTTTCATGTTCACATTTTAATAAAAGTACCTATTTTCGTATTGCTAAATTGAAGTGAATTTCTCATTAGAATTCTGCCGCGGCGCGCAGCATACCGTACTCTCTTCGAAGAGCCATTAGACCACCACAGATGGAGCTTAGTCGGCTGACACAAACAGTAGACACTCAACACCAAACATTTTGGACAGCATTTGTATTAATAGTCACAATCTTAATAGGCAAACTAACCAAAAATGCTAAATGCTAAAAGTAGTTACAAATTTACCGTGTATCCACCGCCGCCGTCACCGATGTAGTTTTGAGAGAGCACCCGGTAGGTGGCGTTGGGGTCGAGGGGCAAGTATCGCGGCACGTCGCAGTCTATGCAACGTACTGTCGCAGACACTCGCGACCCTATCGGCCTCGACGCGTGGATAACGTTGCGCATACCTGAAATAATAACATTTTAGTATCCATCTACTGGCCTAGAATAAAAAAAAGCCAGCAACATGCTTGTAACTCCTCTGGGTTTGAGGGTGCGGTCATGTCGGTGTCGTCAAACAACAAACATTGTGTTTCTACTTGTGAATCAGGTTACTATAGACCAAATTCCTCTTTGTCCATAGATGGCGTTGATTGCTTACCTACAGATGATCCGCGTTCTCATTTGCCAGCTCATTAGTAAAATCAAAATGCACCCAGCATGGTGCAGCACTTAGTATGGGAGAGCCATACTTCGGTACGAATGGGTCGACTCGACCGGAGTGATACCTCACAGAACCGACGTGAAACAACCACAGAGTTGTGTTTCGCCGTGTATGTGAGGTTATAGGAGGTACAATCCTTCCCAATCCAAAAATCTCCAAATCCCTCATCCCCTAAAGGTCGGCAACGCACTCATAAACTCGTAACTCCTCCTTTGTCGCGGGTGTCCATGGGCGACGCTGATTGCTTAACATCAGGTAATAGGTTTGCTCATTTGCTGAACTATCATAAAACAATGCTTCCATGTTCCCTACCTCCAATCTGCAGCATGCGTCCACTAGAGAAGCTGTCGCTCCAGTTGACCCCGACGGAGAACTCGAGCGCCTCCTGCAAGTACTTGCCCTCCAGCTCGTAAACCTGGACGTAGTTCTCGAACGGCATCGCCATTAACAACGCTTCCGTTGTCACGTCTACGGGAAAGATGGATAATAATAAGTATTTAATTTATAAGAACACTAGCGTCCCGTCTCGGCTTCGCACGGATGCAATGGTGATAGTGATACAAAATTTCTCTACTATCTACCGAATGGTTAGAAAGAAATAAAGAAAGATATAAGTAAATCTTTTATTATACATAAAAATCTTCCTCTTTAATCACTGTATCAAATATATGAAATAACCGCATCAAAATCCGCTGTGTAGTTGTAAAGATTTAAGCATACATATCTAAGCATAAAGGGACAGAGAAAGCGACTTTATTTCATACTGCGTAGAGATTAAATTGTACGAACTCTTGTAATTTTAGATGCCAATTTATAAAAAAAGTTTTTCTTATACATCGCCTAATATTTTCGACATACAAAATTATGGGAATCCTGGCTTCGTTTAGTTGGGTTTGACTTCCGCATGCAAAATTATGGGATCCTGTTAGTTGAGTTTGACTTCCGCACGAAGCAACCATTCGTACCTATAATCTACAAGTTATTGTTGCGGATTTGGGTGTGTTACTCATGCGAATTTGTGTTTGTAAACCCATCCACGACATAGGAGAAAATGTTAGTGTGGGACAAAATAAAAGTTTTACTACTGTTTTAAGGAATATTATAGTCGAGGTGGGTCGCTTACAGTGCAAAGTTATGCTACGCGGCATAAACTTTAATAAAACTTACAAACATTTCTTCCGCTAATAAATTATCTAATTCTCTCACAGCCAATGAGTGGCCAGAAACAATACGCCACACGACGCGTCATTTAAATTGCTATCACACTGGCGAATAGCGGTCGAGCGGCTTGCCCCTATTGGACCGTTTACGACCAAGTTGAGGAGACGTTCGGAAACGTTTTCCGCCATAATATGTATTATTCCAATACTACAAACATCGGGCAACTTTGTGTCTCTGTTACTTACTTCCAGCGATGATATGGGTTCTAAGTCCCCCAGTGTTGATTAAACACACGTGAGCGTTGTTCCAGTTCGAGCCCTGAGCGTGAGGTATCATCTGCAATCAAATAATACATGATGGATATTGCAAGTACTATTAAATCGCAGTGATGGGCCATAATTGGGCCGAGGTTTGCATGGGATGCATAATAATGTACTCGTTTTTGGATATTTTCTTCTCGGTGTCAAACATTAACTCTTTCAAGACCATTAAACATTCAAAAATAATCGTAGGTACTTGATTTATGGATCTGTCGATATACTTATTGGTTACATTTTAAGAAGAAAGTATATGCTGTTTAACCTAAAATTATGATGATGTCACGTTTCTGTTTTGCATAGGTACAAAATTCATAAAACAGTTTTGTTTATGACATTTTCATAAAAGTGTTACCTCTTCAAGGAACCCGTCGCAGGCCCAGCTGCCGAGGTTGCATTCTTCACTGGAGCAACGCGAGCGACTCAGCGACACGCGAGACTCTCCCAGCACCTCCTTACCCACAGCGTCCACCTCCACACGCCATGGTTCCAATAACTCTGATATTCTTTCATCTAGCAAATAAAGATTGATTTAAGGTTACGGAGCAAGCACAATAAGTGTAAGTTTGTATGTAGGGGGTAATCTTTGGACCCGCGGGTCGGATTGCCAAAATTCTTTCACTGATAGATAGGTACAATGTTCCTGAGTGCTATAGGCTAAAATCACACTAGGTACGATTAAATGGAGCCGAGCAGCGGGTGAAACCGCGGGAAAGTAGCTAGTTTATAATAATTTTACTCATGTTAGATTTTAAGGTACATATCTATGGGCTACTGTCCCCTGAATACAAAACATTAAATGAAATACATAAAGCCAAAAGCTTGGTCTACTATAAATACCTTTCACGATGGACGAGCCGAGGAAGACGGGTTCTCCGTGCCACCTCTCGACCTTTCCTTGCGCGTTGATATAGAACTTTATGTTGCCCAGATACCGAGTGTAGCACGATGCTTGCACTATCGGGATCTAAACAATATAACAGTAATCTTGTAAAAAATTTACACAAAATCTTTTATAAAAAAATTAATCGCTAAATATGTTAGAAAGGGGAAATAGGTGAAATGATTTCGCTATTTCTTTTTTTTTTTGCTGTTTCTTATTGTGAGGAAAAGTTCTTATGACAATTAAAAGTACTTAGGTATGTAAGGCAGACTCGGGTAGGATAGAGCGGGAGCGAAGCCGCGATAAAAGGCTAATAATAATCTACTTAAGTAACAATGACGATGTATCAATACTAATAAGTAAGTACTATAAAGCTGAAAAGTGTGCTTGAACGCGCAATCTCCGGAACGGCTGGTTCGAATTGTACAATTATTTTTGTGTTGGTTAGTCTATTTTTCGAGAAACGCTATAGTATATGCTAATAAACATCACGCTACCACCATTAAATTACATAAAATCCCAGAGTTAGATATGTAGGTAGGTAATATTAAATTCAATTTTATGGTATCGGCCTAGTTTAGAACATAGAGATCACAGCCACTCAATGGAACAAACTGTTGATCTTCATTCGGCTAAAAACTTGTTTCTGCTGATTTTTTGTAATCTTCACTATTTCGCCTCAACAGTACTCAACACACAATGTCGTGAAATCCGTACTTTCTGACAATACAAAACAAGTATTTTATCTGACTGATTGTCAAAGAATCAGTCGCCATGAAGACAAAGGACATGGCCAAAAAAGTACATTCCACGTACACAAACAAAATTAATACACTGTAAAATACAAATAGAAATATGAATTATTACGTAGTTTTTAGCCTCTCCAGACTTGACAATTATTATTAAAAAATATATAAGTAATGTATGTGAATTCAACTCTCGTACGTAAACACTCGTAGAAAACGTGTGATATGATCGACAAATGCATTACACTAGGAACATTTTATTAATACGAAACTGTATTCATTGGTTCTAGTTGCATTTTATAAAATACTCGTATTATAATAATATTATGTTTTAATTTTTATTCAAATCACCGAAAACAAAAAAATAAACGAAACGGAACGCGTTTGACACTTTTGACAGCGTGTTTCTGTTAACCTTGCTAATAATACTGGAGTACCGGACTGTTTTGATTTTGGATTTTTTTTGTGGATTACGATGAGGTGCATCAAATGCGGAATAGCCATACAAAGGCTACAGAGGCGTCTTATATTCTGGCTTTCTGCACACCATCCAACAATACTTTCGCGTTGGTTAACCAATGCTCAAATCCAGGTATGAAGTCGGAATAGTATAATACTTAGTCTGTTTTTTATGTTTTATAATGGTATGCGATTCATTTGTCAACCATGCTTCTCATTATTGAATACTGAGGCTGGTGAACATGAGACTACTGGAGCATAACATGGTTTGCCTTGGTTGTGGAAAATCGGTTCGAAAAATAAGACACCATTATGTCAGTATAGACTCTCTATTGCTGACTGGCCTAATATCACAAAATACTATTAATGTGGTAAGCATTTTGTTTTTAATTCATTATTTTATATATCTACTTGTATTTATCTATAAAAATCTATAAAAAATAGCACTCATAGTATGAATGTGTGATTATAATATCTACCTTTATGTATTTTTCATGTTTGGATAGACTTCTTTCTTTCTTTTCTTCTCATTTTACAATAACATAAAACTTGAAAACATGTGTAAATAAACCCCAGTTAGAATAACTAACTGGGGTTTATTTTCAGCCCTCAAGAAACAACTATGTTTGTCATGTGTGCTGGATGCGGGCAAATAGACAGGCAGTGCAGGACTTATCACGAAACTTGCAGGTATTGGGTTCGGACAATGTGCAAGAATCAGCTTCAGACAACGTGCAGGAGTTGGCTTCTGATAACAACGCAGCAGCCCCTTATGTTCAAGTAGTTAGCCCACCAGAGCCACCACCATTACCGCCTGTTTTAACCGGGCCGTTTCAAAGGGAAAGTACTACCATATTATTACCCAATTATACAGAATATATATTACAGAAACGTACAATCCATATACACAAACATATAATAAAATACACTGTAAAATAAAAATAGAAAAATGAATTATTACGTAGTTTTATTTTATTTATTTTCCTTAATAAATAAATCATTACTATTTATACCTATTCATTTGTTTTATTTTATAAATAAGTAAATAATTAATACGCCTTATGGTTTTTTAATGGCATATCCTATTTTATGCTTTATTGTCAGTAATCTGACAAAAGGTTCAGTGAAATTATTATTGTCTAGTGTGTTTTAATGACAAATTATTCATGTGTTTTATTTATTGCAATTTAATATAACAATATTCACGAATGTAAAACCTCAAAAATCATTGATGAACCTTGAATTCAATAACTGTGCCAACGCCCATACAGAAACGAACATTCCATATACACAAATATAATAAAATACACTGTAAAATAAAAATATAAAAGTGAATTATTATTTTATATATTCTCCTTAATAAATAAATCATAATTATTTATACCTATTCTTTTCTTTTATAGGTTTTTAAAAGAAAATCTTATTTCGTGCACTTACGTGCCAGTAATCTGACTAAAGGTTTAGTGAAACTATTTTCGTCTTGTGTGTTGTAATTACGAGTTCTTCATGTGTTTTATTTATTTCAATTTAATTTAGTAATATTCACGAATGTAAACACCAAAAATCATTGATGTACATTTAATTCAATAACTATGCAAACGCCCATACAAAAGTTGGCCATGTCCTTTATACTATAAGTAAAAAAACAATTACCCGATGTCCATTAGCTTGCTGTACAACAGTGGGATATTCTCCAAGTGCAGTATCACCGTTGGGCGTGGGCCCAGTGTACAGCAGCGTGTGGGAATGGCCGCCCACTATTATGTCCACGGTTGGAGACACACGCTCCGCTAACCACCTGAAAATATAAATATTTTTGTTACAATATTTGCCATTACAAATCCTATTTTATCTCGTATGTCTGTACTAACATTATAAAGAGGTAAAATTTGTAAGTTTGTATGTAGGGGGTAATCTTTGGAACCGCTGGTCGGATTGCCAAAATTCTTTCACTGATAGACAATGTTATTATAGGCTATAAAACATCACGCTACGATCAAATGGAGCCGAGTAGCGAGTGAAACCGCGCGGGAGCAGCTAGTTGTATATAAAATTATGTCTGTTTGCTGGCTTTTTAGAAAGAAAGAAAGAAAACACATTTATTCGACAAATAGGCACACAAATACAAGTATATAAAAATACATAGTAAGAACACAGTATTTATGAATACAATAATAAATTAATAAACAAAACAAGAATAACATATAAAGTATTAAAAAAGAAAAAAAAAAAACGAAAATAAAATGCTAAAATAATAACATTCATGTGCCCATGCCCATTTTGTACCAATATGGCTCATCTCTGCATCACCCAAGGTTTGACTGGTAGAAAATGCCTAAGGTGTTGAATCTGCCTATGTACCCGTCGTCCTGCACGAAGTTTTAAATAAATAAATTACTAACATATCGCTCGTGTATCCGACATGGGACAGCACGACTATGATGTCGACTCCCGCCTCCGTGAGTATGGCCGCCTCGCGGTTAATCGCCTCCAGCTCATCCTCCATCTTCACTTGACCAATAGGAGCTGAGAACTGAAACAATTATTACTTACTGTTATATTATAATGAACTTTACTTATTTAGGCCTTAGCTCAGCAGTGGGCACTTGTAGGCTGATGATATGATGTGTTTATAGAACTATACAATTAGTTTATTAAATAATACTAATATCGTGTGGTGAGGAATACTAAATTTATTGAAAACGAGCGGTTTCACCCGCTGCTCGGCTCCATTTGATTGTAGCATAATGTTTTATAGCCTATAGCAATCGGGAACATTGTAACTATCAATAAGTGAAAGAATTTTGGCAATCCGACCAGCGGTTCCAAACATTACCCCCTACATACAAACATACAAACTTACAAATTTTACCTCTTTATAATATTAGTATAGATAACCAATTACTGTCGTGAATCAAATCAAATCAAATCAAATCAAATTCTTTATTTCAAATAGACCAAAAAAGGCACTTTTGAACGTCAAGCAAAAAAGATATCATAAGGTTTAACTTTATGTGTCAGTCTGTCCGTCTGTCCTCTAGTGAAGCTATTTGCTCGTTCCAAAGTGTAGATTCCTATGGAGAAGAACGAGCAAGAAACTCCATGGTTACTCTTTTTCAATCACTTTTTACAATGCATTGTTACATAATTTAGATAGTTCCATTATGTGAGAACAGTGTAACACTAGTGTTTAACCAAAGTATCCGAAAAAGAAATAACCCTCAGGGACAGCAACTTTAGACAGTCTCGAGTTGACCAGTCCCAATAGGCGGCGTCCGTTCACGAACATGACACGTACACCAGCACCGCCCAACTCAACCATATTATAGGGAACCGAGCGGCCCAGTGCCCGTGCCACCGCCAATGAGACTCCTGAGTGAGCATGACAACTCCCAACTGACACAAGTACCAATATACTATAAGTCTAACTCAATTATAATAAGTTACAGGGCTCTCACATTTACAAAAATCCAGTTTATCAACAATTAACAACATGGTAAATAATTTAATAATTGAGATCAAAATTCCTCTTAACCTTAACAATTTTTATCCTGTGCAGTCAAACCAGCCACCCTCCAAGCATTTTTATCTTCTATATAATCATTTAGTTTGTAGTATGCTTTCCTACATAATACTTTCTTTATACATAATTTAAATTTACTTTCATTAAGATTTTGTATTTCAGTTGGGATTTTATTATAACATTTAACACATAATCCCATGAACGACTTATGCACTTTTGCTAATCTAAATAAAGGCTGACTTAATCTATTTCTATGTCTAGTAGGATAGTCATGCTTGTCAGATACTTTTACAAATAGCTGTAGGTTTTTCCTAACATACATAATGTTTTCATAAATATATTGACATGGTACGGTCATAATGTTGATCTCCTTAAACTTTTCTCTGAGAGATTCGCGACGACCTAAGTTATAGATAGCTCTGACTGCACGCTTTTGTAAGATAAAGATAGACTCAACGTCGGATGCCTGTCCCCACAACAGAATTCCATACGACATGATGCTGTGAAAGTAGCTAAAGTACACTAGTCGTGCCGTGCCTACATCGGTTAGCTGACGGATCTTCCAGACAGCATAAGCTGCCGAGCTCAACCGCCCTGCTAGAGATCTAATGTGGGGCCCCCATTGCAGCTTGTCGTCTACAGTAATCCCCAAGAATGTGGTCTCCTTTACAAATTCCAGTTTCTGACCATTTAATAATATATCATCGCATACGTTACTTTTAACATTTGGCAAAATAAATCTAATGCATTTCGTCTTTTTATCATTAAGTACTAAGTTGTTTTTTGTGAACCAATTATTTATTTATTTATTTATTTATACACTTTATACAAAACATGTAAAGGTGGACTTAATGCCTTAGGCATTGTCTAACAGTCGACCTTTGGGTGATTGAGAGATGAGAGTGGCAGGTGACAAAAGAATAAATAACAAAATTTTATCAATTTACATTACTTAGATACCATATATAAAATATACAACGAAAAATAACAATATCATTATATAAATAAATATATATAATATATATATATATATATATATATATATATATATATATACATACATAAATACAAGTTATGAAAGATTTGAAATCGCCATTTTTTTGAGAAGGTGCTCACGCAATCTTGATTTAAATGACAAACGACTGGTTGCCATCCTAATCTCCGTGGGTAGTGCATTCCATAGCATTACAGACTGAATGAAGAAAGAAGAGTGAAGAAAGTCAGTGTGATGACTTATACATTGAAGATGACGATTATTGGAAGAACGAAGATATTTAGTATGGTTTGCACTGGTGTATTGAAAATAAGAAGATAGATAGCTAGGGGAAAGAGGAGATACAAGAAAGGAGTATAAAGTGGTGAGAGCCCTTTGCTCCCTGCGCTGGCGTATGGGCAACCACTTTAATTGCAGCCGATGTGCAGAAACATGATCATATTTACGCAGGTTGAAAACAAATCGAATGCAGTTATTCAGAAGTCGATCAAGCTTATTGAGGAGATCTGCATTCAGGTCGTAATAACAAACATCACCATAGTCAATAATTGGAAATATAAGAGATTGCACAAGCGCTGCCTTTACAAAGGATGGGAGAAAATTTTTAAGGCGATATAGAGACCGCAGCGATCCTGTGACCTTTTTGCACACGTTGGTAACCTGCGTACGCCAGCTGAGGGTGCTGTCAATGTGCAGACCGAGATCCTTAACATCGCCACTAAACGGTATGACAGCATTATCAAAAATTACAGGTGGTAGCGTGCTATTGCCAATCTTACCTAGCATACGGGAACTGCCGATAACTATCGCCTGGCATTTGCTAGGATTAACAGCTATCCCAAACCTATCGGACCAGTTCTTAATGGCCTGCAGATCGACATTAAGCTTGTCAACCGCACCAGACAGCTGCTCTCTGCTAGCTTGACAGTATAATTGCAAGTCATCAGCATACAGATGATACGGACATTGAAGTTCTGTAGTAAGCATATTAATAAACAATGAAAATAGAAGAGGGGAAAGTATGCCGCCTTGAGGGACGCCAGTTTCCAACGTGCACCAGCATGATGAATTATCACCAACCTGTACCCGTTGCTTTCGTCCCTGAAGATAGGAAGAAAACCATTGTAGACTATCATCGGAGACCATAAGATGGGACAGGATGGCTAGGAGGACATCGTGACTGACCATGTTGAAGGCGTTGGAAAAATCAACTAACACCAGCACGGTGATCTTAGTATCATCCAAACCAACCCTCACATCGCCAGTCACTTTGAGGAGAGCGGTTGTGGTACTGTGTCCTGGTCTAAAACCAGACTGGAAAGGACTTAATAGGGAGTTTTGGAATATAAAATGCGAGAGTTGCTTATGAACACAAGCCTCAAGCACTTTAGATAGGAATGGAAGGATCGAAATTGGGCGGAAGTGGGTGGGTAGAGTAGGATTTGGGACCTTAGGAAGTGGCCTAACAAAAGCTAGGCGCCACAGAGATGGAAAAGAACCGGAGAACAATGAAAAGTTTACTATATGGGTAAGGGCTGGGCAGAGGTGGTCCAAAACTGTTGTGATCATGTAACGGGAGATGTTATCACAACCAACAGCCTTGGACTTGATGGACAGGATAATCTTTTTGATCTCCGCTGACTCCACAGGAACAAAACGAAATGGAACAATTTTGGAACGCACCAGACCAGCAATGAAAGCTACAGTACCATCTATAGTCAGACGATCCAAAGGCGAAGAAGTGGAGAAATGTTTGTTAAGATCGTCTGAACTAATCGAGTTTGGAAGGTCTGAGTGTTGCGTTCTGCCAATACCCAGAGATTTTAAAAATTTCCAGATATCGGCAGGAGAAGATGAAGAGATATTTTCAAGGATGTGTCGGCGTTTGGCGTTCCGTACCATCTGGTTGCATCGATTCCTTGCAATCTTAAAAGCTACCCAATTTTCCTCAGTGCGGTCTCGCTTGTGCTTACGAAACGCGCGGTCCCTACGACGCATTGCCATTTGAATGCCTCTGGTCATCCACGGCGCAGGCGGACGTTTCATTTTCACCTTTCGAATAGGAGCATGCCGGTCATATAAATCTATTATAGTTTTATTGAAAATGGTAACCTTTTCATCGATCGAATTCGCTTGCATTAGTGGCTCCCAGTCGAGGTTTGATGCATCGTGTTGCAGCCTCTCTCCATCCATTTGCCTAAAACAGCGCCTATACAATATCCTGGGCTTAATTTTGGGAGGTTTTAGGACATAGGATAGGTACACAAGGTCGTGGTGTGAAAAGCCCGGGGCATCGTGTTGACCATGACTGGAAACAAAAGAGGGATTGGAGGTGAGGATTAAGTCGAGCCAAGTGTCAGTGCTACCAGTATTGTGATGTGTGGGTAGAAGCTGCAACACGTGCAAACTGGCTGACTCGACCAGTTCGAGGAGTTTACGGGTTCGATAGGAGGTGGGAGTAAGGAGATTGGTATTAAAGTCGCCCATGATTATGATATGTTCGCACTCCGAACCCAAAGATTCAAGTACTGATTGGAATTCAGTGAAGTAATCAATATTTGGAGGACAGTAAACTACACCCAAAATAACCTTGACCCCCTGGACACAAACCTCAAGGAATATGTACTCCGCAGAACAGTTGGAAGAAGTTACAAGAATTTTATAAGGAAAATCGCTGCGGAGGTACACTGCCACACCCCCACCCCTCCCCTCCACCCTGTCATTCCTTATCAGGATATAACCGGTCAAAGGGTAAGTGGTGGACGGCAAATGAGGCTTCAGCCAGGTTTCGGAAATTAGGACGGCGTGAACGCTGCCATCATTAAACGCCTCGTAAAGGTCACTGTAATGGCTGGGGACACTCTGAGCATTAATATGGCAAACGTTCAGCAGTCGATTATCTTTGCTATGGAATTGTTTATGAATAAAGTCTCCAAGAGTTTCTTCAACAGCTGAGCAAAAACTATAACTACTAGAAGAGTCATCTTCATTGGCAGATTCAAAAACTTCGTCGTCAGACATAAATAAATATTATATAATATAATTATACAACTAAATAAACGAAGATATAAAATAAAAATAATAATAATAAAAACTACAAAAAATGCTAGTAAATAATCGAAGCGCGCATCTAGTCTGCACCACCCGCCAGCCTATGTCAACAATACTCAAAACAACAACAATCACAAAAAAAAATACACAAAAAAATCAACAAAACGAGAAACGAAACTGCAAGTACAAATACCCAAAATTAAAACATTAAAAAAAGATATAAAAAGAAACAAAAAAAGCACAATAACTAGGTACCTATCCAAACAAAACAAAACAAATGTTGCTAAGCATTTCCGAACGTTCAAAATATACATTGACAGTTGACAGCAACAAGTTCATCAGTGACAGTCAGTTTAAGTAAAAAAAAAATTAATACAAATACATCTACTAGCAAGCGTGAATTAAATTAATTTTACGGTCAGTCAATAGTGAAACTATATATTACAATGAAAAGTAAAAAAAAAAATACCGTCTATAATTTGACATAGTGATTCTAATGACTACCTCTTATTAGGAGAATTAAACAAATTACAAAAGTGAATACTGTAACCTTCATATTGACAATAAAATGAAATAAACAAGATATTATTACAGACAAATTTAAAGTTCAATAAGACTACATGACAGGAATGAAATGATTGGTAAGTGGACAGTTTTAAGATGTTATGTAAAGATATGCATAACATCTTAAAACTGTCCACTTACCAATCATTTCATTCCTGTCATGTAGTCTTATTGAACTTTAAATTTGTCTGTAATAATATCTTGTTTATTTCATTTTATTGTCAATATGAAGGTTACAGTATTCACTTTTGTAATTTGTTTAATTCTCCTAATAAGAGGTAGTCATTAGATATTACGAATTATGAACTTTCATTAAGGCATTTTTCACTTCGTCATAGTTATTTGATCGTCTATTTAATTTAAAAATCAAGGATGTGTCATCAGCGAATAATACCATATGCGGTTCACTTTGGAATAAATGGGGCAGGTCATTGACATAAACCAAAAATAGGAATGGACCCAATATTGAGCCCTGCGGTACACCCATAGATACGCTAGCACCCCGGGAGTTTACTCTGTTTACTTGTACTGTAAGGAGTCTTTCTAGAAGGTATGATTTTAATAAATTTAGGGATACCCCCCGAATGCCGTAGTGTTGCAGCTTCAGTAATAGTGTTTCGTGCTCAACACAGTCAAAAGCCTTCGAAAGATCGCAAAATATTCCGATGGCATCCTGTGCTTTTTCCCACGATTTGAAAACTTGTTTTATAAGCGATACTCCTGCGTCCGTAGTGCAACGTCCCTTAGTGAACCCGTATTGTTGGTCATGGAAAATAGAATTCGCGTTAAAATGACGCAGTATTTGAGTAAGTATCAACTTTTCAAACACTTTACTGAGCACTGGCAAAATAGAGACCGGCCTATAGTTATTGCGTTCTGTGCTATCACCTGATTTAAGTAATGGAACTACTTTGCTATGTTTCATTAAATCCGGGAAAACCCCTTGATCTACACTTTTATTAAAAATTAAAGTTAAGTAAGGCGCTATAGTCTCTATAAAAGACCTGCACACTCTAACAGACATTCCCCAGAGATCTTCACTGGACTTTACTTTGATATCTTTAAACGCCTTTATTACTGCCTGGGGGTTTGTATGTTTAAACCTAAAGTCCGCAGGACATTCTTTGACGTTACTTCTGAGAAGCTCGACCGCAAGTGCTGGAGATGATTGCAACGTTTCCGTAGTTTTAAGAGGAATATTTTTAAAGAAATTTTCGAATTCCTGGGCAACTAATGAATTTGTACTAGTAAATCCCTTTTCGGTTTTTAAATTAAATTCTGTCTTATTAGATTTGTTTCTACCTGTTTCATTATTAATTATACTCCAGGTAGCTTTTATTTTATTTTCCGCGGTCCGGATTTTACTGCTAATATAGAGTGATTTAGCATGCTTACAAACTAATTTAAATATTTTTGAATATTTGGAGACATGCCTATGAAAAGCCTCACTTTTATTAAATGGTTTCATGCCATATAGCTCAAATAACTTTTCTCTACTTATACGAATGCCTGGTGTAGCCCAGTCACAGAATAAAAATTTACACTGGATATTTTTACGTTTTAAAGGGAACATTTTGTCGAACTGTATTTTTATGATGGATAATAAGTTAGCATAGATCTCACTCGGGCATTCATTGTCTTGTAATGGGCTGCATAATTTATGTTTTAAATTGTTATTTAATGACTCAATTTTTTTGTTTGTTATCTGTCTGAATATAATTTCCTTAGTTGCCACAGTTTTAAAAGTATTAAAGTTGACTGTTAGCCCACTGTGATCAGATGGTAATCTGTTTACAATTTCATTATGTAAATAATCACAGTTACAAAAAATATTATCTATACAAGTTGCCGAGGTGGATGTTACTCGGGTAGGCTCAAGGAATATATTAGACAGATCAAAAGATTTAAAAAGACCTAATAAGTTTGTACAATAAGAGTTGTTTTCTAAGAGATCAACATTAAAATCGCCACATACTATTGTATACTTATTACTAGAACACGTTTTCTGTAATACATCTTCCATTACTGAACAAAATATATTTAAATTCTGTATGTTAGGAGGCCTATAAACACATACTACAATATGCCTATCCAGTTCAACACAGGACAACTCTATTGAGTGCTCAATTGATAGCAGTGCAATGTCTTGCCTTTCTTTATATTTTATTGAATTCTTTACTAAAATCAAGCTACCACCATGTATCATTTCTTTGCGGCTATAATAGTTGCCAACACAATAATTATTGAAGTTAATTGATTCTACTTGATAATCTTTTAACCAATGTTCAGTTATACAAATAATGTCATATTGGAACTTTTCTAAAAACAATTCAATTTGTAGGATTTTTGATGCTAAGCCCTGAACATTTTGACTATACAATGACAACAGGTTATCTGTTTTATTTTTCAATTTAAGTTTATGCTTAACAATATTGCCAGAAGAAACCTTTTCAATGATAGGGGTTTTTGAGTAATTTAATTGGTTATCTTCTGTTGTCGTGGAAGTCAGTTTAAAAGATTACTATCCGGAGTACTATCCATATTTATAACTAAATGTGGAGCCTCCTTCGTGCTATTATATGTACAATTAATCTCTATATTGTTAGATTGTCTAATCAATATAGATTTGTCACTAAAACTACTTATTAATAAATTAATACTATTTGCTAGCAAACTAGCAATTAATAATTTACATTTCCTGGGAATATACATATAATCCCGGGTCAACTTGAAACCACTTACAAATTTGTTAGTGTCAAAAAATGATAATTTGTCACTATGACAGCAGGTCAGAAAAAATATTAAATTGTTTAGATTATGAATTTTACTATTTTGCATTTTTGACAGAGTGTCAGCATATGGGAATGCACATAATACTATCTTCCCTGTATTTAATTTCAATAAGGTGTTGATACCATCACTTATATCCCGCTTGTTTATCCCTGTACTATCACCCATTAATATTACTATTGGCTGATTTTCTGCTAACTGTTTCTGTGATATTTTTTCTATCATATGGCCAAATTTTATATTGTGATAACAGTAATTTGTTACCCTGTATTTAAGACAATTAGCGATAAGTGACCCAAAACCTGCACCCACTGAGTCTGTAAACACACCAGCGTTGTAGGTAACAACTGGTTGACTCCCTGTTTGTGGCCCCGGCACAAGTTCTGGCTCAAAGGGTGGAGTGAGGGCACAGCTACATGAAAGGTTATTTGCAAGAGACTCATATCTCTCAGCACTAAAAGTAACTAAATCCACAAGTTTTCCTGCCTCAATCATGTGTTTATTGAGTTGTGATTGGGCAGATTCATATTTTTGGAACATATCATTTAAGAACATTTCACGTTGTAAAAGTTCTTGTTGAAGAGCCTGAATGTCTTTGTCATATATGACCCTACATTGTTCTAAATCACTTTTGCATGATTTAAGTTCCTGAGTTAGATTTAATTTTTGTTTTCTTAAATAGACATTCTTTTTAAACAGATTTTGCTTCTTTTTGAGTTTTTTAATTGTTTTATTTAGTTTTATATATTTTTCACTGAGATAAATTCTCATAGTTTCAAGTCGGTGTGAGAAGAGGCCTTTGTTAAGCAGTGGGCACTTACAGGCTGATAATGATGATGATAGTGTCTGTGACCGCATTTACCACTATGGTCATCAAATTGGCAGACTTCGTACCTGTTGCAGCAGTACTCCAATGATACCAATCTTCCGATTCTTCCTCTCCACGATAACGTGGTTCTTGATGTAAGGCGTCATGGTCGGTTCCAACTCAGTGTTCACGTTGGCACCAAGCATCGGCGCGTTCAGATGTTCCAAGTAAGGCACTAGACCTTCTACGCCGTGGTCAAACTCGTGGTTACCTAGAACCTGCAGAAATTAAGGGGTTTTGTTTAAGTGTTAGGTCGGCAAACGAGCCGCCCATGGACACTCGCAACAACTAAGGAGATACTTTTACCTTTTGGGGTGTAGAGATTTGGAGATTTAGGGATTGGGGGAGGGGAAGGATTGGGTCTCCGGTAACCTCACTCACTCGGCGAAACACAACGCTGTGGTTGTTTACCAACGAGCTTGTGCTCAATGCGAATGTAATAGATAAAGAATAGATTAAAGATAACAACTTAATATAGTTTATGCTCCGAGACCCTATTATAGCGGCAACGCATTCGTAACTCCTCTGGTGTTGCGGGTGTCAATAAGCGGCACAGGTTGCTTACCATAAGGTAACCAGCCTGCTAGTTTGACATTCGATTAAATTAATAAAACAAATAGAGATTTGTAAATACCTTAAGGCAACTTCTTCCATGGAGAAAGGAAATAAAATTACAACTTGAATTTAGAAGAAAACGCATCACAATCCCAATGAACAGTTGAATACATATTCCAGAATTTCAGATTTCATAAAATTCTCATAAGTACTATTCTGCACCAAAATATCGAAATCACAAAAAAAAACACGAGGAACCAAAAAAACAGAAAAACCATCACTTACATGAGCGTCATGAGGCAGCATGTTCATGAAGTGCTGGCTGACATTCCACCTGAGGAAGTTGTACCAGATGGTGCCCTGGAAGGTGTCCCCCCCGTTGAGGAGCAGGGAGTCTGGTTCCACTTGCCTCGCTTGTTGTATTGCCGTGTAGAGACGGGCGAAGCCCCCGATACAAGGTTCCACATCAGGCTGGCATACTCCTCCTGATGGGCTTATCTCGTCGAAGCTAAGGAGAGACAGGTGATCAAATCAAATCAATTCAATATCTATAGTAGATAGTGAACACATTTAATTTAGTTTTTTTTTTATGTAGGTAATAGTTCGGCAAAGAACAGACGGATTACCTGATGGTAAGCAATCAGCGGCGCCCATGGACACCCGCAACGAAAGAGTAACGAGTGCGTTGCCGACCTTTTAGGGATTAGGACTTAGGAGATTTATGGATTGAGAAGGGATGGGGGGAGGGGAGTATAGGGCCACCCGTAACCTCACTCACACAGCGAAACACAACGCTGTGGTTAATTCACGCGGTTTTCTGTGAGGCCGTGGTATCACTCCGGTCGAGCCGACCCATTCGCCCGTTCGTTCCATGTGTGTAGAAAAAAGGGTTCTTTAGGAAAGTTGTTAGTTCTTAACTTCCGCGTACCTATAGGTACGCTCATTAGTAAACAGAACAATCATCGAAAATAATTAAACGTGTTGTGTGAATGTTATCTCTAATGTCGTCGTTGTTAGATTTTGTGATCAACGCTTATCTAATTCATTAATCATTTATCGGAGTCATAAAACACATGTAAAGATTAACAGATTAAGTGGTTGTGTACGTAAAATATTTGTCACAACTACATTCATAAAATAAATACCTAAGTGCTTAATTGAATAATCTGAACTTTTAAGTATTATAATATATTTTATAGGTACTTTTATGTGGATTAGCCATACTTCGCGCGAATGGGTCGGCTCGGCATCGGCCGGGCTGATTACATATATATACTTACATATATTTTTTACGGGATGGATCAGCAAATGGCAAGCAATCATGGACGCTCATGGACACATGAAACGACGCAGGATTTACGATTGCGTTGCCCCCTTTTGGGGATTAGGGATTTGGAGATTTTGAGAATGAGGAGGGATTGGGGGATTAAACCACGGCCTTACAGAAAAGAGTATTTCGCCATGTGAGTGAGTTACCGGAGGCCCAATCCTTTAGGTACCTCCCCTTCGCCCCCTTACATAAAAAAGTTCAACAAAACTATTGGTTTCCAAGATGCTGTACATATGAATGTACGTTAGATAAGCGATTCTGCTAAAACTAGAGGACGGTGTGTAAAAATATGTATTTTTAAGGTGCAAAATATCACAATAGGTAACTATTGTTCAAGGTCTTAACCAACTAGGTCGTTTTAAACTCAAGTTTCCTTGACACACACACGCGATGCACTAAGATTGGTATGATAGGAAACGCTGAGCCTTTAGCGCTGTGACTTATTTCCTCGTTTATACTATGTATTTATGTTACTTACGATACGAAATGCTGAGCACAGGCCTTTAGCGCTGTGACGTAGGTACTTTTTTCTATACTAATATTGTAAAGAGGTTTTTGTAAGATTGTATGTCGGGGGTAATCTTTGGAACCGCTGGTCGGATTGCCAAAATTCTTCCACTGATAGATAGCTACAATGTTCCCGAGTGCTATAGGCTATAAAACATCACGCTACGATCAAATAGAGCCGAGCAGCGGGTGAAACCGCGCGGGAGTAGCTAGTCTTTTATATTTAAGTTTCTTGTCACGTTTATTCATTCACAGCGTAATAAACGGTATTTCTTTCTTTCTATGTATTAAGTGTGGGAGAGCCACAGAACAGAAAATTAAGTAGAAGTGCCCCTACACTCTTTCAAAAGGAAAACCAGTGTCGCCAAAATCACACATTCGCAAATCAAATTGTCCATTACACACATAAAAAACACTATATAATTGGGTAAAAAGTTGAAACGCAACTTTAGCAAATCATCTTTTAAATGTTGTTAAAAATTGAGTCTTATAACAATGAGCGAAAGTTGTTATCATTTCACATGTCTCAATCAATAAAGGCGCCTATCGTGTAAAAAACTTAAATAAAACAATTTACAAACGGGTTCAGCCACTCACTGCTAGATGGCGCTGTAACAAATTCATTCTATTCAAAATGCTAACTTCTTTGAAATAGATGTCATATTTGTATGCACTGGTACCAATAGACATTACTATTTTGCTACTCAGATAGGGCAGGGTATCCCAATATATCGATGTTATTGTATTCGTGTGAGCAATATAATTTTTCGACACGATTTACCTACAAATGATCAGTAATGAAAAAGGTTCTAATAGAAAAAAAGAAAAATATTAACATTTTTTGAAGATTTAATGTTTTTTGGAGATGGTCAAGTTATAGATTTCGATTTTAACATAATAAAAGCACTACGCGCTCCTACAAGTTTTATCTCCTTTCCAACAAAAATAGAATTATTAAAATCGGCTCATAAATAACAGAGACGAACGAACAAAAACAAACATGTACGGTCGAATTGAGAGTCACTCTCCTTTTTGGAACTCTGTTAAAAATCATGTACAACATTATAAAATAAAAATGGTGATGAACCACCCGCACCTACCACAGACGGATGCACGCTGTGTGTGGTTAAAACGTTGATGTGTCTATGCAGTCCTAGTTAAACATTTATGAATTATACACAAAAAGTTTCAAAAATCAATTTTCTGAACGATGATGACGAAAAGTTATCGATACGAACCTATTTTACGAATGTGTCCCATCCCTAAATGAGTAGCGTCGAAACTACTGGAATGTATTGTATATAACACAGAACAGAAAATTAAGTAGAAGTGCCCCTACACTCTTTCAAAAGGAAAACCAGTGTCGCCAAAATCACACATTCGCAAATCAAATTGTCCATTACACACATAAAAAACAGCTATATAATTGGATAAAAAGATGAAACGCAACTTTAGCAAATCATCTTCTAAATGTTGTTAAAAATTGAGTCTTATAACAATGAGCGAAAGTTGTTATCATTTCACATGTCACAATCAATAAAGGCGTCTATCGTGTAAAAAACTTTAATAAAACAATTTACAAACGGGTTCAGCCACTCAACGTTAGATGGCGCTGTAACAAATTCATTCTATTCAAAACGCTAACTTCTTTGAAATAGATGTCATATTTGTATGCACTTGTACCAATAGACATTTACTATTTTGCTACTCAGATAGGGCAGGGTATCCCAATATATCGATGTTTTTGTATTCGTGTGAGCAATATAATTTATCGACACGATATACCTACAAATGATCAGTAATGAAAAAGGTTCTAAAGGAAAAAAAGAAAAATATTAACATATTTTTGGAAGATTTAATGTTTTTTGGAGATGGTCAAGTTATTATTAAAGATTTCGATTTTAACATATAAAAGCACTGCGCGCTCCTACAAGTTTTATCTGCTTTCCAACTAAAATAGAATCAATAAAATCGGTTCATAAATATCGGAGACGAAAAAACAAAAAAAAAATGTTACAGTCGAATTGAGAGTCACTCTCCTTTTTGGAACTCTGATAAAAATCATGTACAACATCTATACTTATAATAAATCTGTAGAGGGCTCAATTCTGTACATTAAATATATTTTCAAAATAACTACCAGGGGGTGATTAGTGATCGATACTGATGCCAAAAATGCAATCAGTAAAAATTTTGTCTGTCTGTCTGTCTGTTTGTATGTTCTTTATAGAAACAAAAACTACTCGACGGATTTTAACAAAACTTGGTACAATTATTCTTTATACTCCTGGGCAGGTTATAGGATACTTTTCATCACGCTACAAATAATAGGAGCAGAGCAGTGAAGGAAAATGTTGGGAAAACGAGAGAAGTTACTCCCTTTTGTAAGTTTCAGTCGCGTGTGTAACCTTAATGGTTAAACTTACATAGAAATTATGTATGACGGAAATATTTTAAATTAAATTGTCTAAAAAAATGATTTACAGCATATGTCTATCTTTTATGGTTAACTCACAATAGCACGTGTAAGTCCTGATAGTTTAGCAATTCGGATAATAAGACATAGCGCCGTCGCAAGTGAACACTGAATCATGGTATAAGAATTATTTTTGTGTAGCGGTTGCCGTGCTCGACACGATGCGGTATAAAATATAATATACTTAATATAGGTTTTATCAAATATTTGTAACTCTTACCTATTAGTTAGATCCGTACCTTTCTATCTATTGACGGACGGACTGCGGAGACTTAGTAAGTAATAGGGTATTTACCCATTGGAGATGTACCCATAAAAATACCAAATTTTATGTATACTTAGATTTTGTTCTATTGCTATTTGCTGCTTTTTATCAACACAGCACGCGGGCGAAGCCGCTGGCGAAAACTAGTTATAAAATAAAAATGGTGATTAACCACCCGCACCTGCCACAGACGGATGCACGCTGTGTGTGGTTAAAACGTTGATGTGTCTATGCAATCTTAGTTAAACATTTATGAATTATACACAAAAATTGTCAAAAACAATTTTCTGAACGATGATGATGAAAAATTATCGATATGAACCTATTTTACGAATATGTCGCATCCCTAAATGAGTAGCGTCGAAACTACTAGAATGTATTGTATTTAACGTCATATAACGAACAAGTAGATTTAAACTTAATTGTAATGAAAATAAGGCCCTTTATAGTTTGCATTGAAGTAATGAAATGTGATATTTACATTAAAATCAAATATATTTAAAATTAACAAAGGTTAATACTCAAAGATGATACGATACACCACCACAAGACTCATCTTTTTTTCTGCTTACTTTTTTGCAGTTGAAAACCGCACAACAAGGCATAATTTCTAATATATTTCGTGTTTCTTAGAGGCAACCATGACAACCAATCATGATAACGGATCGAACGATTCTGACAACAAATGTGCCAAAATGTTGTATATCTATTCATCATGTTGGTTAGCGCGCGATGTCTGAGCGGCACTTCCACTGTATTTTCTATTCCGTGGTATATAACGTCACATAACGAACAAGTAGATTTAAACTTAATTGTGATGAAAATAAGGCCCTTTATAGTTTGCATTGAAGTAATGGAATGTGATATTTTCATTAAAATCAAATATATTTAAAATTAACAAAGGTTAATACTCAAAGATGATACGATACACCACCACCAGACACATTTTTTTTTCTGCTTACTTTTTTGCAGTTGATAACCGCACAACAAGGCATAATTTCTAATATATTTCGTGTTTCTTAGAGACAACCATGACAACCAATCATGACAACGGATCGAACGATTCTGACCACGTCTGACAATGAATGTGCCAAAATGATGTAAATCTATACATCATGTTGACTAGCGCGCGATGTCTGAGCGGCACTTCCACTGTATTTTCTATTCCGTGGGGAGAGCCATGCTTCGGCACGAATGGGTCGGCTCGACCGGAGTAATACTGCGGCCTCACAGAAAACCGGCGTGAAACAACCACAACGTTGTGTTTCGGCGTGTAAGTGAGGTTACCGGAGGCCCAATTCTTTGTCCTTAAATCTCCAAATCCTTAATCCCTGATCGGCAACGCACTCGTAACTCCTCCTTTGCGGGTGTCCATGGGCGGCGCTGATTGTGATCCATGGTGATCCGTCTGCTCGTTTGCCGACCTATTTTACTTAAAAAAAGTAACAAATAATTATTTAAAAAGTACTTACTGCGCATGAAAATCATTGTAGTGTATAATGTTGAGCTCGTAAAGGTCTTCGTTGGCTGCGGCCGAGCACGCCAACACCACAAGGAGTATCACAACCTGCATCTTGCAGGACCAGCACCCACACTGCCTGCCACTCAACACTAATCAAGTTATCGCTAAACCTTTACAATATCACGATTACATACATGTATTAATTGATTAGCTACCCATATCTTTAGGATTGAATCATATTTCCTTATTGGCAGATTCGCGTTTTAATATTTTTTGTGTAATGTAAGTAGTAAGAAGTTGTTAACGTCATTTTCCATTACATTTAAAAAGACGTGATTTTTTTACTTAAATATAAGAACATAATTCTAATAGCCTGTTTCACAATATCCCGGTAGGTTGCGTACGTATAGCTATAATTTTAATATTTTTCTATTTATTTTTCATAGTTCCAGACTATAGATTAAAAAATAATCCCACCTCTAGACAACATCCGTCTCCTCCTTTTGTGAAGCAGTCATGCTCGCAAAGAGAGAGGCGGCCCGCGTGAGGGAGCAATCCTCCTCCTCACGCCCCAGCAGCCGCAACTGGCGACACTACGGGCGTCCGGGATCGAGGGACGATCTCCGGCCACCGTAAGTACGGGCCTGCGGTCGGCGAGTAAGGGCAGCTCGCCGCCCGACCAGAACCAGGCCCGAGCGTACGGCGCGTAGCGTTCCGCGCGCGCCTCAAAGAGCCATTCGACCACCACAGACGGGGCCCTAAAGGGCTGATGTTCAGCCGGGGTTGCGGGGTAAGCGCAATGAGGTACCGCGACCTCGGCACAGAGCAGGAGAAGGAACAGGGGGGTTTTTAGTCAGTAAGAGTCTGACACTCCCTCCTGCCCGGCCCTGGGCGGGAGAAGTCATTTGATGATTTTCTCACAAAAAAAACCTCTAGACAACATCAAATATAAATACTTAATTTATTAGAGTAACTTTACTAAATCACACCATAAAACAATTTCTTAACTGTTCAAGAAAAAGCTTTTAATGGGTCTTTACCTATGAAATTGCCGTTTTGCATGAAAAAATTTAAACGAATTTTTTGATTTGAAATGCGATGAAAATGTAACGCTAATCAATAAACAAATGACTACTTTTGGAAAAAGAATCCCATGTTTTTAAAACAAAATTAATTAGCCTTAGCTTAAAAAAAACATTAATTTATTTGAAATGGCCGGTACTGCAGAACGGCAATTATAATATAATTATAATAAATACCTATTATTTTTTGTGACTTATATTAATTACACATTCTGGGTAACGTTTTATTCTCAGAAATTATGAAGTAGGTACTTACTTACGCGCAGATTGACTTGGTATTTCAAAGTTTAATTATCAAAAGAGCCATGTATATAATTAAATGTCATGTGATGCACTTAAATCACGGACTAATTATAATAATATGCTACATAATTCTGGTGAAGCAGGTTCACGATCTTCTATAGAATAATTAATAATTTTCTTATGATAATCACCTAAAGCGCGTGTTTACAGAACAAGATTACCTAAGCAAAGAACTCACTAGTTACAGTTTGGGAATCCGCTGTCTATCTACTTATCTATACTAATATTATAAAGAGGTAAAATTTGTAAGTTTGTACGTAGGGGGTAATCTTTGGAACCCCTGCCTGGTGGGATTGCCAAAATTCATTCACTGATAGACAGCTACAATGTTCCTGAGTGCTATAGGCTATAAAACAACACGCTACGATCAAATGAAGCCGAGCAGCGGGTGAAACCGCGCGAGAGTAGCTAGTAGGTATCTATCTATATAAAGATATCATCAAGTGTTTATATTTGACTTAGTTTATATTTAATTTGCAATAGGTATTTAAATAGAAGAAACTTCATGTTTATTCTTATTACGTAAGTATCTAAGTGTTACGATTGTATAAATATTATGATTTTTTTATCATACATTACCTACCTACTTTCTAACAGATGGAGGAATGTTTATTAGGTACCTTTTGACGTTAAAACTACTGAACGGATCTGTATGAAATTTGGCGTTGAGATAGAGTATAGTTTGAAATAACAAGTATTTTAATGAATGTTGGTATAATAAAAACTATTACCGTTTATTTTTTAAGTGAAACCTCACGCTACGATATTTTCCTGTGTAGTGGATGCGTTTACAAAATACGATGTCACTTGTCACCTATAAACTTTTCAACCGTGGTAAATCGAGACACAATAGAAAAACAATAGGTGCGCGAACGCGGGCGTTCTCGGTGATTGAACTGATGGTCAGTGGGTCAGGACGGTACTCGAGTGATGCGATCTCGGACTGCAAGACGCTAAGTGGACCGACGACATTGTCAGAGTCGCGGGGAGCTAATGGATGCTAGTGTCTGGCATTCATTCATCGTGAATAACTAAGACTCAAGTCATATCAAAAGAGCGTCGACAGCAGAGCGCAGTTTCGGTGTTATATGAATTTTAATTTTCGTTTTTATAATAATATATACATAAGTGTGGGAGGTCATGCTTCGGCATGAATGGGTCGGCTCGACCGGAGTGGTAATACGGCCTCACAGAAAACCGACGTGAAACAACCACAGCGTTGTGTTTCGGCGTGTGAGTGAGAATACCGGAGGCCCAATCCTTCCCCCTCCCCCTATCCCTTTCCAATCATCAAGCATCCGAAACTTTTATCCCTAAAATGCCCGCAACGCACGCGTGTGTCCATGGGCGGCGTTAATGGCTTAACATCAGGTAATTCGTCTGGTAGTCTGTTGACTCATACCATAAAAAGAAAAAAAAACACACGTAAACGAGGCCTAAGAGGGTCTTCTTGGTTCAACAGCAGCGTCTTTCGGCTGACGATGATGATGATTATATACCTACAACATACGTAAAGATATAATAAAAAGATAGGTCGGCATTTGATAAATACATACATATATTGACAGATACATATCTTCTTAAAATTAATTAATAGGTACACTGATTGCAGCGGTAATCTTAATGAAAGCGATAATGGATTAATTATCGTGCACCTACTACTTATTGCAAATGAACGCGTTAATACCATTTAATTAATCGCAATCACAATAAGTTAATGTAGCTGTAGGTACCTACTGACTTCGTTACGGCAAAGATGGCGCAGACCTCAAGATTCGCCCGGTGGCTTTAGAATTAGTGACCTATTTTGTTAAAAACCTGTTTATGTTTATCATGATTATAGGCCACTAGTTGTAAAAAAAGTCACCAGAACCACTTGATATACGTGAAATTGGACCTATACCAAGTTAATAAAAATATTGAAGATTCAATTTTTTTATACTCAAATTGCAAAAACACTTTCATGAAATACTGGTCGCGCAGTTCTTCATTTATGGAATAACATGATGGTAATCAATTCGTGCTGCCGTTAGACAGTAGAAGTTTACAGCTCTTGGGTTGTTCAATGGATTTAGAAATTGGTGATGGATATGACAGTGGAAGAGGGAGGAGTGGTATTGTGCCTCCGTACCGGTAACCTTACTTACACGACGAAAAAAAGGCTCTCCCAAACTTAAAAGTCACGCACACACTTCTTCTATGCAGGCCGCTAATTTACTAAAAATAATAATCAGAATCTCTTACGACAAATATTAAGTATTTGCGATCAAGGCGCAAATCATTAAAACAGTCGATAGATAAATAGCTAATTAATTAATTATTATACATATACAAAACTGGAAAATGTATTAATGCTAAACGCATGGATCGATAGTGATCACGATAAATGTCAACAATTAAGTCGTGAATAATACGTGATATAATATCAAGCAATCAACATGATTTGAATAATCATATTGGGTACTTAGTTAAAATTCAGAAAACAAAATTAGATAACAACAGATTTTAACATGGCATTACAATCAATAATGCATAACAATCTGGGTGAACTTTTGTTTTCATATGACCCCGAATGAGTCGACCTTTAAAGAAGCGTTGTATTTCGCCGTGTGAGTGAGGTTACCGGAGGCCTAATACCGCCCCTTCCCCTATCCCTATCCGATCCTTATATCCGCAACCCCTATCCCCAAAAGGCCGGCAACGCACTTGTAACTTCTTTGGTGTTGCGGGCGTTCATGGGCGGCGATTGCTTACCATCAGGTAATCCGTCTGCTCGTTTGCCGACATATACCATAAACAAAAGAGTATCTAGTACCTACTTTATCTTTTTTGAACATAATGGATATAAAACTTTAGATCCAAATCGTTCTTTGGGTGACTCTTCAGCAACAGCGCAAATAGCGTGGATTGCACATCCACATTCTCTACGTGTAATAATGAGCTCCTGTGGTGTATTGTGAACAAAGCGTTGGAGGGTGCAAGTTAAAAATTGCTTGTTTTTTATCCTTGATCTTTGTGAAAACGTTGTTTAAAATTTAGATTAGTTCTGCCCCCGTGTTCACCTTAGAGAGTTCACATAGGTTGTCCTATGTGAACTTCACATGCAGTGACTTACTGTTACATTGCCTATTGTTATTTAGGAGACAGGTACCTACATACATAGATTTCATAGGAAATGTGTATAACATAATTAATTTCACAAATATCCGTACGATTTTAGGAATTACATACATTTCCTAGGAATTGTGTACAAAGTCGGATTACATTAATTTCCATTAACATTTACACATTAGATTTGCGAGACCATACATGATGTCGACTCTAATTTATCAAAGCCCATGCGAACGCCGGCGTTGGCGCACCTATTGTTCTTCTATTGTGTCGAATTACTACGGTTGAAAGGTTTAATCTAAAAAGTAAGTATTTTAATTTTTGATATACTGATTAAGGAAACCGATAAAAAAAAACAGCAAAACCATATTTTCTAAACATTTATTCAACTAATTCTAAGTTCACATTAAAAAATTTCGTGCTTTCATACAAAGGTAAGAATTATTATTTAAATATTTATATAGATTTAAACAAATGGTACAATTAATGTGAAGCGAATTAAATGCATTGTTTATTATAGAGCTTAGAAAAGTGAAGCAACATACCGAGTTTAAAGTTTATTTAAAAAAAATGTAGCGGAACAAATATCACGATTTAGTATAGACATAATGTAGTAGGTATGTATACTGAAACCAATTGAGATTAGGCTAATACCGGGTGTTTAAAAATCCAATCTATACTTCTATACTAATATTATAAAGAGGTAAAATTTGTAAGTTTGTATGTAGGAAGTAATCTTTGGAACCGCTGGTCGGATTGCCAAAAGTCTTGCACTGATAGATAGCTACAATGTTCCTGAGTGCTATAGGCTATAAAACATCAGGCTACGATGAAATGGAGCTCAGCAGCGGGTGAAACCGCGCGAGAGTAGCTAGTACCTAATAACATTTCTTTGACCCGGACATAGCAAAGACCACAATTCAGTTATAACAAAACGATCCGAAAAACTGATTACCTTATACAGACCCGGTATCTACCATAACACAAAGAAAACTATGCGACCTAATAATCTATTACATCAAATACATTAAATGTTACATTTTATCAATAAAATAGACCTTTGTACTACATCGTTTTCGAAAAAGTATGGTGTTAAAACTGCATGGTGCAAAAAATAGAATATGAAAATAGATAATGATAGCTGAATTTAAATCTTAAATTTCTAAATTGGATTTTAATCATATTTTTTAGTAATGGACCTGCAATTTGCCACTTTCACGCTTGGAAGTAAGCGATGTTGTGACCTACGATGGGGCGGGCGTGCTCTAACCAATAAGCAACCTATCCACTAGGGCCTTGACGCAACCCAGGATAATAATATACCCGGAGAAAACAGGTTTTAACCAAGAATTCCACTCCTTAGCGGTTCTTATAATAAAACTGGAGACGAACTGCTTCGTGCGTGTAGTTGGGATATCCACCATGAAGCGATTACGTTTTGTTGATCGTCTGGAGGTTCTTTTTTTCTGTTTTATTCTACATTTTTTAGGGGTTTTTATCTCCGATATAACAACCCAATCATACCCTTTTATCTCGTCTGGTGGCACGATGGTGGAAAGGACTAGGGGGAATCAAGGCGTGGAGCTCCCCCGATCATTATCCGGAATGTATTCGATAAAAAACCGAAAGGCTTCTTGCAACTTTGCGCCTGTGTTCGCTTTGAAGACGGGTCTAGTCTAGTCTTATAAATATATCATAGAAAACTCTGACAAAGCTACCGATCATAATCTTAGTCAAGACTTCTAGACTTGGGCTGTTATTGGAAAAGTGTAAAATGTAGCATTTACGCAACTGTAATTAACACTTACATTAATAAATATCGTAATACTTAAACGTGAGATAAAGAACTATAAGTAGCGACAGAGATACAAAGCATCTAATTATATAGTAGATATAATATAAAGGCACTTTTTAACTAAACTATAATACACATGGAGGTAATATAGATATTGTATGGAGCTTATGTTGAATGTTTTTTTTTGACTGACTTCAAAGTTGTGTGTGTGTGGATATTGACGATATTCACGAATTTTCTGAATTTTAATAGTAGTTTTCTCAATTACTTAGTATGAATTCATGAAGCAATAGCGACCCGCTCCACGCACGTGTGCAATGTTAAAACTAAAATCTATCTACTATTTAACCCATGTTAACCACGCAAGACGCAATATACTTACTATTGTTTGTCATATACCAGCAGACAAGAGGTTAATGGATGTTATTATACATATAGATATTCCTCTTTAATCACTCTATGTATTAAAATAAACCGCATCAAAATCCGTAGTTTTAAAGGGGAGTTAACCCCCGGTTTGCGAAAGGCCGATCAATGTTAAAATCAATTTAATCTCTTGTCAAGTCATCTGATTGGTTGACTGAATTATCAACAACCAATCAGATGACTTGACAAGAGATTTAACAGGAGATTAGTTAATTTTAGCGTTGACAAGCCTTTCAGAAACCGGGTGTTAAACAGACACAATATATGGACAGAGAAGGCAACTTTATTTTACAATAAATAGCGATGAAACAAAGCTATAATTTTCTATCAACATATGTAGACTCCATACAATATCTATTCACATCAGCATAATTCATAAATATTCTTTAGAATCCTTACAGTTAAAGGTTTAACCTGTAACTAGGTTGTAAACATTTAATCAACAATTTAAGACAGACAATATTACATAGATCGCCTTTTTTGTTTCATTCTGAGATACAGTACGGCCGACGTATCTTGGCGAGTCTGAAGTTAGCCGTTTGTCTGCGCAATGGATCTTTTTACAAAATTGTGTACTGAGCAGCTAATCGGCTAACTTCAGACTCGCCAAGTTACGTCGGAAGTATTGTACGTCACAGTTTTTTACTATTGGCACCAATGTATCTATAGAGATCGGGGATATGGGTCAGCGAAATAAAGGACACAGCTTTCTAGAGCAGGAGAAAGAACGGAGGGATTTTTAGTCAGTAAGGAGTCTGACACTCCCTCTCGCCATATCCTAGTTAAGAAAAGTCTTTTGATAGGTTTTTCTTCCTCAAAAAAAGTGTATTCATAAAGTATGTAAGTCAATTTATTTTGTTTTAAACGTTAAAGAAGTTTAGTTTATGGCTAGAACTTAATTTGCTCAACCTAGGTATCAGACAAGGTCATGAAAAAGACTCAATAACGTTACTGAACATTTTTAAGTACACAAATCTAAGTTTCTTTCAATATTAGGTACCTATTAAAATTTTTAAACAATCATGCTAGCTCAACAATTTGTGGAACGAATACGTACTGAATTAAATATTCAAACACAGTCATCAGTTGACGAATTAATAAAACCTTTTTATCAGAAACTTATCAAACAAAGTGGCAATTACGTTGATCGATAACATTTACCTAAATATTATATTACTGTACTTTGATAAAAACAAGATTCTAAAATGGTGATATTGATATCGGTTTTTATATTTGTAATCTTTTGGTTATGCCCTTATATTGAGGTCATTTGCAAAAGACCCCCTGAAAGGGGATAATATATTTGTCAGAAAAGTTTTATTCCAAAAGATTTGGGGTGAACAAAATGTGTTAATCTTGCATTTTTTTGTGTACCTTGATTCTTTTCCTATTAACACGTTTACCGCCACGTAGGTCACCAGTGACCTACGATTAGCCTTCAATAGTCCTTGGTAGGCAGTCAAAGACTTAATTGAACTCCTGGTTTAGCAATAAAATGGTACAAATCAAGCCTTAGAAGAAGAATTATATTTGAACTGTATCTTATTAGCTGACTGACGAGGGTGTTCACTATTACAAATGACAAAGAATGATGAATGCGATAGCACCATTCTTGGTGGATTGTGAAAGGCCCAGTTTACTCTATGTAAAATTAATTCAACTGAATATGTCACGACAAAATAAATAAATAAAGATTTTATACGTCTTTAAGAATTGGCTTCTTTATATAAAATCAAAAAAATACTTTTTTATAGTTTAGTATTTTAGAAAAAAACTATAATCGTAGAATGAAAATGTACTCTAAATACATTATAAATACTCAGTGTCTACATATTTTGTTATTCGCTACAACACAACTAACATTAATTTCTAAATTAAATAACATTAATATTGCATAAAATTAACGAAATCATAACAATAGTTTATCACATATAAAAATACCTAATGCATTCCACATAATAGACTCGATTCAGGCAAGTTATATATATATATATATAAATGTATATCTGGTTGCATTAAAGTACAAACCAAAATAAAAAAAAGAGGAGAAAGAGGGATGGAGCTATATCTTTTGTAGCTCCATCCCTCTTTCTCGCTCGGTAGATTCACGCTTTAACACGTCATGGTAGACCTACTGATCGTTAAAAACGAACTTAACGTTGAAGTTGTCAAATATTAAAATTCTATGTCGATAAAATTCAATTGCAAACACATTGGGTACAATTTGAGAAACTATAATTTTACTGAGAATCTCAATAATATTCACAATTCATATTTGACTGCACGGCTAGTGCGGTGACTGCAGGGCAACTGGCTGCCGCGCAACGTGTCTCGGATTCGATACCTACACGGAGCAACTCTTTGTGGGATCCAAAAATTGTTGTTCCAGGTCTGGGTGTGATGTGTATGTGAAATGTTATGTTTGTAAACGCACCCACAACACAAGAGAAAAGGCTAATGTAGGGCACCGTTTCATTAAAAAAAACTGATCGACCTGTTTTTACTGAGAGATGAGAAATGCGGTTTAGAGCCCATATATTAAATGATAGTAAATAAAAAAAATCGATATCTTAAAATAAGATTAAGTAGGCATTAACTTGGATCTAAATGCTGTTTTAAAACAACATTAACATAGGATTAAAATACTCTATTAAACGTTATACTTTCAAATAATCTTGCATTGATAAGTTAGCTTTTAGTATTTTGATAATAACGCCTGTAACGATAACATTGTTTCGCCTTTAACGCAACCAAATATAAAAAAAAACATATACATTTTAATTGTTCGTAATATTATAAAGAATATTAAAAAAAAGTAAAGTTAGGACTCAATATTCGATAATATTTACCAGACACGGTGCTTTGTCGACATTTAATTCGTACACTATCGATAAAATATCCAATATAGTCCTTATAATAAAAATCCGATGTTTGATCGAGAGAACTAATTTGAAAAAAGAAAACATTATAAATACTTGCATTTCTATAAAAAAAATAAATCATAAATTAACAGTGTCTACTGTTTATTTGGTTTTTGAAATAAGAACGTAATTAAAGTTAATCTCAAAACCTTAAATCACCTTATGACGTCACAGCTTACGAGTATGGAGTGCGTGGGTTCACGTTGATCATCTCAGTAGTGCTGCAAGGGAAAAAAACGATATTTTATGTAAGAGAGTGGTGCTGCAAGAGGAAAAAACTATATTTTTTGTATGACTATACGTAGGTAGGTATATTTGTTAGTTTACTATTATACTTTAGTTAGGTAGTAATGAAGATCTAATAGCTTATACAATGAACCTAAACCTGTCGGTAGATTGTTTTTAAACACATAATTTTGACATTAGCTCATAGAGTCATAAAGCTTCAAAGATCCTAGTGATGTTATCAAAGTGAAACTAGGAGGCGCAGTGTGATTAAGTGTGTGGAAATATCGACTGAATTTGTAACGTGGACCTACGTAAAGTTTAAGAAGATTCTAGATTTGGAGTAAGTATGTATGTCGTTTCGTTTAAAAGAAAATCAGAAAAAATCTACTGAATGAGTCTAAAGGCAATATAGCACATAATTAGAACAGAGTCCAGGTTATCTATTTCTGAATAGTGATTATCATGAAACAAAGTAAATTTATTAAAAATAACGACTTACTAATGTGAATCAACTGAGACAAACTATACTAGTTTAAAGTCACAATGGGACTCTTTTTCGCGCGCACACTGCTATTAACAAATTTATGTGCCAAATATTTACCATTTCCCGGAACTAAAAGGTAGCCCATGTGTTAGACTGCAATAATATTTTATCTTAGGAACGACTACTACTATTACTACTCTTTGTGTGATCCACAAATTGTTGTTTCGGGTCTGGGTGTCATGTGTATGTGAAATTGTATGTTTGTAACCGCACCCACAACACAGGAGAAAATCCTAATGTGGGGCAACGTAAAAAAAAAACAAAACGCAAATGAAGTCGCTGACAAGAGATAGCATGCTATGATTCTATCTCTTTTAACTAATTTAGCTATTCTTGCTAGTTTTCCTCCACAAACGGCTTATAATTGTAATAAATGATTCCACTTTGACCGAATCTACTGACAGGCAGGTTATTGAGACGAACAACAGAAAATCTAAATAATTTTATGATGTTTATATTAAGGTATGATACATAATATGAATTTTATTACTTATTTACTAACTATGATATATTATGTAATAAGTCTATGGTTTTAGTAATATACGTTAGAAGGTAAGTAAGGAAAGGAAGGATTGAAAAGGAGCCATTTTGAAAATAAAAACTTTAAGTTAAATCAAAAAAAAAACAAAAATTACTTAAAAAAAAAATATCAAAATTTCTTCAGAAGATCACTTATTATAAATAAAGGTAAGTTACAAAAAAAGAATTTTCCGAAACGGTGTAGGGCTGCGCCACAAGGTCGATATTAACACGTTATTTATAATCTATCGACAACTAGACGCTTTTTTTAAATAGCAAACTAAATGACTAGTAAAGTATACTTAATAATAAACTACATTGTACTTCTAATTATCGAACAGTTGTCGGGCAGTACATACGCTTTAGTTTTGTCGTGTGAGCTACCCGTGGCTGAAGAATCAATATATTGCTTCCATACATTGCTAAAAAATATTATTTAATTGCATTAATGCAGCACTACTTCCAAATACTCAGAAGACTAGGAACTCAGTTTATTAGTGTCGCCCTATTGTCAAGGGGTTATCGATAAATAGTGAGGTAGCACAAAGATAATTTTTATCGATATACTGATTGCACTTTTCATAATTTTTACAGTTTCTAAGGTACCCATATATAATGAAGAAGGTAGTAAAGAGTATGTATATACAATTTAGCCAACAAGAACAGAATGATTGATAAATACAATATATAATAAAAAAAGTTTTTAGCCGGAGTAGAAATGAAATGAAAATAAAATATTGTTTCAGACAATTTAAATGTAATGGCGATGCTGAGTTTGCTTGTTGAGAAAATAATAATAATAATGAATAATTTGGTACCGAAAAGAAAATATTACGATATCTATATTGCCAAGCCAATAATTTGGCGTTTCATTAGTCGGGGGTCAGATCTCGCTAGTTACAATTCATTATATTCAAGTCGCTACACATAAAAGAAAAAAATAACTATTGGTTTTTTATACAGGTCACAAATTGCTTTACAGAAAAACATACTGAGGCCAAGATCAACGTGAAAATGTTGTAATTATTATTTTTCTATGTATGCTGTTTTCAACGAATTTATATTGGTCCAAAACTACTAAGAATTTATTCTACCATATAAGTCTTTATATAATTTTCTGATAAACTTAAGTGGCACGTAATTCATACAAATTATGTACTTCATTTTTTATGTGATAAGTAGCGGCCATTCAGTCATTGCGAAATAGGTCCTTTATGGACAATGTACAATTTTTGCTACTGGTCGAAAATAAATACAAACCCAAGGAGACAATTTAAGACTTAGCCATACAGAAATATGAATGATTTTCCCTTATGTACAAACATCGCCAAGACATATAAGGAAGATAGCGAACCAAATTTTGATCTAAATAATTAAAAATAAAATAAAACAAATAATAACTTACGTCGACATAGGCTCTGGCTCTTCGCTTATGAAGTAAGATTGGGTCATGGGAGGGGAGAGTCTGATGTCACATGCAATTATACGCAACGATATTGTTAGTAACTAAACCTCAACCTTATTACAACAATGTTAAGTGTGTAATTTATTTACAAATGAAAATAATTATAACCATTTAAATATTTACAATTTTGTCGATTTTAGTTCACTGTTGGCGGCGCCACTGGCGTTTTTAATCGTCAACAGAGATATATTTTTTCATTGTATCTCAACAAAAGGATTGTGTTTAGCATTGTTAATGTTTTCAAATTTCATACATGAGTAAAATTAATTTGTGTATAAAACAAATTGAAGCCACCACCGCCGGAAACATGCAATTTATAATAATATATTTAATCTTACATACCTCTTAGAGCATTTGACGTGTATGACGAGTAGTACAATGCCCAGCAGTAAGCACAATGTCCCTACCACGACATAGGCCACACCCAAGAACGGATTCTTCCCTCCCAGAAGGGATGTTGTCGATATTATGAACGACTTAGTACCATCGAAGTCAGTTACAGGATAGTCTGCGAAAAGAGGACTCAATTAAGTACGATAGTGACTAATACAGTGTATATCAAGTGTGGGAGAGCCATGCTCTGGCACGAATGGGTCAGATCGACCGAAATCATTCCACGGCCTCACAGTAAACCAACAACTTTTTCCATGACATCAATATACAAATCTGAAGAAAAAAAATCCCTATACAAACAGCTGATAAATCATTTTGTATGTCAATGTAAAAAAATATTTGATCTTTCCTAATTGGTCTTATGGAAAAAGTTGTTTCGTTTGAGCACATCATCACCGGCCTATAAGTGCCCACAGCTGAGCAAAGGCCTCTTCTCACAAGTAGAAGGTTATAGCATTAATCACTACGCTTGCTCAAGGCGATTGGCGATTTTAAACCTATAATTAGAAATTATAAGTCCAGGTTTCCTCACGATGCTTTCCTTCACCATATGTCAGTGGTGTCTAAATATTTATTAAAAGTACATATAACTTAGAAAAAGTCACATTGGTACTTGCTAGGTTACGAATCCTCGCCCTCTTGCATGAGAAGAGGGCGCCTTAACCTCCGGGCAACTACGACATTATCCAGAATCCACGTTATCCACCAGAATCGGGTTCTTGGATATGTCCCTACTTTAACATAATACACAATATACTTACTGTAGTCCACGATGAGCTCGTAGGATCCCTTGGCGAGTCCGGTGCTGTAGCCGAGTTCCTTGTGGTCGACGCGCCGGTACAGCTTGCGGAACGTGGGCAGCGCTGCCGTACGCATCCATACTATTAAGTCCTCGTTCTAGAAATAAGTATAGATATATATATAAATTAGTACTTTTTAATAATTTTAAAGGAATAAATAAAAGAGATTTGTAACACTGACTTTTTAGCTTAACCTACCGGTACGTAAATAATTCAAATAACTTGCAAGAAATGTTTTTTCGATATATTTGATTCTTTCGTTTAGTTTCATTTGTAGTTCAAGTATAGGCAACCTTCAAAATACATAGTTTTTAGTTCTACTTTGATGTTTAAAACTCAATGCTGTTCAAGAAAAATGTTATAGTAAAGTTTTTTGTAGTTTCGGAAAAATGGGGACTATGACACTGACGCACAGATAGCCATGACGAATCTAATAGAGTTCCGTTTTTTCCATTGTGCTATGTGACTATAAAATACGTATCTAATTTTTATGAACCTGAATTCTCAAGACCTAGATCGTTCGATCAATTGATATTTGATTATATGTAAATAATACTTCTAAAGGTTTTTCAAAATTGAAAATCCGAAAGCTTAGAGCTCTATTCCAGCAACACAGACATTGATCACTAAACATCCTTCAAGTGTAAACTAGACTTATCAAGAAATTACCTGGAATCCGTTGTTTTCAGTGTTGTTAGGGTCCAACTCCCAGACATTGACTCGCCAATTTTCAGGCTTCGTGAAATTTGCGAATGCTGTAATAAATAAATATCTTGTTATAAAATATAATGGGCCTGAAAAGTACTAGAGTGGCAACCAAAGACATTGTCAGAGTCGCGGGGAGCCAATGGATGGTGGCAACTTGTAGTTCGACGTGGAAGGTTAAGGGGGAGGTGTTTGTAAAGCAGTGGACGTTTTCCGGCTGATGATTATAAAAAACTCATGACATCAAATTCCACGCAAGCTACAGCACACATTGACATAATGCTGAATATATAAACACTCCAGGCCGGGCCACTCCGCTCCACTAATTTTCACGCAGATTCTTGTGCATTAATGATTGAAGTACCATGTTAAAATCTTTGGTTAATCTTGAGAATTTTTAACCTTTTGAGGGCCATTGTTACATATACGTGACAAACATTGTAACAAATAAGTGTGGGAGAGCCATGCTTCGGCACGAATGGGTCGTCTCGACCGGAGTTATACCACGGCCTCGCAGAAAACCGGCGTGAAACAATCATAGCGTTGTGTTTCGCCGTGTGAGTGAGGTTACCGGAGGCCCAATCCCTCTTCAACTCTTAAATCTCCAAATCCCTAATCCCTAAAAGGTCGGCAACGAACTCACAACTCCTCCGTTGCGGGGGTTCCATGGGACGCGCTGATTGCTTACCATCAGGTAATCAGTCTGCTCGTTTGCCGATCTATTACATAAAAAAAGCGAAATCTGTCCCTGGACGCCAACGTCACAAATATGTAACAGAAAAAGCGGTTTACAGAAACACAAAATAAACATTTTAAACGTTACTGAAATGCCTGTTTGTTAATATATCGTTAAAATAGAAACTCTAATTCTTGTTTATTTCTGATAAGCGTATCAAATAGCATTATAGCTATTGAGAACTTTTACATTAAAAAGTAAGCAATTAAATTTAAAAAAAAGAATGTTCAGTGCCTGCGTAAGGGCCACTGACACTCCGGGCGAAACTATATTGGCGCCCACTTCAGGGAAGTAATATCAAGTGTTAGTTTTTTGCTGATCGTATTGATATCGTTAGAGTCACTCCTCGACAACAAACCCTCAGAAAATCCATCTAAAAAAATATGCATATGGACAGAGCGTAGAGCACAGTTCTGCGGGTTTGCACGAGGAGAGGCATGAGACTCTAACTTCAGGCCTTGGCGCCCCCAGAATTTGTCGCTTTGGGACATCACCCGATCACAGCCCCCCCCTACCGCTAACGCCGGAACTGAGAATGTTCTCACACGCCTCTGTCACTAGTCAAATATGTGACGGGGAGAGATGTAGCGCATGTTAGAGAAAATAAAAAATGTAAGGGAGACCGGGGCTGGATGTGACAGGGGAATGGCCGCTAAAAATAGAGCTCAATATTATCGTTACAAAGAGACAAAAACTCTTGCCGCTGCCGGCTAGCGTGACGCAAGAGCCAGTGGCGCCTACATAGGCATAGGAGTAGCATAGTATTATTGGTTTACAAGCTAAGTTCCATAATGTCAGAGATATCTTTCTTGTACTATTTACTCCCCCATGCTTTCATAAATCTCCGTTTTTACACCTATATAAATATAAAAATAACCTTGAATGCCTAGATTTGGCGTTGGGGCTTTTTTTGTCAGGGGAAAATCTTCAATTGACTTCTCCCGGGCGGTTAGGCGAGATAGAGTGTCAGACTCTTACTGACTAAAAACTCTCCCGTTCCTTGTCCTGCTCTGGGCTGAGGCTGCGGTGACTCATTGCGCTTAATCTCCAAACCCGGCTGAACATCAGCCCTATAGGGCCCCATCTGTGGTGGTCTATTGGCTCGTTGAGGCGTTGGGGATATGACACAATCTGCCCCGAGCAAATGTAGCTTTACTTCACCTCATGCTATACAAAAGGCAAAAACTATGTAACACAAATGTTAGTCAGCAACAACCACCACAACTTGCTCATGGTAGGTAGTGATTTGTCAACAATGATTATTTTGATACGGTTTAAAGAATAAAGCATACCTGTTTTAAGATCTCCAGGAGGGTTCCTGAACTTGATTTGCTTGTCAGACTCCCAAGCGATCCCTGTGCGCAGCACCGGCACGTTCGAGTTCGAAATATGGGAGAACACCGTCAATGTATCTGGACAAATATTAAAATATTATTTTTTGTTTTTGTTTTGACATAACTATATCATCAATATTGCGCTGGTAAGGAGGTTAAGGCATACGTTTCTCATACATGATCGTGCAAGTTCGAAACCACCTTGTGCTATTTGCTTTCTGACCATTGACAAACGGTGAAGGAAAACATCGTGAAGACTGAACTTCTAATTTACAATATAAACTTGAAATCATTAATCTGCCATGAGCAATCGAGATGATTAATGCTCAAACCTTCTTCATATAAAACGAGGCCATTGCTCGGCAGTATGCACTTATAGGCTGATGATGTGAAGAGATAAGTTAGACTTTTTGATAGATAATTTAGGGAACAGAGAGTCAAGTTCCGCATGATCGGAAAAGGAGGATCCTCCGACGAAATGCTCAGCCTAGCGGGCTACTGCCCAGCAATTGTACGTGGGGATTTTCCATCCATGTTTCATCATCATCATCATCAGCCTATAAGTACCTACCCACTGCTGAGCAAAGGCCTCTTCTCATGCGGAGAAGGTTAGAACATTAATCACCACGAATGCTCAATGCGGGCTGGCGATTTCAAACTTATAATTAGAAATTATAAGTCCAGGTTTCCTTACGATGTTTACCTTCACCGTATGTCAGTGGCGTCTAAATAATCATAGAAAGTACATATAACTCGGTAGAGTTACATTGGTACTTGCCAGGTTTCTTAACCTCATGCATGAGAAGCGGGCTCCTTAACTTTGGTTTCTAAACCTCATGCATGAGAAGCGGGCTCCTTAACCTCCGGGCCACCATAGCAGTTTCCAGACCAGACCATCCATATTTATTCGTACACATACTTCTCTTTATTCATGTAGGGCTTATTACATCTTTTGAACATTATCGCCACAATAAAAGAAGATTCTGTAGGCACGTACCATTGAATAGAGAGTTGGCTATAGCACCACATGGGGCCACTGGTTTCTCCTTCCCATCTTCCATTGCATAAGCAAACGGCAAGCAGTCGGTCGAAGGTGTTAGCGATAGGCGGCCCAGAAGCTGACTGTCATCCCTATAAAGATAAAAACAGAATTCAGCTCTCAAAAACGATTTATATACCCATTTTTAACCCCGACGCAAAAAGAGGTGTGTTATAAGTTTGACGCGTCTGTCTGTGGCATCAAAGCTCCTGAACGAATAAACCGATTTCAATTTAGTTTTTTTTTTTGTATTACACGTGTTTTACGGGCGAGTGTTCTTAGACATGTTTGATGAAATTCGGTTTATCTTCCCCACTTTGTTAAAGTGGGGAAGATAAACCGAATGTCTGCAAATATGCTCAAGTGGGGTATCAAATGAAAGGTTATGAATTGTACATCACAAAAAACAAAAACTTCTATAAGTTTGACGTCTCTGTCTGTGTGTCTGTGGCATCATAGCTCCTGAACGGATGAAATGATTTCAATTAAGTTTTTTTTTGCATTATATACTTTTTAAAGGTTGCTCATGTTTTTTTTCTATCGGTTTTTTTTTAATTTTTTTTATTTATTATATCGATGTTTGAGAAAGGAACTTTTGCGTCGATACAGAGTTCACCAGGTCAAGTGAAAACTGATCTGGCAAAATATTTTATGTACTGTTGTATAGCATACAGTAATACGTAATAAGGGCTATAATAACAAAGCGCCTAACGAAGAAAATAATATTCTCCTTAGTAGGTTGTATAGGGCAATTTCGGCAAATGGCCTTAATATTGCTGCTGACATTCAACTGTAGGTATCGGTGTTAGTTGGTTCAGAAGGTCAAGGAAGATGATATTTGTTTTTAAACAGATTTGGGGGAAATCAATAAGTGTAGTAGAGAATAAAACAATAAAAATTTCTATAGATCAGGCATTACTTTGCGGAAATCCATAACATTTAATAAAAATTTCCCTAATTTCTCAGCAGTAGCATAGAGCCAGGAATAAAACTTGATTTATGGCAATAGTCTCAACCCTTAGGCCTACAGCAGGAGAAGGAACAGGGGGCTTTTTAGTCAGTAAGAGTCTGACAATTCCTCTCGCCTCACCCTGGGCGGGTGAAGTCATTTGATGATTTTCCCCTGATAAAAAAAGCCCTAATCAGATGACTGACAATGATAAAATAACTAGAGAATTAGATTTATTTTATATTATCAGGAAAACAAACAATTATTATTATCTGTGGAATATTGATAGTCATCGAATTAATTGTAGCACTAATAACACTAGTAAGTACCCATAAAATATTATTCAACTTATTCACATTGATTCTGTGAGGGTCAATCTTTTGTATTCTTTATTATCTATTACAAAAGCTACCAATGAATCATTGATATGTTTTGCATTTGAGTATTTAGTGACACATGATGATATTAAGTATTACATACAAGCGAATAGCTTCACTAAGAGGACTGACCGACAGACTGACACTTTGTATCTTTAAAGTTGTGTTGACGTTCAAAAGTGCCTGTATGGGTCTAATTGAAATAAATAATTTTGACTTTGACTTTGACTTTGATTATTATACATTATATATTACACATATACATGCATGAATGTGCTTTAAAGAACCGATTGAAACCAGTTGTTAGAGATTGAGGAGCTAACCTAAGGGGGGAAAACATCAAATGACTTCTCCCATCCTGGGCATGGTGCGAGGAAGTGTCAAACTCTTGCTAATGTAAAACCATCCCATTACTTCCCCTGGTCTGCTCTATGGTTGCGCTACATGTTAATGTGATTAGCAAAACCTATATTTATGTAGAACAAGAGACTCTATAAGAAAAACTAAGGTTTTTTTTACAGCAAAAGTTGTTTAGGCTTTATTAAGAAAGACTGTTACTATAATAGAATTTTACCTATAAGAAGTTTTAAATACTTAGATGGTTTTCAGTACACAGAATTATTAAATACTTTCATTCATTGATTTGACGGTTTTGTTAGTTTTTCGATATAAGCTCTTACAAATTTTTCATTTTGTCACATAATGTTAAAGATCTTATTATAAATAGGGACAGACAATGGAGACCAACTTTCTTCTTTACTATGTAGTGATAGTAATATAAGTGATATTAAAGATAGAAATACTGCAGCATACCTTGACTTGACATATCGTCGATGATTTTGATAATAGTTGCTGAGTCCATAGTAAAAGTACACATCTCCCTTGAAGTCCTCCGTCAAGTTGAACGGTAGGCGGCAAGAGCAATGTTGCATAGAAGTCCTTTTGATATAGTCTGCGCATGTTATATTTTCTCCTTCTTTCAGACAATGTGTGTAGTCTATCACATGTTCTTTTACCTAAAAAGTAAAAACTAATTAGATCTTGTCACAAATATGCTAGAAGACAATCTATATGACGCAAATGCATATTATAAAAAATATTGCATTTTATTCAATATGCAATTCTGGGTCAAAGAAATTTTATGAAATAACTTTGTTTCAAAATATATTCGAGCAATTTTGTTGACAAAATTAAATTAAAGCTAAGTGAACTGACAAGCAACTTTATAGGATATAGTATAATAATAATATACCATATAATAAACAAGTTTACCTCATCAGAAAAGTAGAGTAAGCCTATTCCTACGGGAATAAACGCAATGCCTATTACAAAGAACGTAGGAAGAACCGTTCCCGCAGTAAGAATAGGCTGCCAGGCAGGTAAACGTTGCTGTTTAAATGCAGATTCTAGAAACAAAACAGTAAATTAGTCCAATTCCCAAATCAATACCCACAAGGCCATTTTTAAGGTGCGTCAAGTGCCTTACCTGCTGGTCGCCTAGATTTTACATTTTGTTCCGACGTTTCACTAGACGTGGCCATCGTAAACAAATTCTATGACTTCGTAAGTAATCCAATCTAAAATTAAAAATTACGATTACGACTTTACGACGATGAACACATCACACTAACACAATAAAATTACTGTATTTTCCCGAAGTGTGACCAGCGCTAATGGTTTAATTTCGTCAAATGTCAAAAATAATTGTAAAAATTCTAATCTATTTAATTTATAACAACTTTAAAGAAATGCATGCTCACGCGATAGTTTTTTTTCCATATTTATAATATATAACAATTTTCTTTTTGTCATTTTATTACTCATGCTATTCCTATTTGGCTTTTATTTTCCCCGTTTTTTGGGATTCTGGACATATTAGGCAGGCAACATAGATCATGACTTCATGACAGTACGGAAATGTCAAAAAAATGTTGCCATGCCTATGTACTTAAATCTACTGTAGTGTTTATATAGACTTTGATGTTTACTATGTATAAGAAACATTTTTTGTTTAGTTAGTTTTATACCTACTATTATTGCATTATTTTTTAAATGACACACGTGTGGATAGCAAAGTCTTTCTTTTCTTCTTTTTATATGAACATTGCCTAGATAAAGATTGCTCATACATGGAACATTAGTGAGTGGATTTGATAAGGGGCGGATATATTTTTCTGTGCGGGAAGTCTCCCCGCGGCATTTTGCATGGCAGCCGGTCAGGCGACCAGTGCGAGAACTAGTTTAGAGTCAATACTGAAAACCGTTTTGCTTTTTAATGCATTTTTTATGTAAAAGAAGCTGTTAATATTATATTACACATATGAGGATAGTTTTTTTCCGGTTGTAAAAAACCTTACTGGTTATAATTTACGGGAATGCCATATAGTTAATACATTCTGCAATTAAAACGCAATAGCTTGGAAAAAATAATATGTAAGAAAACTATGTTGATAAATGAAATAAATGAATAATGTATGTGACCATCGCCACCAACAAAAAAATGTTACACAATTTTTAACTGCATACATCATTAAACCTAAGCGAAAGCCAGTATTCGCTCACCTTTTACAATGTGGGAGAGCCATGCATCGGCACGAACCGGTCGGCTCGACCGAAGCGATACCACGGCCTCACAGAAAAATGGCATGAAACAAACACTTGTGTTTCGCCGTGTGAGTGAGGTTACCGGAGGCCCAATCCCTAAATCTCCAAATCCCTAATCCCTAAAAGGTGGGCAACGCACTCAAAACTCCTCCAATGCGGGTGTCCATGGGCGGCACTGATTTCTTACCATCAGGTAATCCGTATGCTCGCTATTAAATAAAAAAAAACCTACTGTGGAATGAATTACCACAGATAATAGGTTAAATCTTAAGGGCAGGCTGAGTATACCTGGTATACCTCAATTTGATCTGGATACTACAATAATTGAAGCAGAAGTAGTTGTGTCCTAAAAATTGAAGAAATGTAATAGAAGGATGCTTTTTATAATAATATTGGATACCATTTGATAAAGTAAAAACTAAACACAAGTTGTAATATAAAGCACTTTATTTATTATACATAAATAAATACAAAAATATCTGAGTAGTAGTTTACATGAATGCAGCGGACTTTAGGTATTTTCTAAGAGTCAAGTACCTAGGCGACACATAGAAGGCAGTAAATTATCATTATTTAAATATACAAATTATATTTAAATTTATCAAATTTCAATTGCACGCTTTAAATGTAACATACATAATATCGACGTCGCAACGTCGACTTTTTTGCCTTTACGTTCCATTTGTGTATGTAAGTATTATTCAATGTAAGATGTAATTTATTAATATTTCTTTTCAATAAGTCTATTAGGTTCTTTTGTGAAACGAACAATCAGAAAATACTAAATGTCAATTGTTTTTATAGCGAAGCTAATATAATCTGCTGCCCTCTATACTCATAATTCCACTTATAAATGATAAATGTTGGAAGTATAAATCACATTGCAAAACATATACTTATATTGATATTTATCCTTAATATTTGTGAATCAGATATTTAATTAAATATTAATAATAAAAAGTAAAGCTTCTCTTGGCGTATAAATCGTGTATAAATATATCTAGACAGTCTAATCAGTAACACGGTAAAAAAAATAGTTGAGGTATTGTTTGATTTTATATTGAGAGATGATGATACACAAAAGTGATAGCGAGAGATAAGGCAAACTTTACCTATCACTTTTGTGAACAGTTCTTAAACTAGAAAATACATATTTACCAAACGGCAACTTAGTTATTATTCTGAGTAGGTACTTTGTGCGAGTTATCCTTACGTTAAAGCGATGGAAACGTTACCGCGTTTAGGACTATGATTGATTTATTATCTTGAAGCTGGCCAATCAGAGAACTGAGAAAAATCTGAGAGATTGAGGCCAATAGCTGAACGTCATATTTTGTCAAACCCTCATAAAGAAAACTCGCAATAGGCACTTTGAATGGCACTGTTTAGTAAATGGGTTAGGCTTGGCCGTAAATTTAACATGGGACGGCTAATGAAGCCTGGCGGGATAGATATATATAAAAAGTAAATCTCTGTGTATAAAATTTGGATATATGTAATTATTATTGGTAAACCACAAAAACAAGTCACATTTGAAGTAATAAAGAGGGAACATTTTTCAGAATTCCTTTAATTACCTATAAACCGGAGATGCATTAACAGCTTTTTTTTTGTAGGGATGCAGAATCATCATATGACCGCTCCCAATCTAAAAAGGGGTCTGGGATTATGGTATAGGACTAGCCTCGCCCACCATTCCGGTACTTTCTTAAGTGATATTTTATAGTCTTTTAAGTCTTTATGTCTTGCAGGTTTTCATACAAACTTTCATGTAAAAAAACATGCAAACTTTTACGAAGTTTGCATTTAATACTTTAATCGCTATACATCAAGATTTGGAAGTACACTGTCTAAATATTTTTTAATCGTGCCAATTTAATGTTCGTAAGGAAACATAAAATTGTGTCTTTATGTCTCTCTAAACTCCTTTTCAAATTATATTTCATTAGGATACATGAAATTTTAAACTATGTTATAAAACAGTGTGTAAAAAGACACTTAACGAAGCCGTTAACTACGCATACTGAAGTTCTAACTAAGTAGCTTTACGCTAAAATTATCACTGGAAAACGACTTTTATTTTTAGGTATTAAAAAATATATATAATTTTATTGCGCGCGATGTAAAGCAAACGGGCTTCGTGTCATTGTGTGCGAAGGTTCACAGCTTAGCATTAAAACGCTGTGATAAGTACCTACGTAGGTCTACGTTTTACTTCGCAACAACAAAACAATTCTGTAAAATAAAAAACCTACTAAGATGCACGATGTTTTTTTGTGCGGGTCTGCATTTATTTATTACGTACATTACTGTTGGTAACTTTAAATGCGTAATTTATTTAGAAAAGTCGAAAATTCAGGTAATGTTTGTTTGGAAAAAAGTTTTGTAATAATACTTAGAATTCGATTGCACAAAAAAAGGAAAATTAAAAATGCATCTTTGACCTTCAATATCTCGAGAACCCGTGGAGTCCCAGCTATGGTCTTAAAGAAAAAAATGATCCAAATAATGTGTAATACGTGGCTTTCGGCTTCGTGAAGTGTCTTTTTACACCCTGTATATTCCGTATGTGTACGAAGTTTCATTTAAATCGATACTGTACAGCAGTTTTGATGACCTGATTTTGCATGGTTTGTATGGGAACCCGCACGCGTATATGCACTTAATACAAAATAAGTGTGAAGGGTGACGTGTTTACAATACCAAATATTCTACTATAATGCAAAAGATAGAACTATGTTCTATAACTTACAGAAAATATCGAGACTACTTAAGTGCTTAACAAAAAAAAATGCTAAGAACACATAACTACAACGTGTTCAATAAGTAATAAATATTAAGTTCACAATAAATCGAGACTTGAAATACGCTAAGAAATAAGTAAGTAAATAGTTTATGCTTGTTTATATAGCCGAATTCCTTATTCAGCCTGTTAGTAACATAGTGAAGAGATTGCCATTTTAAACAAAATGCTACCAGAATGGTAGATTTTGTAATCTTGTGATTTAAAAAATCCCGAATACACAATAAAATAAACTGATATCAGTAATTGTATTTGGCAATCTATTATTATTTACTTAACATCAACCACGGTTCGAGATCAAAGAAGAGTGGGACCACATTGTAAAAAACAGTGAATACGAAATTCATATTATTATGTGTAAACACACAAGGAAAACATCCATCTAAAATTAATTATTTTTTGATTGATGGTATTTTTTTTTACACTTAGCTAGTTCTTTGGTCAAGGATTATACCAGGCTTGTATATAGCTGGGTAAATAAGATTGACCCAAGGCGCGAACATTTATGTAAAGATGAAAATGTGCTAGCACAATGACTGGTTCCTGTTTATCAAGTTTCTGTTAAGGACTTAAAACTTTACTCATTTGATATAAAGATGAAAATCTACTAAAGCCAATTTTACAGATGAGAATACAAATATAATGGCAGGTTTTCTGATTCATATGAATCAAAATAATATGTTTTTATAAACAAACAGAACATTATACCCGTTTCAGTTGAATTCTCGAAAACTAATCGTTTTATTACCATATAAAAACTTTGTTTAATATTATTATTAAATGTGAGATATTGTCATTGAATAAATTAGGTTAGTTTTCGAATTAGAAAGGATAACATAAGAGCAGATAGATCTCATCATATCTTGCAATGACAAAATCTCGACTAGTTTCAAGTCATCACGGGGCTCTTGGCTGCGTGACGTCGCCGCGACGCTCACGCTGTTCATAAATACATAAAAAATCCCTTTTTGTCTTCAAGCTCGTCGTTTTTTCGTCGTCGTCGTAGTCGTAGTCGTGGTCGTTATTTTCAATCAATTTAGTATGTCTCACGATAGTTACTATTCCAAAATAGTCACATTACGTTGCCAGATCATCTTTTGTTAGATCATTGAAATCCTATTAGCGGCCCTCCCTACGTTTTAAGCAGAATAATGCGGCTACAGCAACAACGGTCACCGAACCCAGTACTAAGAAGGCAATACCAAAATTACGTGCGATATAATTTGTCCACTCGCGGAAAGAACTGATGATGATTTTCCGACGACCGCTGTAACGTTCCTCAGGATACGCTGCAAAAAAATACACATTTAAAATAGATTTTTTAGTTTTAAGTAGGTACTTACTAGGGTATGGTTAAAACGTAACACAACATCCTTATAAACCGTCAATTTATGATTAGTGTAGAGTTAGTTAGCATGGATACTATAATATGGTAAGATTCTAATTAAAGACGGTAATCATATTATGATAACGTAGTACTAGCATAACATGGTCTTACCATGGTAAGATTCTAATTTAAGACGGTGATCATATTATGATAACGTAAACTTACCATAATATGGTAAGACTCTAATATAAGACAGTAATCATATTATCATTACGTAGGCTTACCATAATATGGTAAGACTTTAATATAAGACGGTCATCATATTATCATTACGTAGTACTACCATAATAAAGTAAGACTATAATATAATATACTGAATAGTACTAATGTGACTTTTTTCGAGTTATATGTACTTTCTATGATTATTTAGACACCATTGACATACGGTGAAGGTAAACATCGTGAGGAAACCTGGACTTATAATTCTAATTATAAGTTTGAAATCGCCTACCCGCATTGAGCAAGCGTGGTGATTAATGCTCTAATCTTCTCCTTATGAGAAGAGGCATTTGCTCAGCAGTGGGCACTTATAGGATGATGATGATAATATAAGACGGTAATCATATTATGATAACGTAAACTTACCATAATATGGTAAGACTCTTATATAAGACGGTAATCATACTTTGATTACGTAGATTTACCATAATATGGTAAGACTCTTATTTAAGATGGTAATCATATTATGATTACGTAGACTTACCATAATATGGTAGTACTTTTAATATAAGACGGTAATCACAATTATTATGATAACGTAGACTTACCATAATATGGTAACTCTATTGGTACGTTTACACGCTTGACGAAACTTGGCACACATTCACTACCTCTAAGCGTGTGAACAGGGTGTTTGGCGTGGCTTAGATGAGATTGCAAGAGCTTGTTGGCGATCCGGTCCGGTGTCTGGTTTTGGACAAAGATCAATGGAAAATTGTGACAAGCGTTTGAGACGTAATTAAACTTTAAGGATTGAAGCTTGTAGACGTTTGCCAAGTTACGGCAAGCGTGTAAACGTACTATAAAATAAGACGGTAATCATATTATGATTACGTAGACTTACCATATCGGACACGTATCACGTAGTTGGCGGCCGGCAGACCTTGTTCATAGTACCCCGTATGATTGATCCGCATTACCGGTTTCCGGCGCAAATTCGTCTGCATCCACGCTATGAATGCCTCATTCTGTAAATACACCAAAACTACTTTATTTTAGACAGATTTATAGAATGTGGTGTGCCGATTTCATAAGGAATTATGATTACATAGACTTACCATAAATGGTATCTCTTATTTAAGACGGTAATCATATAAAATTTAAATGGGCATTATATTTAATAATGATTACGTAGCGATAAAGAATTATTTAAAAAAAGAAAAATCCTCATAGGGACTTCTTGTACAAATCTTCACTCCTTTTGACGCGTTTTGTAGTATCTATATTTTGAAGACTTATTTGTTTGTTTTGAAAATAAAGTTTGGTATTTTGCAATAAATTTTCAGCAATTTTGAGGGGATTACCTGAAATCCATTATTCTGAGGATGATCCTCATCTAGCATTGTAACGTTATTTTTCCAGTTTATCGGTTTCGCGTAATCCTGTAATGCTGAAATTATAAAAAACGTCATCTATAAAATATTTTTATAAAAAAAATTGGGCAGATGAAAATGCGTGGTTAGATTCATGTCATCAAATTGAACATACGTTTTACGTGTAACTGTAAAATGGAAGTGTGTTGTGTTTGTGTGTATACGAATAGACAGGGCCCAGAATATAGCATTACCAATTCATTCTAAAAATTATCGAATACACAAAAAATACCGTTATCGTCGCTTTATTACGCATTGTACATTTGGATAAACCGAATTGAACCAGTGAACTCAAAGGTCACGGTTCACCGTGATAAGACCCAGGTGAATAAAATGGAATATAGCGAGATAACCACGCCAACTTTGATTGGCATACTACCAGTAATTACATCATTTTCAAGTTAAGAGCTCCATATACGTGCTTTACTTTACTATGACATTTAATAGGTTGCCCCACACCAGAATTTTGTCCTGTATCATGTGTGCGTTTACAGAATAACTATTTCACATACACATCACACCCAGACCCGGACCAGTAGATCACACAAAGAGTTTTTCCATATGGGAATCGAAACCGGCAGCCAGCGTCAACCGTGCAATAAAATTCGGAGTCATTCGGCAGCCAGGTGCATAGCCGCAGTGACAAACGTACAGTAAAAAAAACTACATTTAATTTTAAAAAAATGCAAAGTTTACTAACCCACTTTAAGATCTCCTGGTGGATTACGATAGGGTTTCTTGTCTTCTTCCGATAACAAACCAGTTCGGATTCCTATTAAATACGTGTTGTTTATTTGCATACTGAACGTATCTGAAACAAAACGGTTACCTTAAACTTTAAAAACAAAATAATAGTCTGTCTAACCTGTTGTCTTATGCAACTTGCTATTTGAAAACGGTGAGAAAATGTTTGTCACATCGTTCATTTGAGAATAATAATAATATTATTAAAGTTGTTCAAAAGGCCTCTGCGAGTTAGCTTCGGTCCCTCGGACGCAGTCCATAGATCCGGGATTCTGTGTTCCCATGAATGGAAGCGAACATAATTATAATAAATAATCTTGAACTTACACCACAACAGTTTGTGGCATGGTTACCGAATGTAGTTATGGTGCGGATGAGGTTACCAGAGGCCCAATCGCTCCCCCTCTCCTATCCTTTCCCAATCTATAAATATCCGAAACCGTTATCCCTAAAACCCTTACCCCTTACTGCATTACTAAATCCTTTGGTATTGCGGGTGGGTGGTGGAGTCAGGCAAACTGTTTGCTCGTTTGCCGACCTATACCATAAAAATAAGACATGGCTGGGATATATGTACATAATAAAAATATCATAGGTTCAAATGTGGCTTATCCCCTATTTAATAAACTATATTTTTTAAAGTTAGTTCTCTGGTGTTGGCGAAAGTCCATGAGCAGCGCCGATTAGTTACCAACAGCTGATCTGCCTGTTTGATTACAGACCTATGCCAGAAAACTGTGACAAAAGAAATTTTTAAACTAAGTTCAGGGATTGGGAATTGTGTTTGTTTATTTATATATTTTCATTATTCCTACTACATAATTAGTTAATGTGGTACTGTGCGTACAAAGGGAATACGCTTGTTTTTTTAGGTCCCAATATAACTGGAGAAAAAACGCGGATTATTATTATAGTGAGTATCTTTGCCTATTTTAAATGAAGTTGGAAGATACCTACACATGTATATAAGTAAGTTTACCGTTAAACATGGCATCTGCAAGAGCTCCACAGGGCGCGATGAGCTTCATACCGTTCGTAGTATTGGCATAAGTATAGTTTCCACAGCTGGACGAATTTGTGATCAGTTGACCAGCCAACTGCTTGTCATCCCTGTGAACAAATATTATACAAAACTCTAATACAGCCCCCATTCCAGTCAGTAACATGAACTTTACCCGAAGGAAGGAATGGCATGATTAAGTGTGGGAGAGCCATGCTGCGGCACGAATGGGTCTTTCGACCGGAGTGATACCACGGCCTCACAGAAAACCGGCGTAATATAACCAAATAGTTGTGTTTCGCCGTGTGAGTGAGGTTATCGGAGGCCCAATCCGTTCCCTTTCCCGAAATCTCCAAAACCCCAATCCCCAAAGACAACGCACTCGTAACCCCTCCGTCGGGTGCCCATGGGCGACGCTGATTGCTTACCATCAGGTAATCGGTTTGCTAATTTGCCGACCTATCACTTAAAAAAAAAGAAAGGAAATGGCACACATCAGTCACATCACACATCGTCATCAGCCTATAAATGCCCGAAGCTGAGCAAATGCTTCACCTCACACGGAAAAGGTTTAAGCATGAATCACCACCATCGGTCAAGAGGGATTGGTTATTATAAACTTGTAATAACTAAATATAAATCCATGTTTCCTCAAGGTGATTTCTGTTACAGTTTGTCAGTGGTGTCTAAATATACCGTATTTAGAAAGCTCGTGGCGGCCCGGAGGTTAAGGCTTTCGAGTCTCAAGCATGAGGATGCACGTTTGGAACGTCGCAAGTGCCAATGTGACTTTTTCTAAGTTATATGTCCTTTCTAAGGAATGACAAGATGAAAGAAAATTCAGGATAACCCAAAACCCATGTAGACTGAGGGATACAAACCCATATATGAATATACCAAGGGATATGGTTCTTTACTTTTTTGTTCTAACGGGTTTAAACGTCCTTCAACTCAACTCAAATTATTAAGTTTTCCTGTTGCTCTAATCATTTAGGTATCCAATACATACAAATACGAGTGCCCATTTACGATACATTCATATGAAGGTTAAAAACGCGATTATTTTACTAATGAGCAGCGCTATTGTTTTCGTGATTAGGTCACGTCAATGCCTAACATCGCATGTGCGAATAAAATTGTGCAACAGTCACTAAAAATATATATTTTTTAACTCAGCAAAGAATGGCGTCACTGAAAATGTATAAATAAAAAATAAAAAAAATATTTGTAGCAATAATAGTAAAAATAATGGTACAGGAAAAAAGTATAAATTTTTAAAACCACCGATCATTGGTTGACGCGTACATATGAGACATCCTTCAACATATAGGTATTAATTTGACTTTCAGATAATATTTACGTTGTTTTTTAAGACGCGATACAATCTTATTAATCTACCTTCGCTTTCATTTTGCATGCATATTTAGGTATTGTTGCTACATATCTGCATGTATACGAAACCAGTATATGCTCACAGTCATTGTCTTTATGCCTTAGTGACCTAAGTCACTGGATTTTTTATGGACGGTTAGTTAGTCACTGAACTTATAAAAAAAACATATCAATTACCTATACATACCTACACTTAGAGCATATGAAATACATCAGTTTAAAAATGCTTATGTTCGAATGCCGTTATTTTCCTTATATTTTAAGGAAGGAAAGTATTCAGAAATCGATGATGAGGCATGACGTCAAATATAAATTCATCACGTGTATGGGACATTGTAATTGATTGTGACTGCACTCACAACACAGGGGAAAATGAGTGTGGGGCATAAAAACGCACAGGGTCAGACGAAAGGGAGCGTCAGAAGTCAGACTTGTACTGACTCAAAATCACCCCATTCCTTCTCCTGCTCTAAGCCGATATCTAAGAAACGCACGCGGAACGCTATGCGTCTAATGCTCGTGTCTGGTTCTCGTCTGGCGGCAAGCTACAATTTCTCGCCGTCCGCAAACACGTGCATATGGTGGCTGGGGGTCGTCACTCGATCTCCGAAGCCCGGAATGTATCTTACTGCGGCAGTTGGGTCGTGAGAAGGATAATTCCCTCATGCGCTCCACCTCCTTCTTAGCATCACTGCCTCGCAGAAAGCGAAGAGGGCATTCCATTTCCCCTAGCTCCAGAGGCGTTATTACTCCGAACTCTCAAATTTCAATTTCAACAATCTTAGGATAGGTACGTGCCTTATTGCATTCACATTCTTTATTATGAAGTTTCATACCACTTCGCACATCCATCCCTGACGCAGTCACCGCATTTCTAACAGGGGTCGCAATACCGAATAATTTGAGCAAAACCGGTATTTTCGGTATTGGCTTCAGACCAATACCGATAATCCGGTATTTTCGATATTTCCGGAATTAAGCTAAAGTTAGCAAATTTAGTATTATATATAAAGTTAGTTTCCGAACGAAAAGTAAGTAGGTACCTAAATGAATTTATCTTCTAAATAAATCAAAATTTTCATTGACACAAGGTTTATTATTTGATATGTTGTTAATCAATTAATTATTCAGTTAGTTCTTAGCAATAATTTGCTAATACTAAATGCCCTTTTATTCCGTGTTTGACTAGGAAGTAGGAATCAGTTCTAAAAATAAAATGTCTATCAAACTTAAACATCCCACAACAGTCTCAACATAAACAAAAAAAACAAAAAAAAAACACTTCTAATAAAACAAAAAAAAAAAACAAAAAATTCTCATAAAACATTACCTAAATTAACTTTTAGTATGGTTTACTAATCATCAAAAATATCCTAATTACAAAATAATAAAAATGCTTAAATTAAATTCAGTCCAAATCAAATTGAGTTATATAGAGGGAATCAAAATATTATTAAATCTCTATTAAATTTTTGGTTGAGCCTTGTAATAAGATCGTAAAAACAGTAAAGTATCTAAACTTTTATCCTTTAATCTTGATCGCAAATGATTACACAAGTAACCCGATGAAGAGAAAGCTCTCTCTGACTCTATACTAGTTGGTGGAATACTTATTAAATTGTTGAAGGCCATATTCAAATATTTTCCTCTAGACCCACCGTTTTCGTAAAAAGCCATTTCTATTTTGATCAAAGTGTCAAAGTCAGGTGCAGTTTCTATTGATGTGCTGTTCTGATTTAGCATTTGCTTTTTCACCGCCATTTCTAACTGTTTCGTTAGTGGCACTAAAGCTGAAGGGAGGTCATCATATGCAGAAACAGTAACATCATGTGTAGATTCCAGATTAAAAATTTCTTTGGGTTTGACAACATCCACAATGTGTTTTCTTATCTCTGGGCTATCTGGCCTTAAAAATACATCGCAGTATTCATTTGCTGAACCGAAATAGGTTTTTGGGTTATGTAGATAATTTAAGGTTGAAGCAACCAGCAACCTTCGTTCCTTAACCCTACGTTTCAGAGAAGTTACAAGTTCACGAGCAACTAACTCATGTTGCATGGCATCTAATTTTGTGAACATAAACTTCAGAGCAGTGTTACAAGTTCACGAGCAACTAACTCATGTTGCATGGCATCTAATTTTGTGAACATAAACTTCAGAGCAGTATCGGCAGTAATTAGGCTAGCGGTTCTTTTGCACAGTTCTTCGACAGTGGCGTAACTTTTTCTATTTGTATTTGTTTTTTATTTATTTTACTAAAACCGAAAATATCGAATATCCCGGTTTTTGTGAAATGAATACCGGTATTAATTAGACCTAAATTTGGCCCGGTATTCCGGTATTTTCGAAATTCGGTATCCCGGTTTGCGACCCCTAATTTCTAAACCTGCTAAGCTTCCCAAGCCGCAGCTTATGACGTCACTACTGTGCCTACTTGATTGAAATTATAACTGAGATCCAGTACAATGCTTGCTACGACGGGCACGACTGCGTTGATTAAGGCGCGGACAGCGATGTGATAGGCCATTAACAAAAGCGGTTAGGTACTGCACGACGGCGGGGCGTGTGTTGCGCCAGAATTACGTTTACCTTATACCTATCTCTACTTTTTGGGAAGTCGATTGAAAACAAAGTTAATAGGTGTTTTTTTCCGACTTTAATGCGAGGTTTTTTACACATAGTGTAATTCGAAAGAATGGTTTATGAGGTTAGCCTGTCTATATGATTTCATGCACGAACCCATTTCTTTGCGCTTACATCACCGGGTGATAACGATAACGAAGACTGTGACCTCGAAAAACGTAGCTCCGCAGGTTTGGTACAACGAATCGAATAAAAAAAAGTAGACTCGTTTCTTATAAAAATGTGCTATAGGTGTCAAGTAATCATTCAGTTTGAAATACTGCGCTACGTTATTCGTGACTAGTGCGAATTAGTATAACCTCATCCATATTTTTTGGTCTAATTTGATCGAACTACTTAAAAGGCGCCAGCTGACGCAAGTGCCTCAAATAGAGCTAGAAGATGACTCATACCAATTAATTCTAATAAAACGAACATCTCCTAATTAATTACTTCATAATATTCGAACTCACTACAATGAGCTAGTGTAAACTTAGTTCCAAGGCCACTAAATTAATTACCTACTTGATACAACTTGATGTTGAACACTTAAAATTGACAATTTTAAAGACTAGAGAGGTTTTTTTTTCAAGTGAAATCATCAAATGATTTTTCCCGCCCAGGGTGAGGCGAGAGGGAGTGTCACTCTTATTGACTAAAAACCCCGCGTTCCTTCTCCTGCTCTAGGCCGAGGCCGCGTGCCTCATTGCGCTGACCCCGCAACCCCGGCTTATCATCAGTCCTATAGGGCCCCGTCTGTGGTAAGACTAAAGAGGTGAAGTGTTATTTCAGAATGTCCATTTTGTCACCTCATATACAGAGCGGCGCACGTGTGCACGCCATCCTGAAAAATGACATGAAAAATGGCGAAAAAATAACAGATTTTTAAAGTACCTCCTTTGTGGTTATTTTTATGAGAAAAACATTGACTACAAAATGGAATTAGTAACGATTTCCAAACATTTGTGTTTTTTGTTTTTGTAAAATCGATAGTTTTTACAAAATATATTTCATTCAATTAGTAAGAATTTTAGAAAAAGAAACATTTCTACAGATGCCACGTGGAGCTGAAGCAAGCAAGCAAGCTAACTCAGAGAAAATAAATTACGCGCTACAAACTGCAGAATTCGGGGAAGTATACAGGGTGTAAAAAGACACTTAACGAAGCCGAAAGCCTGGACTCCACGGGTTCTCTATATATTGAAGGTCAAAGATGGATTTTTAATTTTTTTTTTGCGCAATCGAAATCTAAATGTTATTACAAAACTTTTTTCCAAACAAAACTTTACCTGAATTTTCGATTTTTCTAAATAAATTACGCATTTGAAGTTACGAACAGTAATGTAGGTACGTAATAAATAAATGCAGACCCGCACAAAAAATATCGTGCATCTCAGTAGGATTTTTATTTTACAGAATTGTTTTGTTGTTGCGAAGTAAAACGTCGACCTACGTACTTATCACAGCGTTTTAATGCTAAGCTGTGAACCTACGCACACAATAACACGAAGCCCGTTTGCTTTACATTGCGCGCAATAAATTTGTTTTTCTTTTTTTGATACCTAAAAATAAAAGTCGTTTTCCAGTGATAATTTTAGCGTAAAGCTACTTAGAACTGCAGTATGCGTAGTTAACGGCTTCGTTAAGTGTCTTTTTACACCCTGTATATATAAGCAGCTGTAGTAATATTAGGTTACTTCGACTGCGACCTAAAACAGTTTACATGACGCAGTGTTTCGGACGCCGGAAGGTGACTAACTATAACAAAGTTTATTAAATATTCGATCTACAGGAAATCTTGGTAAATATTAGGTACGACAGAACCAAAGAACCGATAGCTGGGTCAAAAAATACAAACTTATTACAGTATTTAGTTACAGTCAGCCACAGCCGAATAGAAAACGTCATTTTAAGTACAGGCTGTGTCCTTAGTGAGAATTGCTTTTTGTTTACGCGATCGACAATTTTATGACGTTTAGCGCTCTAATTGGCCTGATCCGACCAATGAGAGGGCTAAACGGTATAACGTTTCTGTCGCATTGACGGAAAGCAAACAAGGCACTGATTATTGCTTAAACCTTATCTGTGTGAGAAGAGGCCTTTGCTCAGCAGTGGGCACTTATAGGCTGATGATGATGATGATGAAACAAGGCATTCTGATATGTTGTTTACCTTTTCTTTACAGGATAAGTCGGCAAACAAGCAGACGGATTACTTGATGGTAAGCAATCGGCGCCGCTCATGGCAACATCAAAAAAGGTACGAGTGCGTTGCCGGCCTTTTAGGAATGAGAGTTTCGGATATTTACCTAAGGACTGGGAAGGGATGGAAGGGGAGGGATTGAGCCTTGGGTAACCTCAATCACACAACGTAGTAGTTGTTTTACGCCAGTTTTCTGTGAGGCCGTGGTATAACTCTGGTCGAGCCGACACATTCGTGCCGAAGCTTGACTCTCCCACAATTGAATTGTATTTAGCCAGTAAATTTTCTTACCTTGACTTGGCGTATTTGCTGGTAATATCATCATAAGACTCCAACTCGTAGTAGAGAGTTACAGGGGCCTTCATCAGTTCTTTTACATTTATTGATAGAAAACAGGAACACACTTGTGACATAGTTTTTAAAGAGTCTTTACATTTCATTTCTGGATTTTTGAAATCCATACAGTCTGTATAATCTTGAATTATTTCATATCCATCTGACTGTAAATAAAAAAATAATTCTTATTAAATGGACACCTATTTAAAAAGTCTGGTAGCAGAAAATGTTCAAAATAATGAAATTTAGGAAATTAGAGATATTTTTTTATTCTTTAGCTGGAAGTAAGTTGTCTTTTGTTAAGGTAATATTCATGTGCCATTTCATGCTTTTTTTAAGGTGACATTCTCATAAATCACTTGTCTCCCCCAGGTTATGGCATATAGACTATTTTTCTTTAACATCTTCTTGGATATATTGTTCTTTTTAGATACATTAACTTTCTTAGGATGTCTTATTAGATCCATCTACCATTTTATTTTATTTTATGCATTCACCTTCTTAGGATATCTTCTTAGATCCATTATTCTACTAAGATTTTCTATTTAAAGAACAGTTAACCACAATAGGACTTTCTCTTGTGTGGTTAATGTGTTTAGAAACAGATAGATAGATAGATAGATAGATGCACAAAAATTTTTAGAACAAAATGTTGTTCCAGGAATCGATCCTGTGACAATTTATACAGTACAGGCACTTTTAAAATGACAATCCACTCACAAGCATAAAAAAAAATATATTTACCTGAGAAGCACAACTAATCAATATTATTCCAACAATGATAAATGTAATTCCCACTATTGCTCCAATAATCAATAATTTTTGTGTCACTTTCTGCATGATGCTCTTGTCTAAAAAAAAGAAAAAACAAACATATTAGACTACATCATTGACTACATGGCATAAAACATTCTATACAGATTATCGTAACATTTTGAATACCTTTCTGAGAAACTTCAACTAAAACTTAGGAGTTGTTTGTCCATAATATAATATAAATATAATAGATCATGTTAGCTAGGTTATTAAGCAGGAGAAATATATATAGGTATAATGTTACATTGAAAATTTGCGTCTGTGGTTCATGGAATTCAAATGTGCAACATTACCTATGTAATAAATGTATGCATATTAATCACTAATCGTGAACATAAGAATGTTAATCGATTTGGGTATATAATGTACTAAACAGTATCCTAAACAAGATATTAAGGGCAAGACAGAAACAAAAACATTCGACATAAAAACCATGTTTTAAATTTAATCTACAAGTCGTATGTTAATAAATTCCTTTAGTTTTTTGGCATAAATTCTAAGTAATTTTCTTTTCCTTTTTAGTACGTTTAAACGACCCACCCATTATAAACCTAAATGATAAAAATAAAAACACTGATCAAAATACTTACTTGATGCCTCGGAATCATGTATCCCCGGAACCCTATCATTCCTTAACGCATTCAACTCGTCTGCTACCATAATTCTAGTATATACTTATTTACATTTCAATTCTTGAAATCAAAGAGTTTATTAAAACTGATCATCACAACAAATATTAAATAAGAACTGTGACAAGACCACAAGACACGAGACAGGCTGACAGACTTGACAGGACAAACTGACAGCTGCCAAAATTATTACAAAGTGAAGAATAGGTCTGTACATACAGCATTATTTTAATATTCGAAACACATTATTAAACGAGATATTGATGATAAGACACGAATAGAAATAAAACAACAGTAATATTAGCAATTTTTTTCAACTTGCTCATACATTTGGTTTACTGAGCATCCTTCTTAAAAGGCCGGCAACGCACCTGTGACTCTTCTGGTGATACGGGTTTTCATGGGCAGGGCTTTACATCAGGTGATCCGTCTACGGTCTGCTCATTTGCCTCCTATTACATAAAAAAGGAGAGTGAGATACCAGTGCAGTGGTCAGTTTTTGTTTTGAATCCATCTTTTGTCTATATCTTCACGGGTATCTGTGCATGTCTTTCTCTATGATCGGTAAGCTGACTGACACCTTCAATGTCAAATCAAATGTCATTTGCTATTGCCAAATCAAATCCAATTTTGTGGCTGTAGTCGGTATTCTGAATGAATGACACATTATTATTAAACCTCTGTCTTCAAATACACTAGAATCCACAGTGAGTGAATAGAAACAAAAGTGTAGTGAAGATTCAAATATCATTTTTATTTCAAAACCGTTAAAATGTCCAGCGAAACGACCAACAAGAACGTAAGTACTGAATCTATTTTATAGCATCCAACCAAGCTTACTCATAATAACTATGTTTGTTTGAGTTATCGAAGGAAACTAAGTTGTTATACGTGTTATAGCGTTTGTTTTCAACAATATCCTGTGAGGGTGTTGGCTTACTTGTTATTTAAAAGCATAAAGTATAGATATTCGTGTCGCGAAAGTGTGTCGGTTGGGATGCAAACTGAATAATTATATTTGTGACTCGGCGAATGTGTCACAGAGGGTTTTGTACTTAACTGTATCTGTTTGAGTTGTTGAATTCCGATGTTTGAACTGTTTTTCTTGCTTATCAGCTATCATGTTTAGGGGATGTAACTATTTGGTAATTAGTCTACTTATCATAACTTTTAACTCGTAAATATACAGAGTAAACATTTTATCACTTTTTGGTTGTGTACATTAACTGGTTACTTAACTCTACATAACTTTATATTTTATTCCTTAGTTACTTATATTTTTTTTTATTATAAAGCATTACTTTCATGCCATATGTACTTTCTTTTTTTTCTTTTTGAAGTGGTGAAGCACATATGCACATGTTATACTTCTTAGCAAATGGAAAGTTCAATGACCTTAAATAAATACAAGCAAATTGTATCCATGTGTAATAGATCTGTTTTATTAGATATAGATATAGAAGAAACATATTTTTATGGTAAATAATAATTTTCATATGGTATTTTTTAAACCAGTGCAATATTTTAATTGAGTACAATACATATTGTATGTTTTTTTTCTGTTCAAAATAATTCACTGAAATATTATAGTCTCTTGTAATAGATGAGTTTACTATATTTTCTTTATTCATCACTCTTAAAGTTGTGGTAGTATCTCATAAGCAACATAAACATTTAAAACATCTGTTCTCCATAATATTTATTCACCATTACAGAAGTATAAAGTTATCAGAATAATATATTTAGCTATAAAAGGGTGTACAAGTAGAAACATATTTATAATTGTAGGTTAAGTAAAAAAAGTGCCAGGATTGTTTTTGGTTGTAAATTATAAGATTTCTACCTTCCATAAAGGCATGAGATTTTTCAGTAGATATGAAAAAAAATACATACACTACATAGCTATGGATAGCATTAGGGTTAGATGAACTTATTTCAAATATAACTTGGCAGGTTTTAACAATAGATATAGAGGTACTTAAGTGGAACTTTTTATCACAATATAGATTAACAATTGATTCTTACTTATTATTTTTCACATGAACCCAAATTTTGAAACAAGCACCTCTTTACTGATAGAGGGGATGACAAACTATTTGATTTCAAATTTTCTTTTATCCAAAAGAATCTGTATATTGTTTAGTTGTCATAAACATATTGGCACTGTCTTTGCTGTTCCCAAAAAAAAACTTTATACTGAAGGTTCTTTTCTGTTGCAGTTTTCCAATTTGGAAACACCTGGTTATGTTGGGTTTGCCAACCTTCCTAACCAGGTGCACCGTAAGTCCGTGAAGAAGGGCTTTGAGTTCACTTTGATGGTGGTTGGTGAGAGTGGACTGGGGAAGTCCACTCTGGTCAACTCCCTGTTTCTGACCGATCTGTACCCTGAAAGAGTTATTCCTGATGCTATTGGTAAGTATCTATTAGTATGTTGCACATAGCCAAAAAGCCATGCCAGAAAAAAAAAATTGCATGTGTGTCCTTTTTGTATTCAATAGGGCAGAAAACTATTATATTTCATTACCTGATGATAAGCAATCGGCGCCCCCCATGGAAACCCGCCACACTAGAGGAGTTACGTGTGCATTGTCAGTCATTCAGAGATTAGGGTTTTGGAGACTTAGGGACTGAGAAGGGATGGGGGTGCAGAAAGTTTGGGCCTCTAAACCCTCAATAAGGAAGAATTGCTATTCATCAACAAGAAGTTGAAAGGATTGATATTTATGACTAGTTTTTTTGTTATGTCTATCTTATAGATTTCTATTTAAATGTTATTTGGTTTATGGCCCCATTGGCACTCAGAAGTATTGCTGGATAAAAAAAAGGCTTTGTCCTGCAGTGGATTGAAAGATTATTTATTTGATAGTAAATGTATCACCTTTGTCACTGTCAATTCAATAACCCTTACTATAAACATGTGTTAAGAATAATAGTTATTTATCATTATAAGGAAGTTATTTAACCCATGTGTATAAAGTTATATTCTAATTTACCTGTTAGAACATTAACAGTTACAATAAATTTCATAATTTATCGAAACTTTAGTGGAGCGGAACCCTAACTAATAGTGGAGTTGCAAATATCTCGCGATGCTTGTGGTGGGCGGTATTTTATACCGCGAAACAACAAATAGACAGTGTGCATCAGGGTGTTTCTTTTGCTTTGGCCTCAATAAGGGTCAAGCGCAATAAGGTACCGCGGCCTTGGCTTAGGGCTGGAAAAGAAGCAGGGTGGTTTTTAGTCAGTAAGACTCTAGTCTTAACACACTCTCTCGCCTCTCCCTAGGCGAGAGTAGTCATTTAATAAATTTTCCCTGTCTAAAAAAAAACAGAACATAGTAGGTGTGTGAAACACAAAAGACTGAGAACAGATGTTTTGTTGTTCTTAAGGAGCGCCATGAAATGCCACATACGCCATTAGTCTCCAACTTGATTATGAAGCCCATGTAGAAAGCTAATTGTCTAGACGCGTCTTTTCAGACTCCATGTTTTTTATGTCATAAGCCGGCAAACGAGTATGCTCGTTTGCATACCCGGATTGTAAGCAATCAGCACCGCCCATGAACACTCATAATCCCAAGTTGCTATAAGTGCTTTGCTGACCCCTTGTGGATTATTAGGGATTCAAAGATTTTAAGGATGATGAGAAGGGTGGTGGGGGGAAGAATTGGGCCTACGGTAACCTCGTTTATATAGCGAAATATAACGTAAGTTTTGCTTCACGCAGTTTTTCTATGAAGCCGTGGTATCTCCCGTGGTATCACTCCGATCGAGCCGGCCCGTTCGTGCCGAAGCATGGCTCTCACACACTTTATAGCAGGATAGCTAGCTTAATTAGTATTTTTTTTACAGAGAAGACGAATCAGACAGTGAAGCTAGATGCTTCAACTGTGGAGATTGAAGAACGAGGAGTAAAACTACGTCTCACTGTAGTCGATACTCCGGGATATGGTGATGCTATTGACAATACAGATTGTTTTAGGGTAAGTTCTTCTTTTTTCTTTTTGTTTTTATTCCAACCTCTTTTCTACGGTTTCTTTTGTGTTTTCTATTTATATTTCCCTCTATTCTTTTATATTTCCCTCTGAATGTTTGAAAAAACATTCAGAGGGAAAAGATCAATTTATGAAGAAACACAAGCAGTTATCATATGATATTATTTGTGACTTGGAATATGGGTATCCATACAAAGTTTCGACTCGTGGAAATCATAGAAATATCTGAATCGATTTTAATGAAACTTCGTACTTATTAGTCTGTCACTAATAAGTACGAAGTACAGAGTAATTTTAAGTTTCCTTACAAAGAAAAGACACATTTCATAATTTACTGAGTCAAAAATTATTTCCGAACTGTACATAATTAAATTTTTAGACATTTATATATAGTCGACGAGTAGCAAGTTGATTAAAAATCAATTTGATAGTTTCCATAATTGTAAACTTCAAACTATAATGTATGGAAACAAGCGCCGCGTAAGCTATTCAATAAAAAAAGAACAAGTTCTAGTAACTGCAATAGGCATTCCTTTCCACCTTACATGGCTTTTGTTTTTATCTCAATGACTAAGTAATGGACAATCTGCCGCTGTTTACTCGTACAAACTTAGTCATCATCCTACCATTGACCTCGCAATTACCCCTGATTCGTCAGTATAAACAGCCCTATTCACGTAAAGACGTTTATAATCATCATCAGGCAGGTGCCATACCTTCACTGTACAACAATGGTCTCACCCTTGAAAAAATCTTTGCCGTTATTCCAAGAGTAGTTAAATCACCGAAGTTTATACCTATCGTTAGTTAATTAGTTAGTATGTTTGGTTAGTTATAGGATAGTACTGACTGGCTGCTAACAATTTTGGGAGAAAGCCAGGTTTCAGATCTCTTTCGTAATATTACCATTTTGTGTGTTCACTTTCTTTCACGGGCCGAAGCCAAATCGCAGAGCCCCTTTAAACAACTTTAATATTACTGTAATGGGACATTAGTCGGCAATTATCCCTTTATGCACTATGAAAGTGTACCTAAGGACAATGGCATTTTTATTACCGTTAAATGGGCCATATCGTTCAACCTTTTTGGATAAAAAATCAAGTGCCAAATTAGATAAACTCTGTAATGTATTCTTTTAGTATCTAAGTCATCGGTAAAAATAGAATATTAACTGCTACTTATTTATAAATGAAACAGTACTCTATTCGTAGTTGGAATAACGGAACTAATAGAAACATTGAATGTTCCTACCTACTTTGAGTACTTAGTAGTTAATTGAGTGACATTATGCTTGAGGATGTAGCTAGAGTACTACTGGTATTACATTATATATTATATATATTACACGTGGTAAGCATAATTAATATACATTTACCTAGCCTTATATTTCAGCAAACTATGTTGGATTTAAGGTTATAAGGATAAGCCAAATACCAATAATATAATTCCTTCAAAATAATATTTTCTAAGTAAAATTGCATAATTATGGCTAACTAGCTACTCTCGCGTTTCACCCGCTGCTCGGCTCCATTTGATCGTAACGTGATGTTTTATAGCCTATAGCACTCAGGAATATTGTAGCTATCTGTCAGTGAAAGAATTTTGGAAATCCGACCAGCGGTTCTAAAGATTACCCCCTACATACAAATAATATTAGTATAGATTTGCCTTCAAAGGTCAACTTTGACTCCTATCAATAATCACTTTTTATTAATATTACGATTGCTGATCACGATAGCGGAAATCCGCACAGTTCTCAGTTAGGATTATCAGTTTTTTAAGAAAATCAATTTAAAGTAAATGAAATAAGGTGCTTTTGTCTTCGAAGCGAAATTTTTATTTTTAAAATCATCCATTTGTACAATGCAAACGAATACGTGATTTGCAAGGTAAATCCAATAAAAATAGGTAATACTAGTCTTGAACAAGTCCGGAAGAATTAGAGCGATGCAATATGGCGCATTCTTTGACGCATATATGTAGGTTGTGACCCTATTCGTGTGAACGCCGCAGTGGTATGCCGCGGGCCGTGCTTCGAGGTCAAGGATAGGTACTGTTCCAGCTGTTTATAGTGAAATTATTGATATGTAGGTTAAAATAGAAAGTATTATAGTCCGGAGTGTGTTTAATGCGCTATTATTTCAGAATAGATTTTTTGTGGTATAGGTCGGCAAACAAGCACACGGATTACCTGATGGTAAGCAATCAGCGCCGCCACAAATATGTAACACCAAAGGAGTTACAAGGGATAAGGGTTTCGGATATTTAAGGATTGAGAAGGGATGGGCGAAGGGGGAGAAATTGGGATTGGGTTTTTCAATGTGTGGTTTTTAGCATTGAAAATGTTAACTGGGCAATGTTAGAAATGTCTGTTCTTTATTGATGTTTCTAGTACTAAATCCTTTATCCATTAAACTATAATCCGCAGGCTTGATGATGTACTTGATTGAACTTATAAATCTTCACTCAACTTGTATGTTTACTCACCAAGAATTGCCTACGATTGCTTCAAAGAATTTACATTCCTACCAAAGCTGTTTTCAGGAAAAAATGTTTAACTGTTAAGTAAACGTTTTGTTTGTTTTGCAGTCAATAATTCAATACATCGACGAACAATTTGAACGGTTCCTGCGAGACGAGAGCGGTTTGAATCGACGTAATATTGTTGATAACCGCATACATTGCTGTTTCTACTTCATATCGCCGTTTGGACATGGGTAATTAAGTCACCATTTTTTTTTATTGACTTATTGGGTGGTGGATTCGTGGATGTTAAGAATAGCCTGATGTTAAGCGGTTGGCATCGCCCCTAGATATCTGCAATTGGCTAGTTTCCTAAGTCAAAAATATATTAATTTGACGTTTCAATGCAGTAAAATATTGAAAATTAAGTATACTTTTATTCATCAATCGATCGATATACTAAGTTTTAGATATTTTTTAAGCAATTTTTAAGAAATAAGTAAGCTATTTGACGCTAAAATACTATGACGTCATAACTCAGTGTTTCATACACATTCATAGAAAAGTATCGTTTTTGACATTTGGAAAAAAGTATTGAATTTGACTATTTGGAAACTACCGTATTGTGGAGGAGTCATAAGAGCGTTGCCCGCCTTTTAGGTAAAGAGTATGTAGAAGAATGCTTAAAAAAATAACAATACACAACGTAGCCGTTGTTTCACGCCAGCGTTCTGTGAAGCCGGAACGTTACATTAGTTGACAAACCACTTTGTGCCTTACTACGTAAAAATATATGATTTATTCAAAATAACTACTTATTCACGTGATTTAAATGAGAAAAGCTCGATACTATTCAATATTATAGGATATTTATTTTACATCAATTTTAGAGCGGGTGTTTTTTTTAGAGATTTTTTCTATTCTCAGTAGAATGATTAAATTCATACAACACTGGGTATTTAGGAATTGCTTCCGGCATATAACGTGATAAAGTATTGAAATAGGCACACGCATACATTAATAATAAGCGATCAAAACAATAAATATAATACTGATAATAGCGACTGTAAATAGTTACTGTGATTCAAAATGAAACAGTCTACGTAACAAAGCTGTTTAATAATATAATAATGTAATAATAATAGAATAAACTGTTAAGCTCCTCTCTCTCTCTCTCTCTATCTATCTATCTACCTATCTCTCTCTCTCTCTCTCTCACACGCACACACACACACACACACAAACAAACAAACAAACAAGGCTCGGAACCGGTTTAAAAAATACCGGTTATTACCGGTTTATTTCGGTTTATCTCCGAACTTTTCTTAAGAACGTAAACGTTTTAAGAACTTTATTTTAATCTAAATAAACCGGTTTATAGACGTACGACGTCGCTAAACGCGTTGCAACTTGTACGAATACCGCGCTGCCGCGCATAGCGGCGAGGTATGAAGACGTAGGTACTAGCGATATTTCTTTTCATTCGAAATATTTTGTTTACCGATTAGTTTGGTCATTATCAGCTTAACTTCACGAAAAAAAAATTAGATACTTACTCATTTTTTTATGTTTTTGCTGCGGAGCTTATTGATGCAATGACACAAACGTCCGATCCGAAACAAAAAAAATCCTACTATTGAATAAAATCTAAACAGTACGCGGCATTTCTTTACAGTGCGTCCATATTAACCGGTTTTTATTGCTCTTAACCGTTTAATTCGAAAAAACCTTTATATTAATGCTCTTCCAAATAACGGTTTAAAAAAACCGGTATATAAGAACGAAACCAAAATGTAAAGGTTTTGCGTCAAGTACATAATAACGGTTAGAAAATTTAACCGGTATCCGAGCCTTGCAAACAAACACCCTTGCTGTCAGGATCTCAGTACCTAAGTGGCAAGTTACAGCAATCCCGACAGGCCAATGCCAACAACATTGCTACGAATAAATTGCTTTGCAACTGAGAATACAAAAAGTCTAGATTATATGGATTACTTGGTGATAAAGCAATCAGTACCGCGCAAAGACTCGTAACACCAAAGGAGTTAAAAGTGCTTTTACGATGTTTTGTGGTTTGTTACGGATTTGAGGATTGGAGAGACACGGCGAAACACAACGCAAGAGTTGTTATACGCTGGTATTCCTTGAAGTAGTTGGATTATTCCGGTCGGGACGACCCATTCGTGCCGAAGAATTACTTTACCACACTTAATGCCGATTTTGGTCTGTTTGAAAGCGTATTTGAAAAATGTTATGTAATTCTTTTTTAATTATTATATCAGGTTGAAACCCCTGGACATTGAGTTTATGAAGCAATTGCACAACAAAGTGAACATTGTGCCCGTTATCGCCAAAGCCGACTGTCTCACCAAGAAGGAGGTTCAGAGGTTGAAGACTAGGGTGAGTGGCGCCATTGTAATTATAATTAGCTATTATACCTACTTATTTATTTATTTTCGTCTTTTTAAAAACTTTGCCCCACAAATTAGGTTTTTTTTTTCACATACGCTTTTATGAAATATTAAAAAAAAATGCTAAATACGAAAGCTTTTTCGTATAAAATGTATATCGTTTTAATAAAACATAATATTTAATAAGTATTTGAAATTTATTGAATTTTGCTCTATATGCTATGTGGTACTGACGTCGATAAAATAAATGTTTCTGTGTGTTGAGGCACTGTTTCACCCAACGTTGCCTATGCTTAAGACGGGGCCCTAAAGGGCTGATGTTCAGCCGGGGTTGCGGGGTAAGCGCAATGAGGCACCGCGACCTCGGCCCAGAGCAGGAGAAGGAACAGGGGGTTTTTAGTCAGTAAGAGTCTGACACTCCCTCCTGCCCGGCCCTGGGCGGGAGAAGTCATTTGATGATTTTCCCGTTAAACAACGGGTAATGTTAAAAAAAATATATTTACCTAAATTAAAACATCCTGTACAAACGTGACAAAGGTGATCTATACTTTATTATTAAAAACAATGTTTTATCTAAAGGTGATGGAAGAAATTGAACGCGAGGGCATCAAGATCTACCCTCTGCCTGATTGCGACAGTGATGAAGACGAGGATTACAAGGAACAGGTTTGTATGACATTATAATACATACAATACTTTATAGTGTGGAAGAGCCGTGCTTCGGCACGAATGGTTCAGCTCGACCGGAGTGATACCACGGCCTCACAGAAAACCGATGTGAAACAACCACAGCGTTGTGTTTTGCCGTGTGTGAGAGAAGTTACCGGAAGCCTAATCCTTCCCCTCCCCCAACCCCGAAATCTCCAAATTGCTACTCTCCAAAAGATCGGCGACGCACTTGTAACTCCTCTGTTGTTGCGGGTGTCCATGGCGGCGCTGATTGCTTACTACTCGTATCAGGTAATGCGACTGCTCATTTGCCGACCTATCACATACAAAACAAACCATTATCATCATCATATAAGACCATAACCATAACTATTATCATCATCATAAGCCATAAGACGTACCACTACAAGTTCGACACACACGAAGGCGAAAGAGCGCGACACACTCGACGCACGACAGGCACCGCGGTCGCCGGCGCCCCACCGGCCCGGCACTCCCTATTTTTTTTCCCGTTTACGATAAAAAATACTCAGATATAACTAATTATAGTATAGAAATGGGAGGTAACTACGTAATTTCTAAGTATATAAAATACCAAGAAGTGATATCACGCGTTCTAAATTGCTATGGTGCGGAACGAGAGAAACTGGGAATTGGTCTCCTCTTTCTGCCAAGCAGTTATGCTCGCAAAGAAGATGGCGGAGCGCGTGAGAGAGCTATCCTCCTCCTCACGTCCCAGACCCCGCTGTAGGCAACACTTCGGGCGTCAGGGATAACGCGTTCGCGCGAAAAACGCGTTTCTTATTCGCTATGTGCGAAGTGGGTGGTGGGGAACGACTAATCGATCGTAGCGCACGACGTGGCAGAAATGTGAATTCTGGACTGTCATGTGTCAAATTGCTTTATTTTCATAACTTCCTTTATAATTTTAAGTAAAAACGTAAAAATTTGCGATATGCGTCATAGTATATGCTGTGTCGTAAATTGTAAAAACAAAAAAAAATACGTATGTATTGTTTTAAAATGATCTACAACGCCAACATTTTTTCCAATATTCGTCATCCATATTGAGTAGTATACAATTAGGAATGCCTCTTATCTACCTGTTAACGTTACCTGAGTATTATCTAGGATTCGTAGCTTTACGCGGAAGCCGTGACTAATTTTGCATGGCAGCAGAGGAGTACAATGTTACTCGTACTTTATCTCATTTTAGGTTTACTATAAGATATTAAATAGATATTTTAGACGACCCTAAAAAGTGTATGAAGAACCCTCTTGTATTTCTGCAACAAACAAACTATTTCTTCATAATTATTAAGGAGAATTATAACAGGTCAAACGCAATGATGTAACGCGGCGGAGGGAAGAAAATCATTAAATGACTTCCCCCGCCTGGGTAGAACGAAAATGTGAAGATGTACAATAAGTCACCTAAAGTTATTAAACATCAACCATTTAGAATATTCAAAAAACGTTTAACTGAGTTATTGTTGCAAAAATGTTACTTTTCTATATCCGATTTTTTGAATGATGATTTATAATAGTCTAAAGGAACATGCACTGGTGGTATGCTATGATGTTTTATGTATGTACCCTATTGTATGTAACTTCTACTGATTAAAAACCACCCCTCTCTTCTCCTGGTCAAGTCAGAGTCAGGGCTACATTATCGCCCTTGCAGTAACAACCCCGGCCTCTTGTCAACCATATGTTAACTATTAATTTAGTTACCTCTCATAATATATAACATATCTTTTATCTTTTTTTTTCATAGATGAATAATAGGTTCTTTGGGCCCTTGAACCTAATGATGGAGTATATATAGATATATATATATTTTTCTAACTTTCCATTTTCGTCTAGGTACGCCAATTAAAGGCAGCGGTACCGTTCGCGGTGTGTGGGGCGGGGCAACAGTTGGAGGTGCGCGGGCGCCGCGTGCGAGGCCGCCTCTACCCTTGGGGGGTCGTCGAGGTCGAGAACCCCGAACACTGCGACTTCATCAAGCTTAGGACTATGCTAATGTAAGTGTTTATGTATTTTATTTAATTTAATTAGGGCAATAAATTCTTTATAAAGGAAATAATTAAAAATAAGAAATTATTATTACACAAACCTCAGGGTATTCGGTGTAAGCACGAGTAAATAAATATAACGTCCGAATCCTATATCCTTCTTGTTTTGGGATGTCTTCAATTTAATAATATTTATGAATAGTTTCTACAAGCAGCTTCCATGTCTTAATCTATGTCCATGCTGTAAGGGAAAAAACTTATGAAACAAACGAATGGACAGATGAAACTAAAATATGTTGGAATAATAGGTATAATATTGATTTTAAATACATGAGTACATATGTGGGCAACACATAAAATATGCCTATGTCCAGCGGTGGAAGGAATCAGACTGAACATGATTAAGAAAAATGACTAAACCAAATTAACATAAATTTAAACCACGTGCAGAGGTATGCCATTCCTTGCAAACATTTTACGTACTTAAACAGAGCTACGGTATTTAAAACATGAGTCACTTGTACTCGACCACGTGTAAAGTAAACAATCTAATTATACTTACAACAACCAATAAAAAGTTTTTTCATGATATAAATAACTATATTACGATTCGAATAGGTACTGATCTATATTAGATATATTATATTGCCTGATTTTATGATACCACTAGCGGGCCGCCCTCGCCTCGCACGGGTCCAACTATCTCGCTATCAAAGGCTCACTTTTTCCTAATCTTCCCCTCTACTTTTCTAATATTTGCAAGCTGGAGAAGAAAGGGAGTGGTTTTTAGCTAGTGAAAATGCAAACTGGAGTACGGGGATGGTTTTTATTCTGTTTGTAAAAGGATACTATCTCTCGATCCATCCAATGCATGAGAAGCCATTTAATGTATTTCCACACAAAAAAAATGTATAAGGTCAGGATTTATCAAATGTTTTATTCTTAAAGGTTTGTAGAAATGAAGTTTGTGTAGATTCAATGACCTATAACAGAAATATTGTGTTTTGCTTCCAGCACCCACATGCAGGACCTGCAGGAGGTGACGCAGGAGGTGCACTACGAGAACTACAGGTCCGAGCGACTCGCGCGCAGCGGACAGGTGCCCAAGCGACACACGTGAGTATTACTCTCCATATACATATATTTTTTTTATCTTATTATTATTAGCGTTCTTTTTACTGTCGAATAGAGAATTAGTTGCGTGACTAATAGTCAAATTTAATGCTTTTTTTCGAATTGTCAGTTACTGTTTTCTTGCAAATAACCTATACATTTGAGTTTTATGTGTATTGTAAATGAATCCATTAAAGTGTAATTATTTTTCAATATTAACTCCCGCTATGTCGAAATATTTAAAACATACTTGAAACATTACTGTAAGTAAATATACTTGATTTAGTAAAAAATAAAGGCTGTAGAATATTAATAAGTAAATAATTATGCTTTTATTCATTGGTTTTCAAATATAAGTATATACAATACATAAAATTCTTTATTTCCTACCAATAATAATAATTATCAAGAAACAATAATAATAATTCAATTTGTCTCAATGAAGGATGATAGAAAACTAACAATTTACAAAAAATAAGTATTGAATTTGACTAGCTGATTGACCCAATTAAAATACGGCACTTGTTTTCTTTTGATTACTTGTCCTTGCGCTGTATCTCGATGTCTCTCTTTTCCTCAGATGCCATGCATAATTAGTCGAGCCGGTCTGTTATTGCTTTTAGTAAAACTATGCAGGGAAAGTGTGCGCAGTGATCGGAAAAAACTATGTTAATTGATACAGTATTACTTTTGTTTTTATTGCGGTTCGTAATTACATGACTGTACGGTTGACGCGGTTGCTAGGCAACGGGCCGTGCAACGTGTAGAGGTTAGGTTCCCGCGCGAAACAGCTCTTTGTGTGACCCACAAATTGTTGTTTTGAGTGTAATATGTATGTTAGAATATTATTTGGATATGTGTTTTGTAAGACCATTTTTTTATATAAAACGTTGCTCCGCACTTGGATTTTCTTCTGTGCACGACACGGATGCGCTTACAAACATACAATTTCACATAAACATGACAACAATTTGTGGATCACAAAAAAGTTGTTACGTGCGGGTATTGATCCCGCGACACTGGTGCCCAGCCACCGAGCCAACAGTGCAGTCAGCATAACAACCATTCATAACACAATATAAAATATTAGTTTTGTTAAAAAAACAATCAGCCGAACATAGTACCTCCTCCTTTTTTTGAAGTCGGTAAAAAGTTACTTAAATACCTTGTCTGTTATGGTATCGTCGGGTGCAAACGCAACAAGGTACTCTCGCTCCGGCACAGAGCACTTGCCCCATTCTGATTAGCAGAAGTGGATGATAATCATATTTAAAAAAATGTGAAGGATCAAAATTTATTTACACAGAATACATTGGTACATGCAAACAACTTCAATGTGTTCTTCTTTAATTGGGATTAATTGGTGCCAAGGTAATGATGTACATTAATATTGAGTACTTACATAGTTTTTTAGATGTGTTCAGTCCATTATTCATTGACTTAGCTACCCAAAATGCGTCTTGGCACAAATAAGAAAGAATGATACCTTTTCACGAACACACATAGTAAAATAGCTCGGTATTGTCCATGATGGTAAAAAGTTCCTTTATTGCAAATTATGTTGATTGCGAATTAAAAAGTAAATTATTATACAAGACATCTAGCTAGGTTACAGACTAGATCCACTAAACAACGCATGTGACAAAAGACCTGTGAGTTTGCGAATGAAAAAGCGCGACGCGCTGTCTCCATATAATTCTAAACCTTTTATTACAATGTCTTCAATGTTTAGTGGCCAACCTACCAACTAATTGTTTCTGTCAAAGTTCTTTTAAAATTTTTCAACTTAAGCGTTATGTTAGAAGTCGAATGTACAATGAAAAAGTTGACAGATTGGCGAAGGGTTGACTCTGATGGCTATTGTACAATTATTATACTTATTAAAGTTTTTGTTTTTTGTGACGTACAAGTCAAAAAAAACAAAATCTCTAATAAGTTTGACGTTTCTGTCTGTGTGTCTGTGGCATCATAGCTTCTGAACGGATGAAACGACGACGACGACTTTTTTTGTATTACTACTTTTTAAAGGTACCTTATGTTATTTGTGTCGGGGGTTTTTTAATAATTAATTTTATTTTATTCGCAGATCGACTGAGAGCGGTCTGAGCGAGGCTGACTCGAACGGCCTCACAAATGGATCGGAAGACCCTAGTGACCGCGAACGTGCGCTGCGTGAAAAGGTATAAATATATATTTTTTATTGTTATTTAGCCATTATCGTCCCACTGCAGGGCAAAGGCCTCCCTACCCTTCTTCCACTCCTTGCCTTATGCACTCTCTTTAAGCTTTCTGCGGCCAGTCCTTGTCGGAAATACAAATATCAACCAATTATATTTTATGTGAGTCCTGACCTGGTGGTAACTTGAAACTGCTCGACTTACTTCGGGCGAGCAAACGAGCAAATAGTTAAAAACGTTTGTTATGACGATAATGATGATGAGGGACACCAATGACGAAGAGCTACATAGAACCTCAGTTTCCTTATAGTTTCCTTATCTTAAGTATCTTCTACCCTCAATAATCAAAATCAAAATGTTGTGGTGACCCAGAGGTTATGGAGCCTGCTTCTCATGCATGACTTTTCCGTACCAATGTGACTTTTCCGAGTTATATGTACTTTCTATGATTATTTAGACGCCAGTGACATACGGTGAAGGTAATCATCGTGAGGAAACCTGGACTTATAATTCCTAATTATAAGTTTGAAATCGCCAACCCGCATTGAGCAAGCGTGGTGATTATGCTCAAACCTTCTCCATGTGAGAAGAGGCCAGTTATAGGCTGAAGATGATGATGACCGTGTGGGTGAGGTTACTGGAGGCCCAATCCTCCCCCCCCCTCCAATCGCAAGAGGCTAGCAACGCAGCCGTAGTAACTCCTTTGGTATTGCAAATGTCCATGGGCGGCGCCGATTATTTAGCACCATCAGGCAATCCGTCTGCTCGTTTGCCGACCTATTCCACTATTCCATGAAATATTAGGTAATCGTAAATCATAAGATACTAGCTACTCTCGCGCGGTTTCACCCGCTGCTCGGCTCCATTTGATCGTAACGCGATGTTTTATAGCCTATAGTATTCAGGAACATTGTAGCTATCCATCAGTGAAAGAATTTTGGCAATCCGACCAGCGGTTTCAAAGATTACAAACTTATAAACATACAAACTTACAAATTTTACCTCTTTATAATATTAGTATAGATAAATCGACAGTCCGCCTTCATATGGGGATTAAATGCTCTTTCCTTCTTCGTGTGACAAATGGCTTTTCTCACCAGATAGCAGATGATCCTTTACTATTATGTTTGTTAATCGCAGGAAGCGGAGCTTCGTCGCATGCAGGAGATGTTGGAGCAGATGCAGCGCCAGATGAACCTGCAGGCTGCCGGCGGCGCCAGCACCACTACCACCGCATAGTGCTTGCGTACCGCACAGGTATATAAACAACCATCTAACACATACACCATCACACCCATTCTTCTCGCGGGTGTCACATACACATGCATATTGAATGTACCAAGTATTGAGGCTAGATCCTAGACTTGGGTTAAGCCGTGCGTGGCTTCTTGTGGACACCATACTTATTGTTCCCGACTAGGAACTTCAACTTGCCTGTTAAGCGTGGAGTCCAGTGCAATCCCCACTTTGTAGAAGACGCCCACTGCATAGCATTGAGTCTGTAGTGGTATGTCACAAGGTTAGCATAAAAGACAAGGCTACATTTGTAATATAAAATAAATAAATAATAAAAAAAATATTGAAGACCAACTCATCCTACAAATGAATTTATTGAACAAGGTTATTTTATTTCACAGTTTTGATTGATTTTTGGGTCTTTTAAAGAATTAACTCTACTATCTATCTATCTAAGTGGTCACAGCTACTAGAAGTCTCCCCCCCTGGGAGTCATGCTTCAGCACGAATGGGTCGGCTCGACCGGAGCGATACCACGGCCTCACAGACAAGCGCGGATCCACACTTCAAAAAAGGTTGTGGTCACAGCTACTAGAAAATCGGCTGAGTACGAGTCGGAGCATGGACATGCTCATTAACAATCATGCAAATCATTTATGAACTTATTAATTAGATTTCCTTTTTTCTGTGCATCAGAACTTTGGCCTTAGGAATGTAAATAAACTTAGGAAGAAGTCGGACCCGATTTCTTCTAATTTCAAATAGTCAGTTTCGATCCAAACCTATTTCAATCACAAGTGTAATAAGGTTGTGGGCATGCCCATCGTGCCCACAATGGTGGATCCGCCTTTGCTCACAGAAAACCGGCATGAAACAACCACAGCGTTTGTTTCGCCGTGTAAGTGAGGTTACCGGAGGCCTAATCCTTCCCCTCGTCCAATCCCTCCCCAATCACAAATCTCCAAAACCCTAATCCCTCAAAGGTCGGCAACGCACTCGTAACTCCTCCACTGCGGGTGTCTATGGGCGGCGTGATTGCTTACCATCAGGTAATCCGTCCGCACGTTTACCGACATATTAAATAGATTTTTTTTTTTTTTTATAATAACAACGAAAACTTCTTATTATTGTACTAATACATTGTTTTTCTTCAACAGTTGGACATTAGTACGGCTGTCCAGCTGCCAGCGACGTGTAACCTCGTCAACTCGATACTTCGCGCCATCCCCTATTGCGTTACTTCCAACTAGATGTAACTGTCGTACAGCCTGTAACGTTCACACAAATATATCGCTCGGAATTAATATTAAGAGTTAAAATTGTTAAAAAAATATTGTTGAAAAATCGCCTAACTAGACTAGTTTAGTCGTAGTCGCGTTTCCCATCACTGACAATGTTATTACGGATAGTTCATGTCATTATGATGTTCGCTTAGCATGCGTATGTGAGAAAATATAATAGCAATAAAAAAACATCCGTCATTAATATTAAAATAGTTTACTATTAGCAATACTCGTGAAACGACGCCATATATTTTTGTGAACATTACAGAGTTAAGTATTATTTACTCAAATATTATTTTCCTTTCATATTATATAGGACGATTATAGATATAACCATATCTATAGACAATAGAATGTTTTTATCTCTCTATACTAGTTGTAAGGTAAATGCAATATTTATACTGTGCAGGTATATGACATTTTATTTTAAGCAATAATTAATCGATTCGAAATAGGCTGCGATTAATCGACTAACCTATATTTGAATAGTCGATTGTACGCTGAAATTGCACATGGAACACTGCAGAATCTCACATTGCTGTCTGTGTTAGCGTGCACTTTTACTTATAATTGTAAGACAATATGCTATCTTTGATATAAAATGAGGTGTTGTAAGCTTAAAGCACAATAAGACACGAGAATTGCCGCGAAACTAATTGTTTTTTTTTCTGTAGTGTAATATTTGTAAATTGATTCACTCTATATGGATTTGTAGTTTTATCTATCAAGTTATTGAATCGTATAATTATAATAAGATGTTAATGGTAACAATAGGTTGTAAACAGCGGCCTCATAATGTTGATCTGATACGCATTTATTATTATTGTTCTGTGCCATTTCGTTCTGTAACATGTTTCATAATTATAATACGTACTTCTGTCAATTAAGTCACTAAATATATCTGGTCGAATGTATTTTATTAACATGTTGCAATACCAGGAAAAAATTTTAGGTTATAATATTTTTTCCTCGTCAAGAAGTGAAGTATTTTTTTTTTCTAATGACTAAAGTATTATTTTACTTTTATGACTGACTTTATATTTTATTTGAGTATTCCATTTTTGTATTGTCAATTTACTCTTTAATGTTAGGAGATTACAGTGTCCTACTAGGTATGCATGAAAATATATTATTATTTTTAAGGTATTATTGGAATGATTGTATCGAATTGAAGGCTGAATTGCTATTTGGAATGTCTATTTGAATTGAATTATCAAATCCTAACTTTAGTAGGTACTTAAAATTCTTAGTATCTCATGTAATTAGAATTTATTCCAGCGTTGGTGCATTTATTTTGTACTCGAATGATATCTCTATATTGTAAACTAATTGATGAATCGAATATAAAATGTATTGAGTCCTAGAAGTTAAATTGGTGCCAAAGTTTCGAAATATCAAAGTCATCTAACTTGAAAAGTAATAGTTTCTGGTTTGTTTTATTGTGAGTTTAACTAGGTACCCATGTACTTTTATGTAAAAGAAACTTCTATGTAATCATATTTTTATAGTAAATGTAAACGAATCATAATAATTTGTTTTATTTCAATATATGAAGAAGTCCTTAGTTTGTGCATCTACTACAAAACATATTGGCTTAAAAAAGGATTTACGAATGAAGGCCTAAAGCTGCGTACTGAAGGGGACAACAAACAAGGTAAAGGACGGTCTGATAAAGATCTCAGGTCTACATGAGCTTGATCGTATGCTGGTCGCGGGTTAAGCACACAATAAGGTATCGCGGCCTCGGTCTAGACGAGGAGAAGAAACGGAGGGTTTTTAGTCAGTAAGTGTCTGACACTCCTCTCCATACCCTGGGCGAGATAAGTCAACAAAAAAGGTCCACATAAGCTCAGCCTCATAAAACTCATCTGTTTTGATATTGACTGGCTGTCCCAATGCGTGACGGTGTTTGTATGGCATAAGAGAAATGGAGAGAATGGTATGAGAGAAAGAAAGAAAGAAAATATATTTGTCAGATTGTAGTAGTACAAATAGTTCTTTTATGATTATTGGAATCTTACGCATTCTATCTAATCGGTATACAAATATTAGGCTTAATAACTACTTGAAAATATGTACTATTGCTTGGATTGGAGAAGGTAAGCAAAATTATTTCCTGAACGACAAGCTAGAAGCGCATGAAACGCATGTTGTCAGAACCCCCTCTGTATGTGGTCAGGTGGTCAATGTTTTTTGACCAATAACACTTGCTATTCGAATTGCTCAAACAATGTGGAACCATAAAAACGATTGTATTAATTTTCCTTACAAATTTTTTAACATAATTAGTCGATTTAGTAAGTAACAGCAATCGATTGACGTATGAGTGACATTTCTAAACATTTTGACAGACCTCTGCTTCGTCCGCCATAATCGTTTGCGAAATTTGTTATCAAACAGCAGGCGAGCAAAGTTGTGTTTAGTTTTGTAGTGAATAATGGCTATCGTAGAAGACGAAGTGAGAAATGAATCGGAGGAAGAGAATGAAATAGGTGTGATATTGGCGGAGGAGGAAGCTGATGTAGGAGACGACCCGGACGATTCCGAAATCGAATCAGAAGAGGTATGTACAACCCTACAATCCTAGTATATTTGGCTGCCTTTTCAGGTACATTTCGTTATTTAAGAAAATAATATTAGTTTCGCATTTGAAAATCAATATATTCCAACTAAAGACTTATTGACCCACGTGGAAAGGCATTAATAATAGATTCCTTTGTCGCACTTCTAATTGGGATCTTTCAAGATTCTGCAACTGTTTTTGTCCTAAATGTTTGTTGCATCGGCTATGCTACGTATATTATTACTAAGGAAAGCTTTTCTATCTTCTTTTTTCAAACATTTCATCGTATCTGGGGAGTTCGATTCTTAAAATTTGTAGAAAACTAATATACCTATAAAAATCATAAGCTGCTTTTTGCGTTACACGAAAAAAGACATCTTGACAAATTAAATTAACCAATAAGAACTAAATATTAACAATCTACCTTCAAATTAGAAAACATGTTCTATAGAAACTACTTTTGTGTTTCTCAAACATAACCTATTCTTGGTACCTATTATGCTGTTCTTATTAGCATCTCAAAACATGAGATTGCTTGAAGATAATCTTATTGTAAACACTGAAATAAGATTCTCCTTTGTTCTTTTCAAAGGAGATTCGTATAATAGGTTGCATTGTTGTTTTTTATTTTTATTTCAAGTAGGTCATAATGTTCAGTTGGCAACCAACCTTCCAATTGGGTCACACACTTGAAATTGTTGACTGTCTCAATTTTTTTATGTAATGATTATAACCAATCCACTAACTCTCTTGGGATGATGAGGGATCATTGAAAGTTTTGAGTAATATATGAAAAACTTTCTAAAATGTACTTATCTGAAATCTCTAGAACAATAACATTTTGATTTGTGTGTCTTACACTGTCCAACCTTTAACTGAAATCATTTTTAACACAAAGAAAGTTCTAGAAGTAATTTATGGGTAGATAGACCTGTTTTGCTTAGCTTCTTGACTGAACCAAGATTGCTACTTCCTCAATCACACTATAGCATTTATACAGTTTTGAAATAAATTTATCTCGCCTCAAAGATAGTAAAACTTTTGGTTCTTATTAGTTTGATTATTCCAATCAAAATCAGTATTATTTTATAAAAAATGTAATGAGTATTTTCCAAATTTAAAAACAAAGTTTTTATAAATAAATTTATGCGGCTTTGTGTTGTGACACCATGAGATGATTGCATTAAATGCATACTTTTTCTTAAAAATTTGCTAGAAACAGAACAAAACAGTATGAGTCATGAAAAGCTGAAGAAAAAACATTTTTAAGTACAAAAAAGAGCTTTCTCACCATATTAGATTTTTTTTTATGTTAGTTGGTGCATGATTGGTTGCCTTTGAATTGATTTTTTATGATATTTATCTTCATATTTTTGCTTTTATTAGTCCCAGGTGCTTTTCTTAGGTTCATAACTAAGTGCAAAAGGTTACTTGCTGCTTGTTTGTTAGTTACCTAAACAACAGAAGATTTTTACAGATATCATTATCACTAACATGTCATTTTTTTACTCAACCAAGAAGATCCATAATTTTAGTACAACTCAATGTTAATAAAGCACTTTTCTTCCTGTTTTTACTAGGATGAAGATGAGGAATTAATTTTGGAGAAAAGAGTGTTAAGATTGGAGAGCTGTATTGCAAAGAATCCATATAACTATGATGAACATGTTGAGCTCATACAGACTTTGTGGTGAGTCAGTGTACTGTTTTATTTATACTTTTTAATATTATACAGAAAAACTTCTTTATAAATATTAGTATAGATAGATGAATATTAAACCGTATTTCTATGCTTTAGCATGCATACACATGGTAAAGCTAATGTCATTATATTATGTATTATTAACATTTTAAAATTCATTTATTTTCCAGGGGCCTGTCATCTTTGGAGCGTTGGCGAGCAGCGTTTGATAGACTGCAACAGTTGACAATGTTGGAGGCGGAACATTGGCTGATGCGGTTACAGACCGAGGTATCTCTCGCACACAATGATGAGGCCCGCGAGCGCGTCGCTAAACTGTTCCAGGATGCTGCTCTGGATTGTTACTGTAAGTACAATATTTTTTTTCTTATGGGACCAGCCATGGCCAATCTCTAGCTGGGGTTGCGGGCGCAAGCACAATAATATTACAAGGCCCCGGACTGGAGCAGAAAAACAAATAGTTTGGTTTTTAGTTTGTAAGAGTCGGTCACTCCTTTCAGTCCAGGAAGGGAGATGTAATAGAATGATTTTCCAACCCTAAAACAGTAGATTATTTCTTGACAGATTTAATAATCCTGTTAATATTATAAACAAAAGTTTATATGTGAAGATGGACGGATGTTTGCGACCCTTTCACCCAAAAACTACAAAACGAATCTTTATGAAATTTAGCACAGAAATAGTATCGTCATTTTTCTTATTTTTCAATACGTGGTTTTATCCAATAGCCTTTATGATAATAATGTTTTCCTGGAAAAGCTGTAAGTGCTGCAATAATGGGATGGGCAAAGTATTATTAAGGCTTTTCGGGATTACATAGGCTATATACCTATTGTCTTCTTTTGCCTTAATTAAAAATGTAATGTGTAATGTTATAATTATTAATGTTATAGCCATTCCAATCCTGAGTGAGTGGTGTTCTTGGGCGCTGACAGTGGAGCCGGCAGAAAAGGCGCGTGAACAGTTGGATGAGGTCCTACGGCGAGCTGGTGCCGACCCCTTCTCTGGGAAGATCTTCTGGGACGCCAAACTTGAACTGGAGAAAACTCAATTGGAAAATTTGAGGTCAGTTTGATATAATGATGAATATCTAATATTTTAATATCTATAAAATAAAATTTAAATAAAATAAATCTTTAAATATGAATTACACATACTGATTTTTGAGATGATAACCTTACAATATTATGGTACCTATGAGTATGAGTTAAGTTGATGACGGAATCAAAGGGTGGCTGATGGCACCTTGACCTGGTAGGAAAAATATCGAGTTTGGGTTCATTTGTTATGTGATTTAAGTTTTGTTACATTGAATTATGTTTGGGTACAGTGAGGAAGACACAGAATACAAGGCGCAGAAGGAGCGTGTGCTCTGGTGTTTGGAGGAGACGGTGTCCAGACCTCTTCTAAGGGGGGAGGAGGCGTTGCAGCAAATGGAAGCAATTGCTCTCTCCTTGCACAGCCAGGACTACGTCGATAAGGTAACTTTACCATTATGTACGAGGTAATTTCAAAAAGACCTCTTATGGCGTTTAGAAATCACTACATAATATAAAACAAAGTCGCTTTCTTTGTCCCTTAACCCTATGTTTTTCTTTCTAACTTCGCTACGAATTTTGTCGGTTTTGTTTTAATAGAGTGACTAAGGAGGATGGTTTATTGTATAATAACATCCATTAAATAGCGGAGAAATTTAGTATCATGATTGCCGGGGTGGATAGTATTATACTTATATATATGTATCTTTGTTTTAGGTGAAAAGGCAACACGAGTTTGCAGTGGACTTCCTTCATCAAATATCCCCGTTCGAAGATAGGTTGCTGACTACAGAGTAAGTTGATTAAACAATTTCTTTCTTTCTCTCTTATACTTACTTTTTCTAAATGGTAGTTAGGTCGTCAAACTATTAGGCGGATAAGCAATCGGCGCCGCCCAGGGACACCCGCAACGCTTAAGGAGTTACGAGTGCGTGGCTTTTGTGCGCGCAACGTGTTGTGGATTCGATTCCTGGAACTATTCTTTGAGTGATCCGCAATTTTTTTTCCGGTCTGGTTGTGAGGTTTATTTGAAATTATATGTTTGTAAACGCACCCACGGAGAACATCCTAGTGTGGGATAACGTTTTTTTTTTAAATAATAATAGTAAAAATTATATTTGTTTTTATTTTCAGTAATCCAAAGGAGAAATTGAAAGTTTACACGGAATACATAAAGACTTTGAAGAATCTAGCTTTGGACGATAGATATGCAGAGTGTGACAGCAACGGGATATTGAGGGTAAGCTGTTTGTTGCTTGTATTTTATAACTTATCCGATAACTGTATAATGTTTCTGTCAAAAATAGATTTCTTCATAGATTGTTTTAATAATGGCTTACGTGAATTAACTGTCAGCTTTACTAGTTGCATTCCAAGTCATAATGGGACTTTTATTTATTTATTTATAAAGCGTTTATTCTCATTGTGATTTGTATTGAGATTGTCTGAGTTAGGTCACGTGAGTAAGCAGTTTTTGTCTTATAAGTGCATAGGCAGAGGACCCTTTCTGTAAGAAGTTATTAGTTTGTAGCGACATCTATCGCACAACATGCAGCAACAGCACCAAGTACGTGCAAGATTCTATATCGCGGTATAAGAGTTCTCAACGCAATTAGAACCGACTAGCTACTCTCGCGCGGTTTCACCCGCTGCTCGGCTCCATGTAATGGTAGCGTGATGTTTTATAGCCTATAGCACTCAGGAACATTGTAGCTATCTATCAGTGGAAATCCGACCAGCGGTTCCAAAGATTACCCCCTACATACAAACTTACAAATTTTACCTCTTTATAATATTAGTATAGATAACAACCGTCGGGCAGTAGCCCACCAGACATAACATCTGTCTGGTCGGAGGATCCTCCATTTTCAATGGAGGATGAGGAAAAGGTGTATCATGTAATGTATGTACTTGTGTCATGTAGGTGGTGTACGAGCGCGCGAGCTACGAGTGCGGTGCGTGCGGGCCGCACGTGTACAGGGCGCTGGCGACGCACGTCCGCACGCATTCGTCGCGCGCCACCTACAACCGTCTGCTGGCCGCGCTGCGCCGCCGCGTCCCCACCCGCGCCCTGCCCTGGGACCTCACCATGCAGCAGGCCGAGAAGGAAGGCGAGAGCTTCGAACAGGTAAATAAATACTACTTACTATGTTAGAAAAGAGAGTGATCCCGCGGCCTCACAAAAAACCGGCGGGAAACAACTACAGCGTTGTGTATCGCCGTGTGATTGAGGTTACCGGAGGCCCAATCCCTCCCCAATCCCTTAATCTCTAAAACACTAATCCCTAAGAGGTCGGCAACGCACTCGTAACTCCTCCGTTGTGGGTGTCCATGGGCGGCGCTGATTGCTTACCATCAGGCAATCCGTCTGCTCGTTTGCCGTTCTATTACGTGCCGGTATATTAAAGACTATCGTCATTAAAAAAATCTTGAATTTCATTATTTCAAAACATGTTTAGTGTTTGAAACATAAAACAAATAATGTAATAAATAAATGTGTATATTTACAGATAAAGACTATATTCGAGACGGCACTAGCTCGAGGGATGGAGTCGTTCAGTCAGAGCGAGGAGTTATGGCTGAGCTACCTGGAGTATTTGCGTCGGATCTCCGATTTTAACAACGAGAAAGATGTAGACAGACTGCGGAGAACATTTAGACTCGCTTGGGATACGTTGGCGGAGGTATGCATACTTTTTAATCTATTATTTTTTTATTTTCTTTTTCCATTTTTTTTATATAAATTTGGGCTGTAAATGATTAACCGAGGTGGTAAGGCATGGTATCGTCTGCATCGATAAGGTTTCTGCTAGACCTATAGTTGGTAGTTAAGTCGTAGGTCGTGGTGGCATAAATAAAATTTCTAATTATAAGTTTGAAATCGCCAACCCGCATTGAGCAAGCGTGATGATTAATGCTCTAACCTTCTCCGTATGAGAAGAGGCCTTTGCTCAGCAGTGGGCACTTATAGGCTGATGATGATGATGATGAAGTTTCCTTGTTCAATAATAAATTATTTTAACTTTTCAATACAAATAATTATTAAAATGTAATCCTACTTTCATTCGTTGATTTCAAATAGTGTATATGGTATACTTAATTTTAGACTCTTACAGATTTTTTGTTAATTAAACGTATGCTATTTGACCTTTAAATATTATGACGTCATATGTTGCGATTCTGTTAAAGATTTACAGCATAGTTTATTTGATATTTCAGTATAAGTATTAAATTTGACTTGATAATTATAATTCGAATTTCGAAACTACCGGATTGTATGAGAATTGTGCTTTATAAAAGCCATAGATATCTAAAATAAAGGGCTCAAAATAAAATAATAATGTTATAATGAACCTAAATGAATGTTATTGTGCCGAAGCATGGTTCTAGCACACTTTAGCGTTAATATTATTTGACTATATAAATTGGTTTTATATTTGACTATATTGTTGCAGACATACAACGAGGAGGCTGATGACAGCGAGGTTCCTATATTTTGGGCACGACTCGAATACAAATTCCTAAACGATCCAAAGCAAGGCCGAATGATCTTTGAAGAAATACTCAGTAAGTTATCACGTCACTTTTATATGGGATTCGGTTGCCACGTTGTTAAATGAGCAGATAGATGACCTGATGGTAAGCGATTAGCGCTGACTATGCTCCCGGCAACTCCAGAACAGTTAAAAGTGCAATATCATTTAAGGAATTAGGGAGAAATTTATAGAAAAGAAGCGTTGCTTCATGCAGATTTTCTGTGAAGCCGTGGTATCACTCCAGTTCAAATACTTTTCATTTTCACGGTTGGCATTGTGTGCCGCTGGTTCGATCCTTGGCATGACTCTTTGTGTGATCCATAAAATGTTGTTCCGTGTGTATGCATGTGCATGTGAATTTGTATAGTTTTATGTGTGCGTTACCTACGACTTGGGAGCTCTAGGGGCTTTAAAATGCTTTTGTATATGTATAATATGCGCATACAATATTAGAATCAAATGTGGGATAGATCTGAATTGAAGGTGACACAATTTATTCTGTAAAACAAATGTAACAGTTTACATTGTCTTGTATCATTTCAATACATACATATTTGGGTTGTTTTTTTAGTTTTTTTTTTACGAGTGTGTGGTAGGATGTTTCCCATTTGCATTTGTTTATTTTGTCGTACTTTTTTCCATCATTCATTCTTATACAGTTGTTTAAAACTTTTCAACATTAAGAACTGTATTAACTGTGAAATTATGGAAAAAAAAACAAATAAAATATTTGGTACGATTTGTTTACACGGTTGGCGGTGCCGTGCGACGTGTCGCGGGTTCGATTCCCGCACGTTACAACACTTTGTGTGATCGACAAATTGTTGTTTCTGGGTGGGTGTGATGTGTATGTGAAATTGTATGTTTGTAAACGCACCCACGACTACTCATTTAAAAGGGAAAAAGAAAAGAATCTATTCACAATGACTATGCTCCCTTCAAAAAGATATGCGTTGATAAAACTACATCTCTTGGCTACCTATATATCATTCTGGATGCATGCTTCAGTTATATCAAAATATTTTACACAACTAACACAATTAAACCTAATTTCCTGCTTTTGTATTTATATTAACAAGCGCTAATCTATTTCTTTCTTTCCCATGTTTACACCCTGCTTTATGTACATGCTTAATCTAATATAATTTAGTTTAATTATACAGGTTTGCCTAATAAAGAAAACCCTCTCCAAACAGATGTTGGTGATAACAAAACCATATCGAAGTATTGGGAAGCGCTGCTAGCGTTGGAATTTGACAGGAAACCCCGTCCTTCAGATCATAAGCTTAGGGAATTGATGAAACGTGCTCTGCGAGAAGTACAGGACTTCCCACCAGTCATTATAAGGATGTGGACAGCCTTTGAAAGGGACCATGGACATATTGAGTCTTTGCAGGAGTGCAAAGAAATCTGTGAGGTAAGTTCAGTGTTACACTATTAAATATTTGTTTCAAGAAAATTTGTAATATAATAGGTCTGTAACTATGAAATTGCCGTTTTGCATGAAAAAAATTAAACGATTTTTTTGATTTCAAATGTGACGAAAATGTAACACTAATCAATAAACAAATGACTACTTTTGGTAAAAGAATCTCATGTTTTTAAAACAAAATTAATTAGCCTAACAAAAACTATTTTGATTTGAAATAGCCAGTATTGCAGAAGGGCAATATCATAGGTAAAGACCTATTATTAATTTAGGCATTATACTTATATTAAGTACTTATAAACATCAAACAAGATGTTTCAATTTGAAGTGTCACTCTCTCAGTCAGTCCTCCAGTGAAAATATTTGCTTGTTCCTAAGTGTAAATTCTAAGGAGAAGTACAAGCAAGAAACTCAATGTTTACTTTTTTATTATCAGTTTTATTCTGTACTACTTCTCACATATTTGAAATCTTTATAAGACTATCTGAAGTGGTAACTATTTCTAATGTGTGTAGTTGACTTTCCCGAACTAAGAAATAATGTGTGTCTTGTTCATTATTTTATAAGGTAAATTTGTGTGAGCTTTTGAGTTGTGTTATTAATCTCATTACTTATAGTTTTTAAGTGACTAGATCGCTTAAAAATATATTATTTTTATTGAGAATTACGTAGGTAACCATCTAAACTTAAAGACTTAAATTCCTATTGCAATAATTATTATAAAAGTATGGTGTCAAGAGAGAACCCCACCTTATTACTTACTTAATACAGAATTTAAAATCATTGTATCATATTCCCAGCTAAAACTCAGGGATTGGCACAGAGCTTATGAATCAATGAGAAAGAAAATTTTGGGGAAAAAACCTAATCCGGGAAACAGCAAAACGAAGATGAAGCCGAAAATTGACATGTTGGTCAAAGGGAAAGGTAAGAGGAAGTCGGATGGGGGTGACGATGGGGGGGACACGAAACGGAAGAAGGAAGAGAAAATGGAAGTGGATGAGAAGGAAGACGGTGGAGTGAAGCGCTCTCATGAGGATGAAGATGATGATGGTGAGTTTTATTACACTAAGACATTATTAACTCGTGTATACACAAAATTAAACATAATGTAGTATAAAACTTGGATTAAGTAGAGTAATAAGCAAAAATTAGGTACAGAAAATATGTTTTTACTAGATACAAAAAAATCTAGATAAATATTAGTGAAAGTATAACTCTGCTACAGATACATATGCTCACAATAGCTACTCTCTCTCTACTCTCTCTCGACTCCTAGAGATCGTAGCGTGATGTTTTATAGCCTATATCCTTCCCCTATATATGGACTAAAAAACATTGTTCCATTCGAAACAGTAGTTCTGGAGATTAGTGTGTAGCAAACAAACTCTTCAGCTTTATAATATATATTATATGTACACATGTATTGGTATATACTGCTAATAAAAAACAATATAAATTATGTATAGTATAAAGAAGAATGTCCTACATATACTATGTAGTATATATAATAATATAACCTATTTTAAAATTGCATAGTGTCTTACATGTTATAAGCCATATGATGTGTAGATACATTTGAATATGGCAGAAGGAAATCATATGAGTGTTTAACAAAATATGATTATTAATTAATGAATATGTTTTCTGTGTAGCTGGTGGGAGTAAGAGGCAACGTACAAGCAGCTCCAGCCCTCACAGACTTGGAACAAGAGATGCTTGCACTCTCTTCATCAGCAACCTCGAATTCAAGTTAGTAGACTGCTACTTATATTAATAGTATTTTTTTTATTACTAGTATTATTTTATTGTTTGGAATGAATTTAAGCTCGTTGACTTACGTGCCACGGGTTTTCATACAAACTTACACGTTGAAATTCACAATAATGTCTTGAAAAAATATGAGACTGACCTCCGAGTTTTTGAGGCATTTAGCCCTATAGGAAATGCCGGCTTCATCGATATATTTTCTTGGAATATTTATGCGTATAAATGCTGTTTAGTGGAATATTTACAAAAATAAATTAATTGTTTTATTGTGTTATGGAAACTGCTGCACTTATTTTAATGATTTTGTACTTTTCCACGATATACAAAGAGTTGTTTCAGAAAAACACACAGATACAATTTATCATTTCCATATTAACTTAATGTCACTTAGGAATTTTTCGATTCATCATTTTTGACTCCTGAAAACTCGTGCTGCGTAGACGCTTTTAAATCAGTATGGAAAGTAAGAGAATGGACGCATTGATTGTGTAAGAATCGATGTAAAAGAAATGCAACCAATTTCTTTAAAAAAGAAAATTTTTAATTGAGCATGTTTTTTAATTCGCGCTCGTTTCCATGTCCATGGAGATTTTGTTTTATAAAATTTGTGATTTCTCGGTTTTTGTCCGACCAGATGTAATTTATTGCGGTTTTTTTATCATCGCATACAACTTAAAAAATATTATTTTCCTTAAAATTAATTATCATGAAAACGATTGTATAAAGAAGCATATTTTTGTGTAATATTTTACGTGACACAAACTATAATACATAATGTTCAAGTGACTTTCCTTTTCGCATGACTGTAAGCTAAAATATTTTCCAACCCACATACATAAAACGAAAATTTGTTCTATTATTGAACTAATTTTAGCATAAATGTTGATAACGGTGACATCCAAAGTTACTTTAATATAATTTGTTGACCATTATAAAAAAAGTTTCGAAAGCGTTCGTACAACGGAGCGTTCGGAGGAATGCATTTTTAGCGCAGGCGTAACATTAGTGTGGCAGCACTGAAATATAAAAAATCAAAACTTATGCTTCGAAGCCCTAAGTTATCACTGCTAGTTGTACTATAGAAAAACAATTAAGTAGCTATGCTTTTGAAAAACAATGTTAAACACCATTAAATTCTAAGGAAAAGTGGTAAAATTAATATTTAAAAAAGTGATTCAATTTTTGTGTTATGGCAGCATTGTTGTTTACTGTTCTATCATTGGCTAACAGATGACGCCGTGGTTGTGTTATGGTGTTTTGTTTTCATTTCGGCCATTGTTGTTTGTAAGCGTCATCTGTTAAGTCCTCTTTGGTGTGCCTCCAGACAAGTTCGTTGAATTAACTATTACTATGGTAAGTATTATTAAAAATTATATTTATAATGAATATTTTTTCAAAATAGTCCATTGTTAATATTATTTTCTTTCAATTTAGGATCTACGACGCAGATTAGCTCGGAAAAAAATGAGAACTCTCACAAACGAAGAAAAAGAAAAGCTAAGAAGATTAGCAGAAGAGTATCCTGTTTTTAAGTTGCCCAAGTTAAAACCTGATATGAAGGATCCTAGACGTGGTGCATGGAAGAAGATTGCGAAAACATTCAACTTCATCTCAAAGGCCCTTTGTCAGGTAAATATCACTATTTACTTATTTTATTGTTAAATTAATAATGTTTCTTATCATTTGAGCATTATGGCTCATACTCACTTTGACAAAATGTAATGATTGCAATGATTTTTACTATTTAAATGTGCATTTACATAAATGTTAAGTCACTTTGTAAGCTTACGGCTAACGCATTGTCGTAAGTTGTCGTGTGTTGATTTCGTATACTTTCTATTTCGCTGTGGAATTTTCTAATGATACAAATAAGTAGTGACCTAAATATAGTTGAATATCTTACTATGGGGTAATAGTGATTTTGACATTGTTCTGTTTATTTTTCTATATGTACAAATAGATTTAAAATCAAATATACTTTTACAGGGTATTATTCTAATGACATATTTAGTACGTAAGTGAACATTATCTAATTCCAAAGGTGCCTTTCTTATCAATTCGTGTGCATTTTGTAATGGTACATAATATGGCGTGTCAATCTACACAAACCAGTCTAGCAGGGTCTCGCTTTGTGTCCAACGAAGCGACGTATTGTATGATCTTTCGGTACTTTCAAGGGCCATGTTTTATTGGTTTTTGTATAGTTTAGTGTGGGCGGATGATGCATTTGTAGGTTCTGAAATATACTTGGGGCCCTACTAAATTAGCCAGCTAATACTATTTATCAAGTCTTTATGATACAATTAGAAACATCAGAATCGGGGAGCAAAAATAAAATCACTAATAAAAGTGCACTAGCAATTAGCAAGCTTCCCCATTTTGTTAAATAAATTTCGTGACGCTGCACTGTTTCTAGAAATGTTATTTTTTTTATTATAGTATAGGTAAACAGGTATCGTCTATTGTTTTGAGCGGGGATTGCAGGTCCTTTGTGTTCACGGGAAACAGCACAAAAGCCCTCTTTGGTAGACCCGGTCCTAGCGTACAAATAGATTAGTGAAGAATATTTATTTTTAAACTAGCTTTCGCCCGTATAAAAGTAATGTGTTCCATGATTTTCAAAATGGCAGCGTTCAAAGCGATAGTTTGACTAAAATACCAAGTATAATATCAAGTATAATTTATAGCCGTATTTGCTATACTCTCATCAACGTTGTAGCTGTCTATTTATTTACTTGTTTATGCTTTATTGCACACAATGAAATGAAGTTGGTACAAAAGGCTGACTTAATGCCATACGGCATTCTCTACCAGTCAACCAGTGAAATAATTTTGGAAATCCGACGAGCCATTCCAAAGATTACTCCACAAACTTACAAATTTCACCGTATTAATTAAACGATACAAAAAGGTTTTGAACTATTTTTTTTAATGATTATAATGAATTTTAATTTTGTTTTAGCGCAATTTGCCAGATTTGAGGAGAGCTTTGATTGACATGGACGTGATACCAGATAATAGTAATGAAAGCGATTCAGTAGACGGTACAACCCGTAAATCAAGACGTAAACCTGATGTGGTAAGGTTCATTTTACCTTTTTTTTTTACTTAATTGCTTGAAGGCAGAGACAGGCGATTGTTATTTTATATGATATACTTCGCCAGTATCATACGAGTCCTGATTACCTTATGGTAAGCAATCAGTGCCACCCAGGACCACTCGCAATACCAAAGGAGTTACTATAAGTGCGATGCTGTACTTGTGGGGGAAAGGATTGGGCTTCAGGTAATCTCACTCACACGGCGATACACAACGCTGTGGTTGTTCACGCCGGTTTTCTGTGAGGCCGTGGTATCACACCGGTCAAGCCGACCCATTCGTGCCGAAGCCCGGCTCTCCCACACTTTGTTTTCGATATATATTTACTCATTTCGCTTAGTAATAGCACAAGGTCTGGAATTGCAATCAGTGTGAGAAATAACCTGAACTTTTTGAAATCTCCAATTCGCCGTTAGCGTGCGTTCTGATAAATGCTCATACCTTTTACTGTCAGATGATGCCTTTCCTCAGTAGTGGACACTTATAGGCTGATGATACGAGTTCTAACTCCTGTGAAGTCACTGTTCTAGATTATTCACGTTTCTACTGGAAATGTTCAGAAACAGAAAATGCTATACCTATCTTGAAGCCTATTTGGTAGTTTGTCTTTCGACTCTCGGACTAGCATGGAACTCTTTCAATCTAGATAACAATAATGAGATCCTAAATAATTAGTTTGTTTGACTTCAGTTTAAAATAATAAGTGTTTTTTTTTCATTTCAAGCCTAGAGCGCTAGTGTATGAGATCAAGAACCTGTTGCATGACGACGGAGATTACTTAGTCGATGGCACTCCTACCGAAGTATTTGACATTGATCTGTATAGCGATGGTATGTATGATTATTTCAACATTAAAAACGATTTTCATCAATTTTTTTCCTTTAAAACCACAGACATTTTCCTAAAGAAGTAGTTTATAATATTTCCTAAAACTTCTGCTTCATGGCTCGAGTTTGGTAACAGCGCAAATTATTAAACGATTTTTTATGAAATAAGTCGGCAAACGAGCAGGCGCATTACATGATGGTAAGCAATCAGCGCCGGCCATTGACAACCGCATTGAAGGAGTTACGAGTGCGTTGTCAGCAACGCCTTAAATGGTCGGCCTTTTAGGGATTAGGGGGGTTTGGGGAAGGGAAAGGATTGGGCCTCCCGTAACCTCACTGACCCGGCGACACACAACACTTTGGTTGTTTCACGCTGGTTTTCTGTGGGGCCGTGGTATCGCTCCGGTCGAGCCGACCAATTCGTGCCGAAGCATTGCTCTCCCACACTAAATTCCCGATCTCAAAATTTGAATTTGAAATACGAAAATGAGAAATAATTGAATGATAAATGGTTGATGATTTTTCTGAGATGAAAAACCGAAACAATCTTAGAGATTAGGTTCACTCTGAAAGTCCTGACAAATAAATAATGCGGGAACTACAAACTAAAGTTTTCTATCCTACCGCCTTGATATTATTTCTGACATATTAGATGAGAAGTCCCATTCAATCAAATGGCTAGTTTTTCAGGCCGTTATTAGTAGCATGGTTAATTAGGCTAATAACCTGCTATGTGTACATCATTAGACTAGTTATATAATTTCTTACTAATATATTATGTTCTCTTGTTTTCAGCTACAACGTGGATTTTACTTCGTAAGACATATGAACATAAAAATATCCACGACATCACACAGGACCTCTCTATGCGCATATTCTTACATAAAATGTGCCATAGACTGGTACTAATGAAGGAAATGGTAAGTTTTTTCTATAGGATAGTTCGGCAAACGAGCCGGTGGATTCATTACCTGATGGTAAGCAATCGGCGCTGCCCATGGACACCCGCAACTCCAAAGAAGTTAAGAGTGCGTTGCTAGGTGCGTCGCCTTTTGGGTTTTGGATATTTAAGGATTGGGAAGTAGGATAGGGATTGGGCCTCCGTTAACCTCAGACACAGACAAAACACAACGCTGTGGTTATTTCACGCCGGTTTTCTATGAGCCCGTGTTATCACTCCGGTCGAGCCGACCCATTCGTGCCGTATCTTGGCTCCCACTTAAAATTTTTAAACATACATCAATAATTGCCATGTTTTATGCACGTTAAATAATATTTTTTAATTAATTTCATTGTGGAATCCCAGAAAGTTATTCGATATCCCTGGTATATCCCGGACTTCAGTGTTTCGGTGTTTTCATGGCTTTGTCTACTGTAGACCCGAGCTTACTGAAATACAGTTGGGGCCCAATAAGGCTGGTGTTCAACCGGGGTTGCGGGTCAAGCTCAATAACGTAACTTGGCTTAGAGCAGGAGAGGGAACGGAGTTATTTTTAGTCAGTAAAAGTGTCAGTGTGACACTGTCCCCTCTCGTCTAACCCAAAGCGAGAGGTCATTGGATGATTTGATGATGCTTTCGTTTATCTCAAACAAAAACAAACCTCCCATTCAATAGGCCAAGTGTCCAAGGCCGAAGCTAAAACTAAAACTAAGTGTCGACCGAGATGAGTTTTTCGTTCTTGGCCGAAACTGAACCCGAGAATAGACAAAGGCTAAGAAAAGAACTTTTTGATACAGAACTAAATATAAGGAATGTATTAATAATCAAGGTATAAATCACATTATATTATATCAGAAAAAAAAACAATTTCTCGGCATTTTCGCCTGTCAAAGAGTGGCGGCTCTCATCATCCAATTGTTTGGCTTTGCTAAATCATAGTTGTTAGCTTGATACGTTAGTAGAAGGCGCAGATAAAAACGTATCCCAAGCCTTCTCTCCCCCCCTCTATTGAGACTGGTGGTAAATTATCAATGAAAATGTAAACTTGGTATGATGATATTAATGTGATTAACTATTTTATTTTTACAGATAGATGAGGCACGTTTACACGGTGAAGCTGAAACACTATTACAAGAAGACACTAAAGCACGGTTACTAACTGAAATGGAACGTATCCAAAATACTTTGGCAGCAATGCAATTGAACGAATCGGATTATGAAACGGTGTCAGATTCTGAAATCAATGGTGAATCAAAAAAACAAGAATAAAGATTCAAAATACAAATTTTTTTATTTGCATGCTATGAAAAGAAATTTTTTATTATTATTAAAGATTATAATATTAAATCACGTTTTTTTCATTGCTTAGTCGCTGGCCCGGCGAACTTCCTACCGCCTTAGCGTAGTTTCGATTTACTATTTTATTTTGTATAGTTAACCTATCTTAGGTATGAGTACCTATTCAATTTAACCTGGCATCTATAATGTCCCCCATATAAAAATGAATCCCGATTTCCCTGGTCTCGTCATACCTTTACTAATTTTATTAAATAAAAAACAAAATATATATTTTTATAATAGTGTTTATTTCATAGGGTTCAATAATTCCACTTACATTTTTACAAATCGCTATTGCACAACTTGGCATTTTGTTGTAAACTCTGAGCTCAACACCACGCGCTCTCTAAAGTTACCAAAAATCGATATGAAGCTGTTGACAGCTTCATATCGATTTGATATGAAGCTGTTGACAGCTTCATATCGATTTTTGGTAACTTTTAGCGTAATTAACAAACAAAAAACTTCTTAGTCTTTAAAACAAAACAAACTTTATCAAAAACTTATTAAAATTATTGTTACCGCGGTTATGGATGCGCGCGGTTATGCCACAGATTACCAAAGCTTTTTTTTAAGAAATACCATCCTTGGACTTCCACAATCATTAAAAAAATTATTATAGAAATCGGGGCCTCGAGTCTGCTATTACAATAGTGTCAGAATAGTAGATCATTGGTTTCAAAATTGTTGATTTTGACAAGTTTGGTAATCTACTAACACGATAGCGTGATTATGACTTTCCAATTATCAACCAATGCCACTTCATTGAAATAATTCTTTAGAACGGTAATCTCGTACATAATGACAAATGAATATTTGACATAATGCGGTAAATTAATGTCAGTTTCTTTAGTCAATGATTTACATTTAGAATATTAATGTGTAGTTATTGTTTATAATTCGTTACAAGACATCTCGTACTATAACTCTATTACGACAACGCCAATGATTAGCAATTTTGAATTAACAGATTACGAACTTTTAGCAAAATGACAATGGAATCGTGTTGGAATGACAACACTTTGAAAATAGTATACTTGGGCCCCAGCCGTTCACACGTGATGCCACGACAACGCCAAACGGGTTTCATTTTTATATTATAGTTTTATTTATTTACTAGCTTTCGCTCTATGGCTTTGCCCGCATGGTATCTTGATAACAAGTAGCCTATGTCTTATTCTGGAGTGTATGTCTGTGCCAAATTTCATCCAGATCCGTCCAGCCGTTTTGGCGTGATTGAGTTACATCCAAACATTCAGACATCGTACCTTTCGCATTTATAATATTATTAAGATTATTATAAGGTAGGCTCACAGCTTTGTATACAAAGTTGTTGGAAGTATTCGTTATAAGTAGTAGGTCTTATACATTAGCCAGTTACGAGCTAACCAACATTTTTAAAATTACGCGTTTTAGCAAAAATTATATTTAGTGTAACACTTCCTGCCAGTTCCTGCACTGATATCGACTGTTCTACAACTAACGCCACCTTGTGTCAACAACGTATAAACTACTTGGCTTCGATCTTGACTGTTTTACAACTAACGCCATCTTTTATAAACATTATAAACTTCACTTAATTCTGGTATATTTATTTAATTATTAATAAGTTATTGTTTACAAATTGATTATAAATTATTAATTTGCATTAACTACATTATTATAATTTAAATGTCCATTATCTAAATAACTAACTAATTTATGATTGTTAATTGACTAATTGCTGGTTTCCTTTTTGTGTGTTCGTTGTGCGGTGATTTTGGAGGGATGATTATTAAAGAACCCGCTTTCGAGGTGTGAACTGACCAAGACCTCATCATTATAGAAATGACATCTCAATCAAATTAACATAGGACAACAGTTTTTATCATAGTAAAATATATACCTATAGTCAGAATTTTAATTCGATTCCTGATTTGACATCAGCTACTGTCTTTTTGTGAAATAATGATACCACATATAACAGTGTAGTGATGAACACAAAAATCGATAAACAATCAATGAATCAGTTTCAGGAAGGCATTCAAAAAATTACGGCTACTGAATGGTCTAAATGCGTATCCCATCTTGTCAAAGAAGAGGAAAAATGAGTAAGCTAGATATGTTAATTGACAATAAAAATCACAGACACAATTCATAATAAATGTTACATGAAGTAACAGCGATAGCAATAGCGATGACGGCGACAATTTATAATATGTCTGTTTTATTTGTCATGTTCCTTCATGATCACATTTTTTATTAATTTCCCACAGAATTACAAAAGAAAAGTCTCAGATCGTTAATTAATTGTCAAAACTAAATTATCGGTTCAGAAATATTTTATTTCCTGATAAACTTAGTTTACGAGAGTAAATTTATAAAAGAGAGGCATCGATTCAGAAATATTCGATTTCCATATCGAATAATTTCGCAACGTCACTATTTATTACGTGTCATAACGTTGCAACACTGAAATTGTCAAATCTGGAATGGAATTAAAATTCCGAGTATTAATAAAAATGCTTATCCTAAACAGAGGTTGATATGGTTATTATTATATTATTACTGCGAGTACGAATGTACAATAAGATCGACCTAGCTTGAGGAATATAATATAGGAACGCAAGCTCTTACTTATCTTAGCAGTCGCACGGAGTCGTGGCGGCTTACCATGTTTTTTTTTTATGTAATAAGACGGCAAACGGGCAATCTGATTACCTGATGGTAAGCAATCAGCGTCGCCCATAGACACCCGAAACAACTGAGGAGTTACGAGTGCGTTGCCGACCTTTTGGGGATTTAGGGATTGGGGAGGAATTGGGCCTCGGTAACCTCACTCACACGGCAAAACAACGCTGTAGTTGTTTCACGCCGGTTTTCTGTGAGGCTGTGGTATTACTCCGGTTGAGCCGACCCATTTGTGCCGAAGCATGGCTTTCTCACACTTATTAGCAGGTTTAATTCAAAACTTTCTGTACTGATCCACATATCTAACATTTTGATAAATGTCACTACAATTAGTTTTTTCAAATTAATAAAAATGTTTGAAATAGTATTATTGACACTTCAAAGTACATAACATTTTGTTCTAGATATGGACACCTTCCTTCTTCCTTACTCATCATCATCCCATAACTGCCCACTGCTGAGCAAAGGTCTCTTCTCACACGGAGAAGGTTTGAGCATTAATCACCACGCTTGCTCGCGTGCGTTCGTGCAGCGGAATGTTGTTGAATTTAAAGATTTTAATTATGCAGATATTTAGTGTATGACGTCGTATAATTGTGTATGGTAAAAAAAAATTTGTGCACGCAACCATTGTGGAGAAATTCACCAAAAACTGATTCCGCTGGGCGAACGTTGTCCTGGCGGAACTTTTTTTAATCCATACACTTTAGAAGAAAAGAGATGTATCCAAAAATTAGTGTGTATTTGTGTGTAATTGTGTTTGTATGAATATAACGAGTGCATGCATAAACTTCGGAGAAATTCAAGTTTCCGCTACGCGAACGTTTGGCCACTAGCTAGTTTTCATATAAAGCGCTTACATAGAGAGCTGTAGATTTTTACATACGTTGTTTTGAATTTGTGTATATTTGTTTAAAAAGCAGATTTAGAAAAAATCGTAGGGTTTAAAAGATAAAAATATAAACGTAAAATACGCTTATTAGGTCTTAGCTCTTAAAGTATGCACTTTAGGGTCTAGATTTTCACGTTTATACAAACCTTGTAAGTGTCTGCAACATGTTGCCAAGTATCAATGATGTTCCGTTAGTAATTAAATAGTTATAGGACAAATTTACCATGAATATATCACTGTTTACAAAGCAGTCAAATATCACGACGTTCTAAATGAATTGCATGGTAAAATGTATGCCAATAATTAGTGTATTCGTTCAACTATTCACATGCAAAATTTCATGTCATTAAATTCAGTAATTAAAGAAAAACAATTATAATACTGACGAAGTATCGAAAACCTACAAAACCCGACCAAGTTCGGATGGCTACAAAAAAGCGGCTGTTCAATATATTTAGGTAACATCCTTAGGTATTGAATTGGTACAGGTGATAACACACTTGTTGTTTCGAAACAATTTCTAGGTCATTTATTTTTGGACACCTACTTTTTTAAATGTATTTGACTATGACAGAAAGTAGGTACTATTTACGTAGGTACTTTATATAAGTATGCGCTTGAGATTTGAGATATAATCTAATTATATTTAAGACAAATAAAATTCATACAGCTAATTTCTATTGAAGATTTCACGGATCAGGATTCTAACTATAGACCCCTTAGGGAAATTAAATATTTACCACATGTAAGTACTTAAGTACTACTGTTTAGGTAAATATTTATCATATTGTAGCTTATTACACTATTTAACCAATAGAGGCATGCACGAGCGTGTGTACGATACTGTGTTTTATTTTTTCCTAACGCTTGTGTACGATAATGTACCATATTAATAAATGCTATATTGGAAAGTTAAGAACGTTTCTTAGATATATGGCACGGCCGCTTTTTTGTAGCCATCCGGCAACTTGGTCGGGTTATGTAGGTTTTCGATGCTTCGTCAGTATTATAATTGTTTTTCTTTAATTACTGAATTTAATGACATGAAATTTTGCATGTGAATAGTTGAATAAATACACTAATTATTGGCATACATTTTACCATGCAATTCATTTAGAACGTCGTGATATTTGACTGCTTTGTAAACAGTGATCTATTCATGGTAAATTTGTCCTATAACTATTTAATTACTAACGGAACATCATTGATACTTGGCAACATGTTGCAGACACTTACAAGGTTTGTATAAACGTGAAAATCTAGACCCTAAAGTGCATACTTTAAGAGCTAAGACCTAATAAGCGTATTTTACGTTTATATTTTTATCTTTTAAACCCTACGATTTTTTCTAAATCTGCTTTTTAAACAAATATACACAAATTCAAAACAACGTATGTAAAAATCTACAGCTCTCTATGTAAGCGCTTTATATGAAAACTAGCTAATGGCCAAACGTTCGCGTAGCGGAAACTTGAATTTCTCCGAAGTTTATGCATGCACTCGTTATATTCATACATACACAATTACACACAAATACACACTAATTTTTGGATACATCTCTTTTCTTCTAAAGTGTATGGATAAAAAAAAGTTCCGCCAGGACAACGTTCGCCCAGCGGAATCAGTTTTTGGTGAATTTCTCCACAATGGTTGCGTGCACAAATTTTTTTTTACCATACACAATTATACGACGTCATACACTAAATATCTGCATAATTAAAATCTTTAAATTCAACAACATTCCGCTGCACGAACGCACGCCGCTTGCTCAATGCGGGTTGGCAATTTCACTTGAGAATTAGAAATTGTAAGTCCAGGTATCCTCACGATGTTTACCTTCACCGTATGTGAGTGGTGTCTAAATAATCATAGAAAGTACATATAACTCGGAAAAAGTCACATTGGTACTTGCCAGGTTTCGAACCTAAACCCTTATGCATGAGAAGCGGGCGCTTAAACCTCCGGGCCACCACGACACTTACTTCCTTACTCAATCGTAGTAATTTTTTAATATTACAAAGTTAAGTAGTAATGCTTAACATTTAGTTTTTAACCCACCATTCTTATTAATCCGTGGTCTTTTTATGACCTATAACTACCTTAATATATTAGTACACAAAACAATTTGTTTTGAAAGGTATATTTCTCACTCAGTCCTGGTATTTTTCTAATAGTACAATTACAAACCTGTTTTAAATCGCCTTACTTACTTTTTCATGGTCTATTCTTATTGTATAAAAAGGGTAGTTTGGTAGTTAACAATAATGTTTTGTTTAAAATTATATTTTTTACCTTTTCTTTTAATTCTTTTCTACTTATTCGTGGTCTTTTCTTTTAATGATACAATAGATCAGTCCACATTATTTGTTTTTAAATGTATGTGGGTACATTGTTCTCTAATGTATTTGTACTATAAAAATACCACGAGTTTTTATGACACGCACATTTAAAATTAAAATGTTGTTACTCTTTCGTGTTATTTTTGTAATGTATTTGTATACATTTCATAAGTTAAACTGTAAAATAAAAACCAATTTGTGGTGATTTTATTAATGGTAACAAATGCATTACTGATAATTCTGATAAATAGAGGTATATGAATGCTCCTTTTAACTTTCGCGGTCATTTCCTAATGATACAAAATTAAATAGCGTAGTGCATAATGTGTATTTAGTTACGGAGCCGCCTTTCTTGCTAATTTGTGTTAATTTACTTATTGTACTTACTGCAAATAGATAATTGATTAATATTTGTTTTTAAATGTACCTTTTCTAGTAATTTGTGTCACGATTGTGATCTGATTTTAATCCAAAATCTTTGGAGTGATCTATTTAAAATAGCATTTAAGAAAGTCCGTACAACTTATTAATTATATCTCACTTTGGAGCTTTATACATAGGACAGAAACACCTAAAAACTGGATTTTACTACCTATATTAACTTTCCAAGGCATTCTAAAAGAAAAATATAATACATTATTATAAAAAAAAACCGCAATTGTTTACTCCACTAAGGTGCCTTATTGTGTAGCATACTTACCTCAGTCCTTTTTTTTATCACTTACAAATTCGAATCTCCTTATTTTATCAGAATTATTTCAGGACTTAAATTTATGTCCATATATATTTGAAAATCAGAGCTATCATACGCCAAAAAATGCCACATGCAGTAGCCATTGTTTCAATCATGGCTGCGGGGTCTGGGTGGCCCTATGCAAGCTTATTTTTGCTAATGGTTTTAACCCTTTCTACCGCAGGTTTGGCTTTCTGCCTCAGCCGGTGTAGCTTTAAACCATGTACCTGACCTCGCGGGTCGCCTCCTCCAAAACTCATTTACATTATTCTCGGACAAATTACATATAGCAATGGTAGCTATTCCAAATCCTATTCTGCTAAGTTAAAATTCTGCCAAATAATAAAATATTTTCTCAGTAGCAAGTCCCACTAAAAATCAGTTTAGAATCTTAATCATTCGACGAGACAAGCTGATAAAATCTTTGTATCCTTTTATTACATTTCATTATACACTCTGTTGTTCAGTGTTAGAGTCCATATTCCATTGGTTGTCTGCTAAAGTCCCACTATTTGCCAGTATCAAGTTATTATTCAGTGAATTTGTGACAATTAAGCTGATTGGACTGAGACCTTATCCTTCACTAGCGCCATCTACAGATTGAAGTAAAACCCTCGTTAAAAGCTTGCGCAGCTTTTCTACTTCTTCGTGGTATTTTCTTTTAATGATACAATAGATCGGTCCACATTATTTGTTTCTTATATATGTATGTGGGTACATTATTCTCAGATCTATTTGTACCATGAAAATACCACGAGTTTGTAAGAGTGGCACCTTCAAAACTAAATGTTGTTACTCATTCGTTTTATTTTTGTAATAATATAAATTTCATATATTAAACGGAACGGTATTTGGTTCTAAAAAGGCCCTTATTACCAATTTTTTGGTATTTTATTAATGGTACAAATGATTTACTAACTTTTCAAGACATTCTAATAAAATAAAAAATATATATTTTTAAACAAAGGCAAACAAATGTGCACTCCACTAGCGTACCTTATTGTTAACCATACCTCAATAACACTTCTTATTACTTACAAATTCGAATCTCCTTATTTTATTAGGATATTTCAAGACTTAAATTTATGACCATAATATATGAAAATCGAAAGCCGCAGAAAATACCACATGCAAAAGGTATTGTTTCTGTCATGGCTGCAGGGTCTGGGTGGCCCTATGCAAGCTTATTGCCGCTGATAGGTTTAACCCTGTCTACCGCAGCTTTGTTTTCTGTCCCAGATTTAAACCTGTAAGCCATCTACCTGACCTAGCGGCCTGCTTCCGCCGCAGGTTTCAATAAACTTATTTACATTATTCACGAACAAGTTAAATATAGCAATGGTAATTATTCCACATCCTATTCTGCTAAGTTAATATTTTGCCTAACAATCATTATGCTAAATGATTTATTGCCTTAAAAGTATTGGATTAAAGTAGATTTTGCCAAACTAATTTCACAGTGTCAGGAACCACTACGAATCAGTTTGAAATCTTTATCATTCGACGAGACAAGCTGATAAAATCATGGTGTCATTTTATTATACACTCTGTTGGTTAGTGTTAGAGTCCACATTCCATTGGTTGTCTGCTGAAGTCCCACTATTTTTGTGATAATTAAGCTGATTGGACCAAGACCTCAACTAGCGCCCTCTCGAGAGTGACGCACAACCCTCATTGTGACTGACTCTTAGCTGATTATAAGAAAACGTTTTGACTTTTGACTTTCTCAAACCTTTATTATGAGAAAACTTAATTAATTAGAACTTTATGAGTACCGTATTAATAAGATAAGCAATAAAAAAGATACAATGTAAAGTTATTATTGCTACTTAAAGAATGCACACAACCAGATTAATAATGTTGTGATTTACAACACTGGCGTATCATGAAACGTTGAGGATAATAATTATGTAAATTTAGTATTGAATTAATACTCATGCTTCATCCCGTGATCCCCAACCCTGTAGATAATTGGTAGTCCATCAAACAACATAAACCTTCAATAAACCAGAGAGTCTACCGCGCGCTACCGACTACCTGTCAGTGTAGCCATACCTAAAAATAATAAAAAAAAACTATCACCTTTTAGGTTAACATGCTAGTAATTAATTCTTTTGTTTTTTTTTTAATAAAAATAAATACTTTGCAATGATTTCCAACATTAATTTCAAACAACAACAGTTGCTGAAAATAAATAATATTTTAAAACGACGCGATTGTTTTTTTTTTTGCTATGGTATCATTATTATTTACTGTTATGTGTAGCCATTGAGTAAGTTCACGCCGGTGTGATGTTCATTCGCGTTTCGTCTTCAGACGAGGTCGGTACTGTGACAGTCTCAGTGAATATACTGTGGATTAAGTGTATTATCCGTGGATTGTGTTGTATTATTGTGTGATTGTGATAATAATAATATATTATGGTAAGTTTAGTTATAAATTCAAAAACTTTATATAAATAACAAGCATACATTCATTTGTTGTTTTTCTTTATAAATTTTTGATTAAGTATATTAATTTTAAATAGGATGAGTTGTAATAAGTGACTGATACGTAATAAACACTTGATTTTACTCATGATACCAAACGAGTTTTTCAAAGAAACTCAATGTCTGTACTCATTAGTTTTATATTTATTAGTATAACAAACTTTGCACGCCCGCAGTGCGTCGCTCGATCAGCTGTTAGCGGCGAACCCGGCGCGCCCGTGTTTGAAATTGCACGCCAGCTAGTAATTTTGCTATAGTAATAAAAATAAAATTAAAGATTATACAAAAACGGCTATTTGCTTCTTGCATCTACCACTGGATTGTCTCTGCATGACCCTAAGGTAGACTGGAAGAGTAGTCATTGCATTAAGTCTGCCTTGTGCACAATTTTTGGCTGTGCATGCAATTTTAATAAATAAATAAATGGTTAAAAAAGGATAATAAAAGGTTGTCTGTAAGAGATCGCCTTGTGCGATAAGACCGCCCATTGTACACTCAATGTTTGTAAGCTATCCTTTATAACTGTGTGGTGTACAATAAAGTATATAATAAATAAATAGTTAAAATAAAAAAGGGTTCTATGGGAAAGTGTTCTTTTTTTCATGAGTGCAATGACATGTTCAAATTACCAGTCACCCTTTACATTATAAAAATTAAAGTCAATATCATAGTTAAAGTTAGTTTACAATTTTTCAGAGTTAATAAGTGTAATTTTTTCTTAATTTAGGATCTGCAACAGATGTTGGGCCACCAAAGGGCGCCAGCTTTGACCTTTGGCGAAAGGAATCTGTTAAGGCGTATAATTAAAGACTTTCCTATCGTTAAATGTAGAATCAATAATGCCAATTTGATTCCAATCAAAAACGCCGCTTGGAAATCTATAACAAGGAAGTTTAATTACCTTTCCTGCACTGATATCAAGGTAGGTCATCCTTTTTATTCATATTTTTTAACCGCCGTGGTCTCAATGCTCAAAGCTTTATCACCTAGTCAAACCTAGAAAACAAAATTTCTCTTCGTCATTATTATCATCATAAGCTTGTAACTGGCCCATTTCTGAGCAAAAGACCTCTTACATGGAGCAATCAATCCGCTTGCTCAAAGGTCATTGGTTCCACTATGCATATACTGCACTAGCAATCACAATTTTTCTGAGTGGTATTTTTAATGCAGAACTACGACGGTCGATCTGCATTACACACATTACATGCCAAAAACTTGAAATCTTCATAAAAATTAATATGTCTATATCATAGACATCATTAACATAAATTCGCTTTTAAATAGCTAGCTTACTTACTTAGGGTGATAGTAACAATTTGTCGATAATGCACACTTTGTATTGACGCCGTGGTATTTTACTAATTATAGACATTTTATCACTTAGTCAACAAAGTTTGGTTTAGAAAGAAAGAAAGAAATCTTCCTACTCATTCGTGGTTTCACTTATTTAAATGTTTCTTTCTCACTTATTCGTGGTGATTTTCGAATTGTACAAATACATAGGTCTGTAGGTAATATTTGTTGATTTTCGTGTATGAATAGATCAGACCATATATTTGTTTTTTAATGTCCATTATTCACTTATCCGTGGTGATTTTCGTGTTGTACAAGTAGATCTGTAGTTAAATATTTGTTTATAAGTGTCACACTTAATCATGGTGAACTTTGAATCTACTTCACGGTTGGCGCGGTGGCTGGGTATCTGGCTGCCGCGCTACGTGTCGCGGGTTCGATTCCCGCACGGAACAGTTCTTTGTGTGATTTTGAAATTGTTGTTCAGGGTACCCACGACACAAGGCAAAAATCCTAGTGTTACTTTCTACAAGGTTTAAAAAATTGGTTTTAATTATTAATTAATGATACAAATAGATGTTTTCCTTCTCCGTTTGTCATTGCTGTCTGAATACTCTTACCAGCCTTTACTTCCAGGCAACTACGACTTAATTAATTGTTGTTTTAATTTTAGCGTGATACCTACACTCTGAAGACAGCCTGGCTTAACATGAGAGCTACACCCCAGGAACGTTATGAATGGGACCATTATAATCCCTTGAACGATCCGTCAAGTAGCGCTAGTAGTCGCAGTAGCTCACCAATACAAGAGCACGGATTTATGGTAAGTTTTACTAATATATATACTTATTCATTTATATAATGCTGTAGTTTCTAACTAGTCGAATTCAATACCTTTATCCAAATGTAAAAAAAAACTATACTTGTATGAAATTTGATGAAATTTGTATGAAACTCCCTATTATGATGTCGTAGTATTTTAGCGTCGAATAGCTTACTTATCTCTCTTAAAAATTCGTATTTATTAATCTTTTCTTAAAAATTTGCCTAAAAAATGTTGAAAATGTACTCTGGTATCAGATTAATAAAAGAATAGTTTTGGTTTCAATATTTTATTGTATTCAAACGTCGAATAATTCATTTTGACCCAGGAAACTACCCAATTGCTTAAAATGTAGGCAGATTATTATGGCATTAAACAGAAATAATAGATTAAGATTAGGCTCATTATAATCTCATTCCTCGACTAAGTGCACAGACTCTCAATCCTAATTTTGATATTGTTTTTTTTCCAGCCTGCGTCGCCAATGTATCAGCACGGCAATTTGTTTGGGGATCAGTCTGACGAATTGTTTTATGATAACCAAAACGATCTTCTGGCAAGTTTTGGATATAGTGGTATGTATATTTATAGTCTATATGACGTCACAACGTACAGTCTAGCACAACATCTATAAAAAAAACCATAGATTATGACTGTTTAAAAAACAATGTTGTTTTGACGAGTTTTTGTGTACCAAATTAGTCCCATAGATTTTCGAATATTTTATACTAGCGAACCGATTTAGCTCTGTTAAAAATTTCCCTATTTAATAGATGTTATTAAACATATAAACCATCTTCTCCAATCACTCCATCCATTAATAAAACGGCAACAAAATTTGTTGTGCAGTTTTAAAGATTTAAGCATACATAGGAACAGAGAGAGCTCCTTTATTTTATAATATTTGTGGAGGTGCTTTAGTTAGTGGTCTTAATAGCTCTGATGATCGAAATGCAGTATATTTTTTTCAGAAACAAATAATCAAACATTCCCTTTTCACAATATAAGTTTAGTCAACTATTACACATTTTTGCAAATGTAATGATTCATAGCAATAGAAGAGTTTCTAATTAACTTATTGTATTTGTTCTTCCAGGAGTGCCATTGGGTGAAGTTTCCAACCCTCCTCTTGTTGTTAGTCGACCCAGGCCCCGGACTCGAAGAGATGTTGCCTTGAACATAAGTCTGTACCGAATGAGAAAAGAAATTCAAAAATTGAAGGAAACGGTAAGTTTAAAAAAAAGCGTTATCTATTGCTGTGTGTGATTAATGTTGCTGGAGACCCGATAAAGAAAGCCAGCAATGCATTTGTAACCTTAAATCTTCTGTTATCGTGGTCCATAGGTGACAAAAAATGTGTATAGTTTAGGCTGGTCATAAAGTATGCCTATTAAATAAATCTTTAATGATTCATTAAATCCCTAGTGAACGCCGGCGTTCGCACACCTATTGTTCTTCTATTGTGTTTCAAATTACCAGGATTGAAAGGTTATTAAATTTAACTGTTGTTACGTCACTATAACTTCAGTCATTAGCTGTCATATGCCATGGTCCATTGGACCATTATAAAGATCATTCTATATACAATATCTTTTGGACCATTGACTATGTAACTGTGATGCTGTGAGCTGTACGAACTGTGTATTCTAAACTAAGGTCCAAAACTTTGATTTATGTAATGCCTTTGCACGGGTCTTTATCGCTCTCGCTAACAACGAAAAGTTCCCTATTATCCAAATCTCTTCTTTGAACTCTTCTAAAATTTTCCTTCATAAGAACCTTCTCCTGACAATAACAAACATAACAAAAAAAGAATTGTTGTTGAAAAAAAGTTGTTGAGTTATGCTTGTACCAACACATTTTGCGATTCATTTCTATGTATTTACAAGCGGCCCGCCCCCGCTTCGCACGGGTCCATCTTCTCCTATCTTGCTATCCAAGGGTCACTTTTTCCTAATCTTCCCCTCTACTTTTCTAATATTTTTTTTTGATAAGAACCTTCTCCTGACAATAACAAACATAACAAAAAAATAATTGGTTAAATTGGTCCAGGCGTTTGTTGAGTTATGCGCTCACTAACACATTTTGCAATCCATTTTTATATATAAGATTTCATAACATTAAATTGTTTTTTTTTTCTCAGGTGAACGATATTCTGATGCAATCTGAGACTCAACGCATGGAAAATGCACTGGCTTTTATAAAACAACAGATGCCAAAATCCGATTAAAAAATATTTGACCCCTTTTTTATATGCCTGCTACGGAAAGTACTTTTCTATTAAAAACACAAAAAAATACAATTGAGTCTTTTTATTTCCCCGAAAGGGGCAAACTTGTGGGTGTATGTGTATAAACCACCTATTTTAAATGTTTCGAGCTTACATGTAGAGTCATTACCTTGTATGTTAACCTCTTTTGATTGACTGCTTACCATCAAGAAATTCGTCCGCTAGTTGGCCAAATTATTCCATAAAAATAAATAAAATTGATTAAAAATAAGATTGTCTTTTTTTTATTATTAAATATTCTATGTACATAACAATTGTGTCTTTTATATTATTAACTAGCGGCTTCACACAGGTGTAGTGCTGTTACTAAATTTATCAACTATTTAATGGATTTGTTAAACATATTATACTTCCTCTTCAATCATTCTATATGTTAAAAAAACCGTACCAAAATCCGTTACGGTTGTAAAGATTTAGGCATACATAGAAATACAGCGACTGAATAAGCGACTTTGTTTTTTTTATTCAAAACAAGCTTTTGCCCGCGACTCTGTTCGCGTGGAATAGTGACTTCCTGCAGATTTTTGGTATAAAAACTATCCTATGTCCTTTCTAGAGTTCCAAACTATGTCTATACCAAATTTCATAGTAATCGATTCAGTAGTTTAGGAGTAAAGATAAGACAGACGGTTAGTGTTACTTTCGCATTAATTATATTTTAGTTTCGATAAAATAAATTTAAAAAATCACGAATTTCGCTCCATTGCTACTAGAGGCGCTAGTTTAGCTAAGTCCTGCTGGCCAATTGAATATTTGCTAACGCTTATTCAGCCAACTCATGACAGCTTAAGCTGATTGGACTCATGGGACCTGAACCGTCACTAAATCTTATACCAGATTGACTCTAGTTAGGACAGTACTTACTTATAGCATGGGTTGCCATTCAACGGTCTCATCTAGTTTAAATTTTTATATAATATCATGTAATAGTCTTTTTTTTATTTCTGTACGTATTTATTATTTATGTACATCATATCACATACATATATGTATAATACAGTAAATAGGAAAACATTTACAGAAACAAAGGTACTGCATATTTATTCTTATTTGAAATCTCTTTCTGCAGTTTTCCTGATTCGATAAATAAGCGTAAGCGACACAAGTTGTGTTAAACGACACATTGTGTGTGACAAAGTGCACCCTAAAGAAAGAGAAAGAGTAACAAAATAAATAAAAATTAAATTAAGACTAAACCTAGAACTTACATCAGTAGTTGTATGTACTATTTACATAAAAATTCTAAGTAAGTACTAAGTAACTAATGTATAAATCAATTTCTGAATAGTCAGTCATTATCGTGAGACTATTGAAAATATACATACATACACATTAATATACTATTGAAAATAACAACTTACTCACGTAAATTTACTGAGAAAAGGTATAAGTTACAAGTCCTTACTATACAGTATGTAAAAGTACTAAATTACTTTCTCCATACCTATATCCCAATGTTTGCTTAAATCTAAAACAACGCAACGGATTTTAATGTAATTTTTTTGATAGATAGGGAGATTCAAGAGGAAAGTTCGTGGCTGTGGTTATGTATAATAACATCAATTACATAGTGCAAAAATTTAGTAACAGTATTCCACTTATGCGAAGCCGGGGTGGTTGCTAGTTTTTTCCCTGTCTAAACATTATGTATTATCTGTCAGCCTAATTAATAATACTTAAATATACCTATACATACATAATAACTTAATAATTAAGTTTATCACAATAATTACCAAAGAAAATTATTGTTGCCACCTGAAGTTTGATTTGTTTGCGGTAGTATGGATAGATGTATGTTGTGATGGCTAGTGAATGAGTAATTTTAAGTGCATGAGGGTTTTTATTATATACTAGCTTTTGCCCGCGACTCTGTTCGTGTGGAATATTAGATAGATTTTTGGCATAAAAACTATCCTATGTCCTTTCCCCAGTTCCAAACTATGTCTGTACTAAATTTAACAGAAAGTAGATTAGGCGTGAAGAAAAGACAGACAGGGTTACTTTCGCATTTATAATATTTTTTTTTTAATATTAACTAGCGTGACCTTAAATTAACTGAGTTAACCCCTACTAGTTTTAAGTCGTTGTTTACAATAAATTTTAATATTACTTTAGCTGTAATTGGATTGGGTACTTGATAATTCGTTACTAGAACTTAATTTTTTCAATTTGTAATTTATTTATTTATTTATGTTAACACGGATTTGATCCAGTTACATTAACACAGATATAATAAAGGAAAAGAAAAAGATGAACTTAAAACAAACAAAAACAAATAGGAACTAATAATTCAAACTTTCACAAAAACTCAAACATATACCTCTAATAATATTAAATTTATCTACAAATGCATCACAGTCGGGATAGACCTCCACGAGACTATTAAGGTATTGCTCTAGGAACAAGGGATGATGCACGGGCTACGGTACGGCATGCGGGCACGGCTAGTAGACGGTGCCGACGAGCACGAAGGTAGTTCTGTGGCGCATATAATAAACTTTCAAATGCTTAACTTTGGTAGACAGATACTTATTATTATTCATATTGTATTGTATTGATGAAGAATCGATATAATTCATTTCTTGATTTAATCTAGTACACAATTCACAGTTAAATTATATGTATTAATGAATGAATAAATAAGTACATCAACCCAGTTACAATTCGCTCTCCAACACTACAGCTTTGGAGCCTTCATGTATACCAAAGGACATTGAGGACAACTGTTGTAACAAAGTGTTGTCCAGTTGTCCACTGGTGGCGCTGTTAACATATTATAAAGTGAACCGTTTGACTTATAAAAACATATTTTAATTTCAGAGTGGACGAACAAAAGCTTCGCGACATTCTATCACAGTATGGAGAAATAATCTCGCTGCGAGTGCGGAAGGGGATCAAAGCTTTCGGAGGTTCCATCTGCTATTGTCAGTATAAGACCCCAGTGAGTACCATTATAGTTAGTTTTGAAAGCTTATTTCAAAATCACACCTTATATGCCTTATATGTCTTAACCATTGAGCTAGTTTTTTTTTATTTCTGTGTTGGTTACCTAGCGACGAATGCGCGCCGTAATTTTATGCGTGGGGTACACCACGCGTACCCGCCTTTTAAAAAAAAAAATTGTACCACAGATTAGCGAGTTTGATTGACGTTTGGCATCGTTTCCTATTTCCCGCGCAAATACATAATAATTTGTAATTAAAGGTAGGTAAGAATAATATTTTAAAATATAAAAACTGACTCAATGGTTTCAATCTAGACTAAAGTTGAATCTTATTTTGTAGTAAGGGGGTATGAGATTAAGGTTAAGGCACTCAATTCAAATTGTTATAAAAACCGTATTAATTCCCTGTTGCATTTAAATATGGCGGTATCATCGGTCCCTATGTTGAAACTAGCGATTAGCTAGAATATAATTGTATTTTGTAGTGCTTGCGATTAATTTTAAGAAAGCTTAGATAGAAAAATGTTCCTTTGCTTCTTTAATTAAAAGATATTTTGGCTGTAGAACTTTGTGAGCTGTGAATTATTCAAGGGAAATTACTACTATAAATAACTCATAATCAAGCAATCATTATTGATTCTTTCTCTTCAAACATTCTCCCATTTTGGCACATTATTGAACAATAATAATAATACTCAATACACAATGATTACAGGAAGCGGTGGACGAAGCTGTAAAACACGATAGGATCCCCCTGGACGGGCGACCGATGTTTTTATCACGGTACTCAGCCAAGAAGTCCAAACCCACGTTCAAATACTCAACGGAGGAGGAAAAGAACAAATTGTTTGTGAAGAACTTACCGTTCGCGCATTGCACTAAGGACGCGCTTGCCGAGGTCTTTGATAAGTATGGCAAGCTCAAGGATGTAAGGGTAGTGACGCACAAGTGAGTATTTGTTTCTTACATTGTCTTTATAGGTAGTTTCCAGTAGCGACCTATTCCTGCTCCATTTAATTTTTAAGGCATACATATAGCTATATGTACTTTCTATGATTATTTAGACACCATTGACATACAGTGAAGGTAAACATAGTGAGGAAACCTGGACGTATGATTTCTAATAAAATTATAAGTTTGAAATCGCCAACCCGCATTGAGAAAGCATGGTGATTAATGCTCTAATTTTCTCCTTATTAGAAGAGGCCTTTGCTTAACAGTGAGCACTTATAGGAGGATGATGATGAATGAAATGGAAATAAAAACTACATACATAAATCATTTCTCTTTTCCAGAGACGGCAAGCCAAAAGGTCTAGCATACATTGAGTACGAGGACGAGGCAGCGGCCGCGGAAGCTGTGTCCAAGGTCCACGGTATGATGCTGGGAGACAGGAAGCTGGATGTGGCCTTCAGCGCGCCACCACCACGGCAGTCCGGCTCCGGGGCCAGCGACGCGCCGGCACTGGGACAAGCGAAGCGGGATGCTGGAGGTGGCATGTATGTATACACTACCTTCTTTAGCGCGGTTTCATTCACTGCTCAGCTCCTACAAATCGTAGCGTGACGTTTTATAGCCTGAAGCCTTCTTTTATAAATTTACGAACAAACATAAAAATAATTATTTAATTCGAACCTATAGTTCTAGAGATTATCATGTATTAGTATAGATTTGAAATGTTTCTACTTATCAATAAGAGCCTAGTCCGTTTCCAAAAGGCATCAATTCATCTGTAACTCATCTGATGTTGTGAGTGTCCGATCGGCGATGTCGATCTCTTACCACCACACGTGGGATCTGGTTTTGTTGGCGAATGCCTTTAAAGAGGTAACTTCTGTTAGAAATACTTTTTTGCAATCATATAAACTAGTAAGGCAAAGGTTAGTAACGCAGTAAGGTCGTGGTGGCCCCGAGATTAACGCACCCGCTTCTCATGCATTAGGGTGTAGGTTCGAAACTTGGCAAGTACCAATGTGACTTTTTCAAAGTTATATGTACTTTCTATGGTTATTAAGACACCACTGACGTACGGTTTAGGTTAACATCATGAGGAAACCTGGACTTATAGTTAATAATTATAAGTTTGAAATCGCCAACCCGCATTGAGCTAGCTAGTGATTAATGCTTTAACCTTCTCAGTGTGAGAAGAGGCCTTTGCTCAGCAGTGGGCACTTATAGGCCGATAATGATGATGATGAAACTAGTGCTCGACTGCAATCCTACCTGATGGTAGCAAATAGATACCAGCTAGACTTTGGATGAGAAAGCCATTGATCTCCAGATAATTACAACTTGCTTTCTACTGTGTCTCATATAGTAGCAGACAAGAGTTTAAAGGTAACTATTATTATGTCCTTATAGGCGACGAACGCAGCTCAGCAGTTTCATCCCGAGCGTGCTACAGAAAGCCGTAGCCAGTACATCCGCAGCAGCGCAACCTTCCACCAGCAGTGCCAGCTCAAACGGTAACCATAGCAACGGGGACGAGAAACGACCACTCAGCAACAGCGACTTCAGAAGCATGCTACTCAAAAAGCAATAAAATTACAAGTTAGTCTTTGTAAATAATGTCGAAAGTCGCGTGTATCGATATATAGTGTACCGAGTTTACGGAACTCTACCTTTGATCGGAAGTTTCATACAATATTCGGCCTTTTGTTTCGTATTTAAGATTACTTAAATAACAGAGTTGATTTCTTTATCTTATTACCCCATAAATGCTTATCTCATTGTTATACACAGTTTCTCTGTCACTCCCTTAGTTTTTTTTATAAGCAAGAAAGAGACGGGTATACAATAAGTCGAGTTTAGTATCTCTATTGACTCTCAACCAAAATGTAATCTTTACATTGGGTATAGAACTTTATTGCAAAACTGTAGAGTTGAAATTATATTTGACGGATTAAGGTTGCTTGATGCGCCTTGAAGGTGTATGCTATTTGACTGAATACCCCAGTGTTTGGCCAGTACGTTAATTAAAAGACTAGGGTATATTTACCTTACTTCAGTACATAATAGTATGTTTAATATATAAATTTTATATGTATAATATATGAGTGAATTATTCAAATATGGTTGGTCGTATTCGTTTTCTAAAAATTAATTGTCTATATATTTACTATGATAATCTCCTTCAGAAACGCTAGGTTGGAAGATAAATTTCTCTCGTACTAAATAATAATGATTAAAGAATAAAATTGTAATGATAGAACAGCGTTTGATCGGCACCTATTACTTTTTTTTTAATTTCGATAATATGTAATGTTTGCCGCCCAGTGTTACAAGGCAAATGACATTACAGCGCCTGTCTACCAAATTTATTTAATAGTTTCTTTCTTTCTGTCGTTTCTTTAAAAAATAACCCTTTTTTAAGATTTTCTCGTGTGTTGTGGCTGCGTTTTACAAACATACAATTTCATATATCACATTCAGACCTCGAACAACAATGTGTGGAACACACAAAAAGTTGTTCAGAAAATGCAGTCGTAAAATTGATTTAATAAAATTATTAAAATAATATGTCAGGGCCAATCCCATTTGTTTTATTTTCTAGCATAAATTATCCTCAAAATCAAAATTCAAGTAATCTAATATTATTCTTCAGGTTTGCGCCAAAAAAAACGCGGCTAGGAGATGATGTTATAAGACACTGGTGTCCTATTGGGGATAAGTGGTTTAGACAAGTGCTTTTATGTCGTTAGATTGACACAGCAGCAGTGTGATTCTGTAAGACTTCATTCTAAACTTCGAATCTGAATCCGCCGTGAATAGTTGTACACTAGCGCTACACTTGCGAGTTGAACTAAATTGACAGCATCATTTTGAAAGATAAAGTATGAAATGACGTTAAAAGTGGCATTCAAAAATTTAATTTACCCGTCACTTCGCACTCGAACACGATTCAAAATCAAAAAATTTTTATAGAATTGACGTGCTGTTGCTGATCAGATTCAGTATAGAATAATTACAACTACGTAGTATATAACAAGTCGCTTTCTCTGTCCCTATATATGCTGAAATCTTTAAAACTAAGAAACGGATTAATGCGGTTTTTCAATAGATATCGTGATTGTAGAGGAAATTTTATATGTATAATAACAACCATTAATAGAATGAATTAAAAGTAATCAGCATTGCACCCGTGCCGGGGCAGGACGCTAGCTGTTTGTAGCAACTGTTTGTGCTGATACATATTTTTAATGACCTATTTAGTATTTATTACAATACGTTATTTTGTTACTTTTGTAATTTATTACGAGAAAAGTGGCAGTTTCTTTGCATATGTGCTATCTGGAAAAACCTGTATTGGTTAGTGGGTAGCCTTAGGGTACAGTTCCATTGAGGCGGAGCAGAGCAGAGCGGAGAAGAGCTGTACTGCGATTCACCAATCACATGGCTTGAAATCCACATTGGAGAAGAGATGTGTGTATTTAAAGCCATGTGATTGGTTAATAGTATACCGTTATATATTACCGAATACGCCATTTTCCCTATTTGAATAGTTCACTCTACAATTCTGATTTAAACCTTATAATTATTATTATTTGTATCCGGTCTTATGGCCTGGTATATAAGGTCGAAATTCAATAATGGTACTTATATAATAAGACTACATGTATATCTATGTATATGTAATAAAAAAATATTAACTAAGCTCTTCGTTTTACTCATAGAATGTGTTTACTGTACATATTACTGATATGTTTATAATTATTCTGTCTTTTAGAGTCTATATTGGCGTGTCTTTGCAATGTTATTTTGGTAAGTCATCTTTTCACACTTGTTTTGTGTTTAGTTGTAATTAGCCTTAAAATAATAACAGTATGGGATTGTTTGCTTCAGCAAAATAGCTGGCTGGAACACATGGCCAGTCAAAGTTAAGCGGTGAAAAACGAAAATATAATTTTCATTAATGACAAAACTACATACTAAATCGCAAAAGCGCGTTGACAACAGAATTTATTGATGTTAGCTAATAAATATTGTAAAGATACGCCAATGTACTATAATTAATATACTCATCAATAATACCAAGTAATTCTATAGCTGTTCTTATTAACAGTACCTATAGTAATAGTTTCAAGCGGAGTGTTTCTTTAGTTTTCTCGCTGCCAAGCGATCATTCCATTGTGTATTATTATACGTCATAAATTGGTAGTTTCCGTGGTCACAAAATTAATGATTTCAACTTTACTATAGAATGAGAAATAAAAAAAAATTATCATACTATTTTAAATTGATTGTAGGATTTACTTGTGATTTTTTTTGTAGATTTTTTAAAAGAAATGAGTATATTATTTGACTTAATAACCTTATGACGTCAAATGTTACGATTTACATACAGAATTCATTAAAAATATCGTTGATGGAAGTTGATGGAAACTACCGTGTATTGTAGTCACAATTTCATAATATAGCAATATAGTCCACTTTTAATAATAAATGGCTTCTTGCAGTGTTGTGTAGGACTTAATGACCGTTACAATAATTATCGAAATAGGGATGATTATGAGATAGATATATTTAAGGCCCATTCCACCTACATACAAGTTACTTATAAAGATGTATGGCACAAATTACTTTCTATATAGTACATAGACTCTTAGGTCGTCTATCAGACTATGAAAAAATATTACCTATCAATTTTTTATTTTGTTGTAGACAGAAACTGTTTAAGGGCTGATTTTTCAATTGTTAGATAAAAGTTACCTGGGGAATAATAATGATGTTGTCGCGTTACAATGTTTGTATAAGACAGTGATAGCAACAATTTTATTCCTCAGATAACATTTATCTGACTATTAAAAAGTCAGCCCTAAATAAAGTAAATTAAAGTATAGATAGAGTCAGTTCTTTCAAAGCGAAGTAACGTTATCTATTTTAAATCAATGCATATTGTTTTGTAAAAGTTATATTTCGTGTTTTTTAATTCCGAACGTACTAAACAAATGGACAGTTTAACTTTGCCATCTCCCTATGATGTGTTCCGTAATTGAATATCTAGTTTGTACTCTGAGTTTTATGTTGCAGTGTGATCACGAATGAATAATGATTCAGAATAAATGCGTTTTGTTGTATATTTACTTTTTTTATTGAATACAAAGTATGGCTAGCTAGAATTTTATTGTCCTTTAGTTTTTTAAAGGGGATAAATCACTAAATGACTTTTTTCACAGGGAGTGTCATTATTGCCAACTAAATACGGTGCCTCTGACATCCCAACCATAATTGAATTAAAAAATGTTATGTGGCAGTCTATTTTTCGATTTCTAACTTTACTTGACATAATTTATATATTGATTCTTTCCATTCACGGGACCACAGGGTCCCGGATCTTTTTAAGGCGTACGAGGAGCCGAAGCCAACTCGCAGAGGCCCGTTGAACAGTTTTAATATAAACGTGATAGGACATCAGCTAACAATTATCCCTGTATGCACTGTAAAAGTGCATTCAAGGACAATCCCCGGTTGATGCAGGACTATTGTGAAATGTGGTAAAAATTGATAGTGTTGTGGGTATGGGTTGCTGTGGACTAGTGGATGAAAACTATGGAAATACTGTGGCCCCTGCCCCTGAACAATATTGATACATACGGATAAACAGGCAGGGGGTGACTGGCAAACTCAATTTAATGGGCCCTCAGAAACGGCCGCTAGCATGTAACGACACGGGGGCAACATACGTTGAGCTGCTTGGGGAAGGAGAGGCATCCCACGGCTATCAGAGCAATCCCGGAAGTACGGTCAAGACCCCTACCAGCACCTTACTGATGTACATCCTTCCCCCGAGTCTCCTTCAACTCCTACTCTTGCGAATCTCCACTCAAGCCAGCCAATTAAGACAAGAATGAGGTGGGAGGGCTTGTTCTTTATCAGTGTTTACGGTTAGCCCTCCGGTTAGAAGAATAAGACACCTCTCGGGAGTCAGGTCCGTGGGGTCGCCACTGCCCAACCGCTCGCCACAAGCTGCCTTGCCTTATATTAGTAATATAAGGCAAGGCAGCTTGCATTTTCAACTCTTTTATAAAGGATTCTGATTCACTGAATCATATATATATAAGATCTTTAAAAACAAGTAAAAAATAGTTCTTATGCCGATAAATATAAGGTTCTAACCAAATGAAACAAAACAAATAATAATAAAAAAACATTTTATTTATAAAAATACAATGTACACTTTACAATCTCATCTCAATAGAGAAATATATAATTTGTCCTTATTTACACCGAGAGTCGTCTACAATAAATAACTCTAAAAAAGCGTTGCGTCACTGGAAATTACCATCTAAACAATACGCACTCGAAAATAGTAATTTGTACTCCATTGTTTCATTAAAACATTAAGCTAGGACACAGAAATCACATTACAATTTTAACAACCTTCGCTTATAGTAAACGTTATAGGAATTTGACTATTGCATCATCGAAAATAAATATCAGAATCGCTTAAACACTGATATAAGATTAGTTAAAATATGTTATTTGAGTGTAGATTTTAAAGTCCTGGACGGTAAACTCCATGCCCAGTTACTTTGTGCTAACTGTTCACGGGAATCGAACGAATCAAGCCATGTAAGATGTAGCTTGATAAACCTCGATCCCCACATACATGAATGTTCGAAGATATTAAAATATCACAAACTTCCACTTCGAATAAAAGTTAGGGAGTTCGCGTGTATTGCTATACGTTAAAATTGTGCTAAATTCAACAACATGGCACTGTCAAAAGGCAATATTGTATATACAAAAAAGGGGATGTGGTCAAGCACCAAACTTCTATTATACTTATTGCACCATTTTATCGACATTGCTGCTTATAGGGGGTGGGGTATATCAAAACCCCGCCCCTTTTCAGTCCTGACAGGATATTAGTATGGTAACTAATGCCTGAGTGAATGATTGAGCTTACTTTGTTTATCTTAATGTAAAGGAACGTCATACTAGTGCTAGGTAAAAGCTATTGTCAGTTGATATGCGCGCCGTCATGCCATCTTTTCTTAGATCGTTCGAATGCTTCTTTTATGCAGGCTCTGTGGAATAAAAATAAAGACAACAATGAGTACTCAAAAATGGATCGAAGTTAACCTATGTCAATTATAAGTTGTACTATGTTAACATTTTCAAACCAATACTTAACACGTTAATCGCCACGTAGGTCACCGGTGACCTACGGTAGCGGAGGATTTGCCTTCAACGTTTTTCTGTCGGCAGTCAAAGGCTTAAGTAGTAATTATGTATTTCTTACAGATGAATTCATAGAAATGACATTTCTGAACTTTCATCTATTTAGATTAATTAACCGTAAAAAACTAATTGAAGTAGCCTCTTTTTTGTGTAGATAATAATCAGATATCGTCTCCAGGCTTAGTCAGACTGACCAAAAACCACCTGATCTTTTTTCTGCTGCTTACCTTACCAGTCCCCGATTTATTGTTGCGTTTGTACTAGCAACCCCGGCTGAATAAAACAACAATTTTAGCCACTGCGGCAACCGTGCATCTAACTAGTAGAAGTCGTTGCTATCACGTATTATTAACGAACTTCGATCTTTCTAATTAACGTCATATATTTTATTTAACGGGTCAAGCCCGCCGCAACTTTCCAAAACCGCTTCAACTCCTATAAGCCAGGATCTACAGTAGATACAACCATAAAAACGCCGAAACACTGAAGACCGGCGCGTCCCAGGGACATGAATGACTGGCTTGGATCCCACGACGAAATGAATCAGAAGATATTATTGGAGGAGAAGAAAAAACTAAATAATTTCCACATCCCTCGGTAAACTTAACGCAGGAGACTTAATGACTTAAGCCTTAAAGGCACAGACTGTACAACTGGGAGAAACCCAGTCAACAAACACCACGGAAAAATTGAAAATTTGACGTCATATATACGTAAAAAGCTCACCTGAATAATGACTGGTGTAGTATGTAGGCGGACACGTGGCCGGCGTCCACGTAGCGCACCTCAGCCCCGGGCCAGATCTCTTCCAACGTGCCGACGTCTTCACGAGGCACGTACGCATCGTGTTTTGCACATACAGCTGTGCAATATAGGAGGATTTTGTTAACATTAGACATATATTGAATCAATTTTTATGTAATGGAGTAAGTCCATTTTTTATGAATGTAAAACATGTATTGGTATCTTTTTTATGTGACGGCAAACGAGTCGACGGATTAACTGATGGTAAGCAATCTGCGTCGCCTATGAACACCCGCTATAACAGGAGTTACGGTTACAGGAGAATGCGTTGCAGACCTTTGGGTTAGAGATTTAGGGATTGTGGGAGGAAATTAATTGGGTATCATAGATTTCCTTACAGAATATTTGTTTAAAGAATAATAATAATAAAATTGCTCTGTAAAAATGATAAACAGAGATGTCTCCTTTGTCTTAATATCGTTTTAAAACTAAAACATGACATGTACAGTACGGCCGACTCGCCAAGATACGTTGGCGGTATTGTATATACATTTTTAGTCCTAAAAACAAAATTTAATTTTACTTGACAAATTTCCATTTTAATATATATATTATATTAAAAAAAATTATTCTCGGTTATTTACTAACATTCAAAATATGTTTTTCTATGTATGTAGGTATGTATAAATATATTATGATTACGTGCACATTGTTGCAGTCGTTACGTATGTCAGTTCGTTGCCAAAATACGTACAATCTATAAATACAGTTCAGAATGTGAAAGTGTTTGCGACATCACTTTCTATTGTTTATTTAGAATGATTTATACGTTCGTTTTACGCAATCGAAATAAGATCGAACTTTGTGCCAGACAGTGCATTTATTTAAGAAGACGGTTTTAAAAGTTCACGTTGCGATCAATATGAGCCGAGGTGTTAGGTTGAATGCCTTTATTGATTTGGCTAATTTTGGTCTTGAACTATTCGTGTAAGTTCTTCAAGAAGATTTATACGTAGAGAAAATTAAAAGAAAAAAACCTGAAAGAATGTAAAATTGACATCATGCGGGCGGAGGCGCGCGATCCCTAGTTTACTTAAAAAAAAACGTTTTTTTTTTTAATGATTGTCTGTACTTTTACTTTACGTTTCACGCTGCTATGTGAATGAATCGAGTAGCGGGTGAAAAACACGCGTGATCTTATTAGTTCAGGATTATTATAATGACTTATTAACTTTATGATCAAAACTCTTTTTTTATTTAAAAAAAAAAACGTTGCCCCACCTTAGGATTTTCTCCTGTGTTGTGGGTGCGTTTACAAACATACAATTTCAAATATACAACACACCCAGACCCGGAACAACAAATTTGTGGATCACACAAAGTGTTGTTCCGTGCGGGAATCGAACCCGGGTCACGTTGCACAGCATCCAGTTGCCCAGCCACTGCGCCTACCGTGCAGTCGAAAACTAATTGTATACAACGATAACTTTTTTGTGATAGGTCGGCAAACGGGTAGACTGATTACCTGATGGTAAGCAATCAGTGCACGGCGCCGCAACACCATAGGAGTTACGATTGCCGATGCCGATTGGAGAGGAAATATTTGGCCTCCGGTAACCAATACTCACACAGCGAAACAACGCTGTCACCCACACTTAATTTTTGTATTTCAGTAACTTTCTGAACTTAGGCAATTTCTTTATAATATACTAGCTACTGCCGCGAGGATTCATCCAATACTCGGCTCCAATTGGTTGTAGGGTTATGTTTTATAGCATATAGCACTGAGGAACATAGTAGCTATCTATCAATGAAATAATTTTAGAAACCCGACCTATAGTACCAAAGATTAGTACAAACATAAATTTTACTACATTGTAATTAATATGTGGATAAGAGTTTGTTGCTCCACGTGTATTAATAAGTGCCAAGATATGTGATAATAAAAAAAAACGCACGTCATCTAAATTCATATTATCACCAAGCTAAAAATATCATCATCATCAGCCTATATGTGCCCACTGAGCAAAGGCCTCTTCTCATACGGAGACTATAATCACCACGCTTGCTCAATGCGGGTTGGCGATTTCAAACTTATAATAAGAAATTATAAGTCCAGGTTTCCTCACGATGTTTACCTTCAACGCATGTCAGTGGTATCTAAATAATTATAGAAAGTACATATAACTCGGAAAAAGTCACATTGGTACTTACCAGGTTTCGAATCCACACCCTCATGCATGAGAAGCGGGCTACTCAACCTCAGGGCCACCACGACATTTTTTTTAGCTAAAAATAATTATACTACTTACCAATAATCAAAGACGTGTCGAAAGGTACGGAGAAATTGCTAAGATGCGTACATTCGTCCATGATCCCTCTCATAAACTGTAACGTCTCTCTGTCCCTCCAATGGATTTTGCTTATATCTATCTTCTTCCCACTTTTATTGCTCGACCTTAAGAACGGCAAATAGTTTATCCATAAGTCTGATGTGATTTCCGATAAGTTCCACGACCTTTCTGGTTTTTTGATTATTTCTTTCTTTGGTTGGTGTAAGGTTGTTAGGTCGTGTTCTGAAGATTTCGGTGTTTCGATTACGTTTTGATGTGAATTTGCATTTATTAATGCGTTCTGAAGCTTATCTTTCTGTTCAGATTGTTTTTGTATCGTCACCACTAGCTCTTGAAGGTCGGCTGAAATAAAATGGTTAAAAGGTTGTTTAGAAATTACCGAAAAGGTTCACAATTTGTGACGATATTCTTAGTAAGAGGTTGGTCTATATTATATTCTTATGATTGTTGCTAAACATGTATACATCGCAAACTTGTTTAGTAAGCCATTCAATTAACGGTCTTTCCTGTTATATAAATGATATCGCAGTTCGAATTGTGATAGCGATTCGATTTCTGTACGGTTTACAGGTCTAACATAATCCACAATGCTTTCATAAACTAATATCTTTTTTTTGGGGAGAAAATTAGCGAGAAGAGGAGTGTCAGACTCTTATTGACTATAAACCATTCACAATACTACATTATTGCTCTATTCTGATTCACCAACATTTTTACCAAATGGTTTGTCATTCAGGTCGATTAATTGAATGACCAATTTAACTAGTAGCTTTTAATATAAATGCCAGACAACTGTGTCTTACTTAAATTTAACTGAAGTAGTTTTTTTTTAAAAAAAAAACGTTGCTCTACACTAGGATTTTCTCCTGTGTCGTGGGTGCGGTTACAAACATACAATTTCACACGCACATGACACCCAGACCCGGAACAACAATTTGTCGATCTTAATGTATTTTAGTTACAATATCATGTATGGAATTTACTATCTATTACTAAAAAGTAATTACTTTATTGCCAACAAATAATTTACCCTTTTACCTTACCCTTATTCTTGAACGTAGTACAGACATACAATTTTACATGCACAACACAAGCAGACCTCCAACAACAATATGTTATTATTAAAGCTTTATAAGCTTTTAAAATAATGCATATGATATTTTGACTTAATATTGGCAACACATAACTGGACTTACCAACTTTACACTTTAACAAGACTTCCTTGATCCGTGGCTCGCTCATGTTGTTGATGGCGTCGATGTCAGCGGGCTCCAACACAAACTTCTCGTTCGACGTCAACTTATTATACAATTCTAAACTAATTTTATTTTCATGCAACAAATTTCTCAATTCTTCGTGTATATTCTCGATTTGGCTCTTATGGAAGTTTCTAGACTCTTTGCTGATTTCTGTATCACTCTTGTGCATATCTACTATATTATCTGGCATTCGGTTTTCTTTGTATGTTATGTCTAATTGTTTTTTCTCTGTATGATTTTTGTCTGGTTTCTCTTGAGGTATTTCCATGGTTTGTGAGTAAGTACGTGCGAACTTCTTGCCGGCTAAAAACGCCTCGTCGACTATTGTCACCATTTTCGATAGTTTCTCTCTGTACTCGCCGTCCGATAAGTACTGGTCCTCTAGAAGGTCCCAGTTTATCGAATGCGACATTACACCCTGAAGATTATAGTTTTAGAATGAGATACTAACCCTTATGAACATTGTAATAGAGCTCAAATTTGTTTTCATCAAATTTCAGTTACATTATTCTTACTTGTACGGAAATAAAGGTCAAAATTATATTCTCTACGTTCGAGTAACATTATGAGTCTTAATTAATAAGATATACAGTGCATAATCCAATTACCTGTAAAAATACTGCGGATGCGGTTGACCACGAGAGACATGGGACTAGTACGAGAGGTTTCGGCCAATTTGTAGCTGCCAATGACGCCATCTGTCGGGTAATATGAAAGATTAGTAATAAAAAAAATATTATTTAGTGGATTTATTACATTAGTAGTAAGATAAGTAATTAAAAAACATTATTTAGTCGATTTATTATATGCATATTTTAAACATTTTCCACCGAGAGTAGACGGTTTGGATCACAGTTTAGGAGGTTCAGATTAATCCGAGAGCACCGCTGAGTCTTAATTCGATTCAACTCAATATCTCTATTGTGGACACCTGCGAAAACCTAAATCTCCACAACCCTTATCCCCAAATGGTGGGCAACGCACTCATAACTCCTCTAGCGGGTGTCCATGGTCGGCGCCGATTGCTCACCATTAGGTAAAACTGGTCACCATAAAAAAGTCCCTGTTAATTTGGGGAGCACATATACAGTATTAATAGCAATGTATACACATACATGCCCGCCCATAGAGAGTCCGGTGACGCCGAGCGGTCCGAGACCGTTTCGCTCGCACCAGTGAAACAGCACCAGCGACTCTAGGATCAAACAGCCGCCCATCACGAATATGTCCGATACGTTGTGCAGCGAAGAACGACTGGGGACAAGCAAATTTATAATTGAGTTTATGGCTGATTTTTCAATAGTCACATAAATGTTATCTGAGGAATAAAACTGTTGATGTCCCTGTCTTATACAAACATTCTGACGCGACAACATCATAATTATTCCGCAGGTAACTTTTTTCTAACCATTGAAAAAACAGCTTAGTCGCAAATAAATTATTGCAACAACAGAATATTTAAAAATAATTGTATTTGACGATTAACACGATTTTTTTATCTTTTCTAGCTTGTTTTTTAGAATCAAGTTTGCTTTTTTACGCGATAATACGTCAGAAGTGTGTACCTATCTCACACAATATACAGAGGGAAGTTTCGTGTTCGACATTTTGACAAAAGTTATTAAATTTTAACTACCTAATTTCCAAAAATCGTATTATGGGAAACGGTAAGCGACAATGTAGTTAGTAAATATAAAGTATGCCTATAAGTCAGGGCTATCACTCAGGTCTTTAATACAATGTGGAAACCCTCCTAGACAATTCTCTAAAGGAGACTTAAAGCGAAAAAGAGGGAGTTTTATTCTGTAGTGTAACTTTGTCACAGATCTTCGCTTTTAGTTGTGTTTTTATGAAATAAGGGGTAAACGAGCATACATTAGAATCAGCGCCTTCTTTTTGGTTTACATAGATTGGTTAAGTACTAACTACTACTACTACCTAACTACCGACTACTTTTCTTACTTATGCTATATCTATACTCCGATTATATCTATTTAATCTTTGATTTTCATACTTACGTACTTAAAACATTCAGTGCCCCCGACGCGTATGTGCGTTTCCTCGCACGCACATACGCGTCGGGGGCACTGAATGTGTTAATATTAACCTACTAATACTACTTATATAACTTAACATATATAATACTAATATATTACCTATTCTACACACATATACATATATAATACTAATATATTAATTTTATTATTATTGTAAACTTAACTTAATAGAACCTATAGTAAGTCAATAGTTTAGAAATCTGATCCAGCAGACAAACTGTGTATACAGTTTTGTTGGACATTTTATACTTTTTATAATGTAAAATGTACCTTATAAGCAATAATAAATAAATAAATATATAAATAAATAATAATGAATAAATAAATAAAGTATTTTCTCCATTTCTAGAAAATGCTCAATAACAGCTTGCAGTTTGGTATTGAAGGCTCGCCTACTATTTATGAGCCAAAAGAAGTCCTTCATCAGGTATTAAAATTATTTTTGTCCTTAAAGGTATAAAACTATACTGTGTGTATTTTTTTCCTAATAAAAAGTTTATATTTTTACAAGAGTCAAAAAGTTACTTCATCAGGTATTAAAATTATTTTTGTCGTTCCAGGTATTATTACTATATTGTGTGTATAAATGTCCCAAATGATACTTACACTTGGTCAGTCGGCTTGCGCAGTCCATAGAACGGGTTCTCTAGTATAATACCACCGATGCCGGCTTCCTTCAGCAGCGGCTTCACCATCAGATTGCGTCGTCGCCAAAAAAACTGGAAAGAAGCAACGTCTATGAATTTTTAAACAGCAACGTTTATGGATACCGTAACACCGTTACAAGTACGTTGCCGATATTTTATGGGCTGTTAGGGTTTTGAGGATTGGGTGTTTTATAGATGATTACTACGGTAGAGCCGGCCCTTTGCAACGCAGCATGGCTCTCCCACACCAAAAATGGGTTTCTTTTCGTAATACTTTTAATGTCTGACTTGTTACCTAATTATTTAAGTAAGATATAATATCAAAAATTATAAAAAAAGGATGTAAATTCCAAATTAGGTACGATTTCCCGGATCATAAGCTTACGTGAGTAACAGACGCGTTTCTGAACTACGACTTGCAGGAAATTTATAATTTCATTGAGTACCTAATTAAACTGCTATTTTTATCTGAACTTGCATTATATTCGTATCTCCTACTTTTAAACTCTAAATGCCTAGAATTTAAAAATCCAAGTAAGGTTTATACAATAAAGGTGCAGTGTAATGTAACTTCAGCCGGGGTTCCAAAGGATCAGTAAACGCTATAAATTACCGCGGCTTCCGCCCGGAGTAGGGGAAGGAACGAAATAGTTTTTAGTCAGTAAGAGTCTGACACTTCCTCTCTCCTTCCCAACCGTCTGCGAGAGAAGGCACGTAATGATTTGCCCTCCTTCGAAAAAGGGTAATCTAACTTGAGTCAGACATTATCATAGACCTTCCTTTGTAAATAAATTAACTCCCTTTTGACAGGTTAAGCTGACGTTAATAAAAATAATCTGGGCAACGTTCCAAAACCTTACTTCAACACAAAAACGCATAAGTCAAATAAACAAGGATGCAACAGTTTTGTTTACTGGCCGAAAGCCAAAAGACTATAGGTAGGTATAGGTAACTGTTTATTTTTTAATTTCGCCGTCCATTTTTGTTTTCATGATTGTCGAAATTAGTGGGTCAATAACCGCTAATTTGTTGATAACATTCCATTCTGAATAGATATTGTTAATAGATGGTCTTCTATCGTTACTGTGTTATCATATTACTAGTTTGGATAAAATGATAAGATATCGGAGAGTTGATAAGCTATTTTACGTGCTTATGAAAACAAAAGGAAAAACTGTGTACAAACTATTTAATCGCGTAGGTTTAATCGGAAACTAAGTATCATTTAAAATCAAAATGCGGCCTTAGTGGTGATCTTGTAAGCTCCCAAGACCACCACTAGGCTTGCTCAATGCGGGTTGGGGAATTCAAACTTATAATTAGAAATTACAAGTCCAGGTTTCCTCACTATGTTTACTTTCACCGTATGTCAGTGGTGTCTAAATAATCATAGAAAGTACATATAACTCGGAAAAGTCACATTGGTACTTGCCAGGTTTTGAACCCTCCCTAACGCGGAGGAGGTTAAGGAGCTTGCTTCTCATGCATGAGGGTATGCATGAGAAGCGGGTTCCTTAACCTCCGCGCCACCACGACCTTTAACTACATTACACTTTGAATTAGTGTACGACTTGGTTTATTTCCCATAGAAAATATCAGAACTCTTCAATAATTGAGTAAAAGAACACATGCTTTATTCCCACGGTTCGATAAAATAGATCCTAAAGACAAAAAATATAGTAGAGTGGTAGAAATTATAAAGAACCTTGACACAGTTACCTTGACCTTAAATACAGATTTATTTATTTTCTTGCTTAAAACAAAGCAATAAGGTTCGAAATCTATTAATTAATAAGTCAGGTTGAAGTCCAGCGCTAAGTAGCGTCATTAGGTAGCTACTATCTATTTCAAATGTATTGTAAAATCGTTTTGTCATAGAACAAGTCATAATTACTAGAATATCTTCTAAGTAATGCAAATTGTAATTCACAACTGTCTCGTGACAGTCGACTGTGATGTTTTAAAAGAGTATCAACTGCAGATATTGCGCAATACTGTTGTCCTACTTTCAATTATGTGGGACGTCTAAATAGTTTCCAGCCAGTTCAGCTCAAACTACTGGTCAATTTTTTTTTTTTCGTAGATGCAGACAATTTTTTTCGAAGATGATTTTTTTTACTGACTAATATAAATGTTGTTTTTTTTCATCACCTGAGTCACCGCCTTTTTGGTATTGGGGTTTAGGAGATTAGGGCGGGATAGGAGAAGGGTAAGGATTGGGTCTCCGGTAACTTGACAAAATATAACGCTGTGGTTGTTTCACGCCGGATTTCTGTGGTATTAGTTCGGTCGAGCCGACCCATTCGTACTGAGGTATTCTGTGATAAATATTTTTGTGGCGATGGATAAATGTTGTTCCTTTGTTTTTTGACGCAGTAAATCACAGGCGCAGTTAGAAGTATCTTAGTACCTATTTAATTCTTTTTGAATTTAATAAGTCGCAATTATTTTTCAGGTAAAAAAAACAGTCTGATTCCCGGACCTGGTTCTGGTTCGAAGAAACGCCCTGACAGTGACCGAATATCGTCAAGCGACCTGCGTGCCCGGAGTGTCCTCTGAGGCTGCTGGGGCGTGAGGAGGATGTCTATTCTTTGATTGTCTTTAGCGTTCCAATCGACAATTATGGCTGATCAATAATGTTATTTATTTGGTACTACTACCTATGCTTTGTTCTTGAGATACGGAAGTCGAGTTACAGTTTAGATTTGTTATTCATCCAACCTTTAACATTGTACGATAAATAAATTTGTAACGGGCCGTGATTATCAACGCCCTTACTGTGTTACATATTCCTAGTTAAAACAGTGATTGTTGGTCTAATGGTGTAATATGCTTATTATTAGTGATACTCACGCGGTTTCACCCGCTGCTCGGTTCCATTTGATCGTAGCGTGATGTTTTATAACCTATAGCGCTCAGGAACATTGTAGCTATCTATCAGTGAAAGAATTTTGGCAATCCGACCAGCGGTTCCAAAGATTACCCCCTACATACAAACTTACAAATTTTACCTCTTTATAATATTAGCATAGATGTGCCCAACAGGGGCCATCATTAATTATAATGACCGCATCACTGAGGTAACGTCCAGTAGGATCCAAAAAATTACTCACTGCCGTCATTCAAAGGTCTTATTTGACAGACTATGTCGGATTATTAAGAAAATAATATTGACAAAACGAAGGTAGGTGATAAAAAATCTACGACAAATTGCAATATGTATAAGCCCAATCTCCCGAGCGAACGGCGCGTAGCGTACGCGCGCGCCTTAAAGAGCCAATAGACCACCACAGGCGGGTTCCTATAGGGCTGATGTTCAGCCGGGGTTGTAGGATAAGCGCAATGAGGCACCGCGATCTCGGCACAGAGCAGAAGGAACGGGGGGATTTTTAGTCATTCATCGGAAGAAGTCACTTGATGATTTTCCCCTCACAAAAAGAAGCCAAATCCAGCAAAAATCAAAGTTCATAGTCTTTCGAATCATCAAAATATAATAATATTCTAAAATTCTGTTCGTTAGTGAATGTGCCCAAATATGTGCCTTAAGAAGCCTCAGATCGATCTTCCTTATCAGCTAGCTACGTGTTATCGAACGACATTGTAGATCGTGTGACGTCAGACGTTACTCACTCGTGGCGCATGCGTGACGTGCGTCGACACTACATCGTGCCAACGTCTTGTTAATAAATATTTGTTTTTGTTTACACCTGGATAGTTTGGACGATAATAGTAATCTAGATATTATTATGTAGGTATGTCTGTGTATAGGATACGATTGTTTTTTTTTCTATATAATTGGTCGTTAAACGAGCACACGGATTATCTGATGGTAAGCAATCAGCGCCGCCCATGGACACCCGCAACGGAGGAGTTACGAGTGCGTTTCCGACCTTTTAGGGATTAGGGATTTGGCGATTTAGGAATTGAGGAGGGATTGGGGGCGGGGAAGGATTGGGCCTCCGGTAACCTCACTCACACGACGAAACACAACGCTGTGGTTGTTTCACGTCGGTCTTCTGTGAGGCCGTGGTATCTCCGGTCGAGCCGACCCATTCGTGCCGAAGCATGGCTCTCCCACACTTATGATTTTTTGCATTGTGTTAGTTTTAACCTTTCAATCGTAGTAATTGGACACAATAGAAAAATCAATGGTGCCCGATAGTCGGCGTTCGTTATATCATGTTTATAGAAAACAGAAATAAGTAATAAAAGACGGTAATTCAAAATTGAACCTTATTATTGTTACATTTTTTTTAATACATTTTCTTAATTAGACCTCTTTTCTTTTAAGCATATATTAATAAGACGCAGCCTAACTCTACTTTCTACTGAAAGACGGGGTCTTTGAGTCGAGGTTCGAACCTAACAAGGATTGCGGTTGACCTTAGTGATGCGGTCATTTATTTTTAAGTGGCTTTTGATGCCCTGGCTGATAGCTTGACAACGGCGGATAAAAAAATCATAATTTAAAACAGCTTACTTGCGACGGTTGCAACAATGATAAACAAACAGTTTTCATATATTTTTTATTATTAGTATTGAGTTGGCGTTTGGCCGCTATCGCGCCTGGTGGTAAGCGCTGATGTGATATATGATCTTATATACCTATTTAATATATTAGTGATCAGTAAGGATGATTTAATTTTATCTCTTGCAATTTAGTCAGAATTAGCTAATAATATTGATGAGATCAAGGAAAAAAAGTAAATTTAGACAGTAGTTTAAAAACAATGGGGTAGTTTCCTAGGTCAAACATAAATTAACTCGATGTTTCAATACAATAAAATATTTAAAAACAACTATACTTTTATTAATCGATCGATCGACACACTATGTTTAAGATATTTTAAGTTAATTATTAAGAAATAAGTAAACTATTTGACGCAAAAATGCATTGACGTCATAAGTCAGTTTTTCATACAAATACAAAAAAGTATAGTTTTTGCCATTTGGAAAAAAAATTAATTTGACTAGTTTGAAACTACCGTATTATATACTTGTTATTTAATAAACACACAAGTTGATATAATAGTACATTCGCTGCCAGTTATGCATCTACTCATATTAAATAAATACTACTTCAATTTCATTTTTTCTTGTTAGTCTCAAGTCTACATAAAATGTGTTGTTTACCTAACAAAAACTTGTTTTCAATGCAAGCATAGTAATCTAAATATATTTAAATGCCACCAATGTGTCGCATAAATCAAGTTCAATGGAAATATCCTTTAAAATGTATTTTAATTAAAATGAGCACAACTTAAGTTTATTTTATGTTCTCTATTCAATTACACAGAAATTATTGGATTGATCTAAATGATTTATTTACTCTAGTTAATGTGTGTATAAGCACAAAAATTAGATGATTATTGGGAGGAGAACAATTGACGGATGTGCATGAAAAAAATAATTGAGATGTCTATATTTTGGGCAGTTTTAGATGAAATTTATAAGAAGTAGATTTTAATAATTTAAGGATGTTTAAAATGATACCATTTCCTTAAACATACAAAATAAAAAATTGAATTCAATAAATAAAAGGCTTGTTTACATGATACCAATTGATACCATAAGTATTGTTTCAAGACAATTAGAGCTTTATAACATTTAATTAAAATGTAAACAACTTGCATTGTGTAACTGGGACTTCAGTATTCCTTTTGTCTTTATACTATGAAACAATGAATGTATTTTTGCAAATAGGCTGTAAAACTGCACCTTTACATTTCAACATTATTAATATGAAAAACTAGATGCAGCCAGCATTTCCTATCAGACTTCTCTGCTCCTTTTCTCTTAAGTCCAAAAAAGATAAAAACATCGAATAAAATTGTAAGTTATAAAACTGATTGAATTTTTATTTAATAATAAATTAATTTAAATTATTAATAATAATAGAAAATAATAAAGTTTTAATGCCTAATTCATGCTGATTTAAGAAGATAACTATTGCAATGATTGTACATGGCTGCTATGTCTTAAGTACTTTATCATAACTACTGTAACATCAACATCATACACATAAGCAATAAACATTTTGAATAACTTTGAAATAATAAATAAATAATGGGGGTAGGATCCTTAAACTCATTTTAAGGATTTTGTTTTTTTATTATATAAAAGCAAACTGTCATAATTTTAAAAGTCATTCTTTTCAATAAACTTAGTTGGCCTTATTACAAAACAAGGTTTTACTTTAGTCTAGGACTAAACCATAGATCCAGTTTTCGTATTTCGAATTGAAGGTAGATGACATTAAGATTCAAAATTCAAAACCCGACTCAATGGTTTAAACCTGGACTAAAGATAAACCTTGTTTTATAATAAGGGGGAGTATGTCTCAAGATAGTTAAGTACTATTCAAAAATAGGATTTCCAAAACATGTTTTTTTTTCGTTACTTACATGGTCTCCTGTACCGGCTAGATGTAGGCATACTGGTTTGCAATGTTTATCGGGCCAATGGATGGGCAGAAGGGCTTGGAAATGGGCTTTTTGTGCTATTTTTGGCACTATTCCGGGCAGGTACCGCTCCAAAGGAGTTATGAAGTAGCCTTCAAAGATTTGGCAATCTGATAGTGTTTGATGCTGCAATTATAAGAAGTAAAAAAATTTTAATTTAATTTTCAGGTACTTTTCTTTATAACATAATAAAGCCAAAAAAAATGTTTGTTTGTTTAGAAGTGATAATATCTAGAACAACTGGTTCAAATTTAAGGATTTTTTATGGGCTGTGCCTTTATTGACTCAGGTTATGGACATATCATTCTACAACCAATTAATGTTAAAAAAAACTCTTACTGTAGATAAAACTGTGCGGGAGCAGCTAGTGTGAATTAAATGTTTTAGGACTTTCCGAATAAAATGCGTATTAGCAGTTATAAAAAAAATCGGTACCTAGTTTTAGGTTAATTTAAGATATAAAAACATTCTGATTGGAATTGCAAAAGAAAGAAAGACGTAACTTGTATTTACCTTCGTAATCGTAACAGGGTAGTCCCTTTCAACTAATTTGAAGCATTCGTCGCGATTTGATACCACTTTTCTGAACTCAAATAACCTAAAAAACAACATGAGAACAGCTTGTAAACAAACATATAGTTTCACAAAAATCACAGAACTAACAGGTTGGCGGCAACACTTGTTACACAACACCTTTAGCGCGTGTATTATCATCACACTGACCTTCGTAAGTTCTCCGGTTTACCCCATCCTTTAGTAAAAAACTTGGTTAGAAGTATACTCCTGTACACAGCGTCTAACCTGCTAGCCGACATGTTTCGTGACCCGGACGGTAGTGGCCTGTTTCATTGACAAGTTTAATTTATGAAATCTTTTTGAATCCTCTGTTACGATTACTCGTTGTCAATACATTTTGGTTGAGAATGACTGTTACTGACTGAATGGGAAATGTCAACATTGACGACAAGTTTTTTTTTTTCAGGATGGTCAGCTGTTACCTGTCAGTTTGACAGTCGCGCTAGTTTTATGGTTTTTGGAAATAATAATCAAAAATTATCCCAAATTTTTTATTTCAAATAGGAATAAAATATACAAACGAAAATGATTGCCTTAAAATTTAATAACAAGTTAATAACTATCTTGGATAGCAAGAACAGATCAAAACTTACTTTATAATACGAACATTAATCTGAACGAACCTAATACTTTGCGTTCGAAAACCTTTAGTTTCAAAAGTTTCAAAAACAAGAAAATAGATTACAAATAGTTTGTTATTGCTTCTAGTGTAAATTAAAAATAAAATGGTAAATAGATCATTTTTCACAAAATATAAAGTTATAAGAGAAAAACATTATCATCAAAGTTTTTATAACAACTTCCGAACGCATTTACTGTGAAACTGCGCGGCAAATTAGAAGTGACTGACTGAGCAGTAAACATTAATTAAACATTAAACTATTTAATTTGATGATTATTTCTTGATTTTTTTTTTTGGGTTTGTAGTGTTGAAATATGAAATATCAACAACAACAATTTTAAATTTGAAATATTTAAAACTGCTTCGTAGTAGTTTTTCTTTTTCTACAGCCGTGGATAGAGTTCATCCATCCCCGGCTGTTTTCACATTTGGTTCTCCCCGAGTATACCTCAGCCGACGAATACTGGAGTCCCACAACAACTCCAAAACAGGTCCTATCAGCAAAGATTTTAAAATTGTTATATCTTCAGTCTTTAATGCATCTTCTTCCCATGTTGCATTGCCGATCAGTATATTAATGTATACCTAAGTAAAGTATGTACATGATCATCACGACTTCTCGTCTCCGAAAAGGTAGGTAGGCAGTTCTACTACCACAAAATAATACACATAATGTATGCCCAATTTTCACCAGCTTTTATTGCTATGCACGTAGGTACACATTATACAATATCAGGTAAAATTTTAAACTCCGTGCTGATATTAACAGAAAAAAATCCAACAATAATTACTTTCTTTTAATACAGGGAATCCGACCTGTTATGAAAAGATTTTGTTGAACAGAAGACTAGTGGACAGTAGTGCAGTATATGCCTACCTTTTTTCACATATGTAGCTGTGGGACTGACATAGAAGTTAGCTGGTGATTTCTTGCAAAAAGTTGGCTGGGTTTTGTACAGTTTCTTTTATTTCCAAATCCGCTCCACTCCACGTGAGGAATGGGTGTGTCAGACTCTTACTGACTAAAAACCGAGGTTACATTGTTAGGTAAACATTTTTGTGCTTGCAGTTGCGGGCTAGAAATCGAGTGAGATAATCCTAGTGAGAACCACCTGTGGTGGTCAGATGGCTTTTTAAGGCGTGTGTGGAACGAAGCGCGCCGCAAATAGGTCGGCAAACGAGCAGACGGATCACCCGATTGTAAGCAATCGGCGCCGCCCATTAACACCTGAAACACCAAAAGAGTTGCTGATCTTTCGTTGGTTTAATGAAAGGATTGAGAGATGGTACCCCAACCCAATCCTTAATTGATTGAATTGGCACAGCGAAACACAACACGAGTGCTGTATCACGGGGATCCTGTGAGGCTGTGTTGCTACTTCGCTTTACTACGCTACATCGCGCGCATTTATGGCAAAAAATGGCACTTCCACAATTAGTAGATGTTTCATAAATTTGTTTAGATTTGCTTACTTTTTACCTATTTATTGTTCGGTTTAATCCCTACCTGTCGCGTCTTTAAGCCATCGACCCACGCGGCCCCATCATATCATTGAAAAACAACAACTGCGTTTGTCGCGAACTGTTGTCGATGGTATTTCCTTACTAATACTAATGGAAAACCTTTAATAAAAGAGCGTTCTCTAGCTTAAGATACTAGCAAGCAAAGCACTTGAGACTTCTGGTGTTGCTGTGTCCTTAGGCGGCGTTGATTGCATACCATCAGGCAATCCGTCTATGACTTTCACCAAGCTAACGACGCTTTTGATAGTTTCCATGAATTATTTACATTGTTTTATAAACTATGCTTTCCGAATATTAAGGTTAAGGTTAAACATAAAACTTCTAAATTGAAATGGATCTCAAAAGGACTTAAGTTAAGTGCTAAAACAAAAAGGTTGTTAAGATACAGGTATTATCATAATAGAACAGATGAAAACAAACAAATATTTAAAAAATACTCTAATGTTCTAAAAAAATGTATAAATAATTTACAATTGTTGAATAATCAAAAACATATAAATAACTCCAACAATAAAGGCAAAGCTACATGGGATGTGGTAAAACGTACTACTGGCCATGAAACCTCAAGGGATTACATTGAAGGGCTTATTGACGATAGCAATGTCCTAAATACATCTGGTTCAGACATTGCTAACATATTTAATAACTTTTTTATAGATATTGTTGAAAAGAATATTAGTACTGAACAGAATGGTATATCTAATATTAACACAAGTAATCACAGCATTTTTCTTGAGCCATCTAATCCATTAGAAATTTATCATATAATCAAGTCCTTGAAAAATACGAAATCATCTGGCTATGACAATATCACAACAGATCTTATTAAACTTACAGCACAGTCCATTGCACATCCCTTATCTTACATCATTAACCTGTCGCTAGAACAAGGCTGTTTCCCAGATAAAATGAAGGTTTCAATAATCATCAAACCTTTACATAAAAAGAATTCCAAAACCGATAAAAATAATTATCGCCCTATCGCACTGATATCCATTATCTCTAAAATTTTTGAAAAGGTTATTTATAAGAGAACACTAAATTTTTTAAATAAAAATAATGTCCTCAGCAACGAACAGTTTGGTTTTCGAAAAGGTAAGTCCACTCAGCTGGCAGCATTTAGTCTAATTAATTCAATAATGGACAACATAAATATTAATATATCTCCTATTGTTCTCTTTCTAGATTTAAGTAAAGCCTTTGATGTTGTTGATCATACTAGACTAATAAACAAATTAGATAAATATGGCATAAGGGGAATAGCTTTAGATTGGTTTAAATCATACCTAAATGGTAGAACACAAATAACAAGAATAACTAAATTTAATAGTAAAACCAATTTTCTTGAGAGCCATGATTCCAGTCCCAGATTCAATTACTTTGGAGTTCCCCAGGGGAGTATTCTAGGTCCCCTACTTTTTCTAATTTATGTAAATGATTTTCCTCAAGTAGTCCACAATCATGAATGCGTCCTATTTGCTGATGATACATCTGTAATATTAAGTTGCAAAGATGAAAAAAATTATATAGCCGAGATACATCAAACACTAAAAGAAATTACTAAATGGCTTGATATCAATGCATTAAAAATAAATTTAGACAAAACAAAAATTATTAAATTCAGATCTTATAAAAGCAAATGTAAGCAACTAGACATTATTTGTAATAACACACCCATCGAACAAGTCCATAACGTTAAGTTTTTAGGTATTACAGTAGATGAACATCTTACATGGAAAGATCATATCGATACCGTATGCAACAAAATTAATAAATCTGTCTTTGCTATAAAAAGAATTAAAGACTCTTGTTCAAGACACACATCGTTAATGGTTTACCATGCCTATGTATGCTCCGTTATACGATATGGGATTGTGGTTTGGGGATATACATCAGATTTAGCACGGGTATTTATTGCGCAGAAGAAATGTGTTCGCGCAATTTTTAATGTCAAATGGTCGGACTCTTGTAGACCTATTTTCACATCAGAAAAAATATTAACTGTCCCTAACATTTATATTTATGAAGTGGCTAAATTTGTAAAGTCCAATATTAAATTATTTAAAAATAAAAACAATACAAACAAGCGCAAAGTCACTCATTCGTATTTAAAAATGCCTGCTCCGCGACTTGAGATGTGTAGACGAAGTTGTGTGTACATGGCGCCTTTAATTTATAACTCACTGCCTCAGAACATAGTCGATCTGCCCTATCAGAAGTTCTGCAAGACTCTAAAAAATTGGTTGATAGAAGAATGTTTTTATTCGGTTGATGAGTTCCTAAAAAAGTATTCTTCTCAGTCTTACCATTTTAGGAATGCATTGTAATTGTTATTTACCTACCTGTATTTTACTTTTGTGTTTCTGTATTTTACTGTAAGATGCCGAACGTTTTGTACCAATGTATTGTAATGATGTAAAACAATAATGTGCATTTTACTTGAACATTTGCATGCTGTTTTATAACTGCGGAATGTGTCTAGCTCTAAAACATATATTAAACCAACTCTTGTACCACATTTTATGCAAATAAATATATTATTATTATTATTTTGTTTGTTCGTTTCCTTTCACGGGATCACAGGATCCCGGACCTTTGGAAGGCGTACGAGGAGCCAAAGCCAACTCGCAGAGGCCCGTTGAACAATTTTAATCTAAATGTGATGGGACATCAGCCGGCAATTATCCCTGTATGCACTATAAAAGTGCACCCAAGGACAATCCCCGGTTGATGCAGGACTATTGTAAAATGTGGTAACAATTGATAGGGTTATGGGTATGGGTTGCTATGCACTAGTGGATGAAAACTATGGAAATACTATGGCCCCTGCCCCTGACCAATATTGATACATACGGATAAACAGGCAGGGGGTGACTGGCAAACTCAATTAATGGGCCCCCGGAAACGGCCGCTAGCATGTAGCGACACGGGGGCAACATACGTTGAGCTGCTTGGGGAAGGAGAGGCATCCCACGGCTATCAGAGCAATCCCGGAAGTACGGTCAAGACCCCTACCAGCACCTTACTGAGATACATCCTTCCCCCGAGTCTCCTTCAACTCCTACTCTTGCGAATCTCCACTCAAGCCAGCCAATTAAGGCAAGAATGAGGTAGGAGGGCTTGTTCTTCATCAGTGTTCACTCCAGCTCGTCACGAGGACTAACTGGAGAGAGAAGAACAAGACACCTCCCGGGAGTCAGGTCCGTGGGGTCGCCACTGCCCAACAGCTCGCCACAAGCTGCCTTGCGGATTTATTATTATTATT